ATAGATCTATCTATCTAAGTATCAACTAAATGTTTGTTATATGCAAACTTTATTCAAATCCACTTTTAACTTCTGACCATATTCCAAGATCATAAAATGTAAATAAAAAAGCTTTAAAGTTCAATCATAAAAATCTTTTAATTGTATTAAATTCAAATAAAACTCTCTTTGCTTCAATGATCAAAGTAAAAGTACTGATGAAGTTATTCAGCCGTGGGTTTAGCCAAGAATTGTGTGTCCTAACCTAATGAACATAGTGATTCACCTTCTGCATGTGATCATTCAAATCCAGCTGTTAGGCACACAGAAATTAAATGTCATGTATTAAACATATGTAATAAATGTTATAAAACCAGATATGTAACTGATGCATAATATAACCTCTTATTCAGACTAAGTGTATCTTTTTCAGGGAAAATAACACTCAAAATATGTCCCTTTTTTTAACTCTAATCAAAAAATATCTTTCAGTGTGTTTCAAGCAAAATATACCCATCGCTCAAAATACTCCAAAGAACTTCCATTTGCAACTTCTGCACTCTCAGTTTAATCTAAACCTTTGTTTGTCATCCATGCTCCAATAAAATTTTTATTAAGCAAAGCCCTTGTCATAATGATACTCAGGAATTTGTATTGATCTCAATAGATACTAATCATAGCATCTCCTATATTTAATAATTAACAAACTAATATAAAAACAATATATCACTATGAGAGATGTGCAATCCCTTGAGTTAAATTAACATTTCCTAACTGTGATGGGACTCTTTCTTTCAAAACATGGTTTCAATACTGACTGTATTCTTCATACCATATTTTGTTCACCTTTATGAGTGTAATATGTGAAATCATTCATATGAACTTGGATATTGACATGAAATATGGAACAATATTCTGCCTTATTGCCCACTACAACCAAGTCTATGTTAGAAACAGGGTTTAATGTCTGGTATGCAAACGCATTCTTTAAGATATAATTTTATTTTGATTTATTACAAATAAATTATAACATACAACATATATTATGGCTAATTATAACAAATTGATCTTAATTCACCCAGATAATTTTATTCAATATTCAATAGTGAATGAACAATTTAATTTTAATATTTAAAAGGGTTTGATTAAGGCTTGATGTGCCTATCCATTCTTAAAACAATGCAAAACCTATCTCTGTTTTATCTTTACCTTATGTAGTTGATGGATAGCTCTTGTAAAGATAATTGACATATATGTCAGTATTTGATTTTTATTTGATGTAGAGAGGCCAACAAAATTAACTAAATAATTAAAATAAACAAAATACTAGTGATGTTAAAAACATGGGAATCTTCTTAGGCTACATCTACATGAAATTGGTCTGTAAATTCTTATTTGACTGAGCATATCATTTTCTTCTTTTAATAGAAACAAGTTGTATTCAAATCTGGCATTTCAGAGTGAAAATCAGAAGCTTTTTCAAAACAAATACCTTAATTTGTACAATGATTTACACCATTTTTACACACAACAAGTTCAATTCATCATATTGGATATATCAACAACTGAGAAAACACCAAGTACCTGCGATACAAACAATAAAACAATACAATAGACAGCATGCCAGACACAGAAATATAAGCTCATACAGTTAATACTTAAACCAAACAAAGATCTTCATTCCTTGCATTCTTTCAAAACAATTTCACCAATGTATCGACAACTGACAGCCATAATAAAAGTGGCAAAGTTATTTAAGCGGGCATTCCGAAAATATGGACGTCCAAATTGAGAACTGCAAACTGAGTGATGTGTAGACTTCACTCATCAGAATCCCCAAGAAGAATCTTAGGTGATGGTCAACATTTATTCATACTTGTTTGGTCTTGAGATATTGACCAGACACTTAAGAATCTGTAATATTTCTATTTTATTTACCCAGTTCATAATTAACACATCTGAACATAAAAACTGTAGTCAGACTTAACAACATAATAATACCTGTATCATTCATACTTCATATTGATATTTTATCAATATCTTTATCATTGTTCTCTATACTCACATTCTCATAGGCAAACAAGCATGGAATTTTTTTTTACTAACTATGGAAATGGGCTATGGGAATTCTAATTAACCTGTGCCAAAACATGACATGCAGCCCCTCTTGTATAAAAAAGGTCATTTTAATTGATTGAAAATTCACCTATCAAAAAAATTTCTCAAATCAGACCAATTCAGAGCCCTTACCTTTCAAAACTTGAAAAATAAAAACTTGAATATCCTATGGAAACTTAATCCATGTTTTTTCTCACTTAAACCCTTGCTTTGAAAGGTAGTCACTAATTGTCAAGAGAAAGATCCACAAGCCCCTCTGTTAGTATTGACCAAAGTTGTTAATATCCTATTGATAATTCAATGGACATACCAGTGGTCATTGAGACCAATATATCATTATAAAATACCTATATTAGCTGTATATTGTATGTTTTAACATGTCTCAAATAATATCAATATATAGTTAATCATATTTCATATTTAATATATCATTACTGTATTCATCATAAATATACATGTTGAATGTTTTCTCAAATGCAAATTTGGTTGTAAAAAATATTTAACTCCAAGTTCATATCGTTAAAAAAAGCCTTTATGGTCTACTTCAAAAAAACAGATGAACGGCGTCACTACCACTAATAAAAAGTACATTATATGTTTTTTCACCCAAAATTGTGTCAGAAAGCAACAAATTAATTCAATTTTTGGAAATTTTCTAGGAAGAACAATCTCAGTTGCTCAATGATAGGCTTCTAACTATGATGCCTGCACAGCGTTGCCATTCAGTCTGCCCTCTATTTGTACCCAGCAGTAAAGGAATGTTTATTAGATTGTGTACTGTAAAAAGAGCAATAGACAACTTTATCTTAACAATATTTACTATCATTATTTAAAGTACAGGCCCCCACACCTTGTCAATCTTATAGTCGCCTTATCAAAGTCACCCAAATCAAAATAACATGCTTCAAAATATTAATAAAATTCAAGATAACCATTTAGTGTTCTTTGGATTGTGAAGCCCTTAAAGTTTATGAATATTTGGGAAAACATAATCCCCCTCCTCCCAACTCTCCATCACTACCTATAAATGTGTTAAATGACTTAGTTTCCAATTATTGTTCTAATTTTGGGCATCTTTAATCTATTCTATTGTCAGATGTCCCTAAATAAAACATTCAAAATTCCAACCACTCTATAACCTACAAAACTATGCAGAATCATTATTAACTATATGAACTCTCAGACAAAATAATAATTGGGTAATGAAGTGTCAACGAGAGTAATCATGCCCTGCAGTTATACTGACAATAACTCTCTATACAAAAAGTATGGGAATCAATCTTTACCTCAATAAACTTGAATAACAGGTTGCTTTGATGTTTCCATTAAAATACCAACCATTAGCCTATTGCTTGTTATAACATGTGTATATATATATAATAAGTTGTTGGCTAATCAATTAAATATGTTCTATCTACATTCCATACATTGTTAACATATTTCCCTACTGTTGTATTGAATAACAGTTTCTGATCAATGCTTTAATACAATGCATCTTAAATTGCTTATTCAGCAGAAATAGATGCGCTCACTCTCCAGTTGATGATTGAATGCTCTATTAATTTCCCTAGGGCAATGTGTCAAGTTTCAGTTTTCAGTTTAAGAACCGAGTCCCCCTGTATCTATGAATTTTGGGGCAGTGAAATTTGGTTTATTTCACTCAAAAAGCATAAGCTGGAGTAAATAAAGAAAAAAAAAGAAATGTTTGACTGTCATTTTCTTTGAAATTTAAGATGTAAATCCCGTAGCAGAAACCTCAAAGGAAGTGGGATCCCACATCATCTCTTAGTGAGAATTTAACAGAAACCTATGCACATGAAATTGTAAGTGTATCACTATTTTGAATAAATATCAACATTTAAAACTCTTCTTTAATCTGAGCTCTATCCAAATCTTGCATTTGATCTTAAAGAAACATGCTTGAGCTTTGCAACTCAAATTTAACAAGCAATGGCTTACGTCCACTTACAAAACATGATTTGAGCAAAGAATTTGGTGAAAAATTTCTATGGATGGCTGTGCTGGCTCATTATCAAAATACTAGATTAAATATTGCACATCATTTGATACCATTCACCAAAATATGTTTTATGCACGGTAAAGTTAATCTAGTATGAAATGATAACATGTGGTCCAAATATATAAATCAAATCATCAAATTACCAGCAGGCATTCACTGGAATTCATAGAATGTAGGAAATTTAAACAAATTCTGCACTTACCTCACTTTTAAAACAGGTAGAAAGTCCATTATAAGATTCCCAGTTGTACCAAGTCAGAGGGTTTTATACCACATAACTGCTTCACATTATCAAGCTATTTAGTATTTGTATCTCCACACAGAACATTGTCAATAAAGTCATTTGTAGTTATATTGAAGTTCAACAGATCAGTTGAGTCTATCACGTGACAACCTGGACAAGACCATCAGGTATATAGTTGTCAGCATTGGAACAATTTTGGCGGGAAATCCAATGTTTCAAGGTCATTTATGTAATTTCAAGGTCAAGTAAAATTCTAGCAAAAGTGGGCAAGGACAGACCCTCTTCAACTGCGTAAGGATGAGAGGGGTCTTGTGGGTGATGGTGCGGGAAAGCTAAACAGCTTAGATTACAATAAACATCAGATGATTTGTGGGAAATTTCTTCATCATATAAGATGCTGAAACGTTTTCAATTATCTATGCAACATTTAGTGTTCCTATTAGGATGCCATTTTCATGATATATATTGGACATAATTGAAGTAAAGTTCTCATATCTTATATGATTTTGTAGAAGATTGTGGCAGGAGTTTCGTGACTATTTTTTTATGATCCAATGGTTGTTGTAGTTTCTAATAGGAATACACCAAAATCAGACTCAAAATTGTGAAAGATAAAATGGAAATGACACTCAGACTTTTATAAATATGTTTTATTATCTCTGTTGACTCCTACATGGATAGTCAACCAATATCTGTCTCATCAAAAATCCCAGGGTTAGAGATCATTCTTCTACATACAGAGTTCTTTCCCTTGACACATCAAATCTTATTTAATGTACATTATCAACATTAATTCTGTTTTAAAATGGTTCAACCATGATATCAAAATATACTGTCAAGTCCTGAATCAAAAGATACTTTAGGTACAGAAGCCTGACCATTCACATAGAAACTTCTGACTTCGAAAAGCCTGGAAATATATTCAACTGAAGCTTTGCTAGCACCTCTTGTCTTACATTAACCAGAGTTTATTACAAATTAATCCACTGAAAATACTCCCAAAATAACCTAGGACTTTTATAAAGAAATGCAAATATGACAAGCCCAATTGCAGAGGAGCATAAGGTGTTTCACAATGACCGATTATCATGGTTATCTCACAAGTACTGCATTTTAGATTCCAGTTTTTTCTGCATATCTTCTGCCTGTAGTTGTTCTAAAGTTAATAGTGACAGACCAAGTTGATCTTCCTGAAAGATGAGGACACATAATTCCATAAAAATATAGTACATCAAAGCAAAAATCTCCAACAATAAATGTTAATGCATGTTTAAAATTTCCCCAATATACAGACAGAGTAGACTTAGTATTGTAATCCTACAGTATTTAATATTCTTTAATATGCTGAAAACTTGTAAGACCAAGGCAGATGATAAGTAAGTAAGCGTTCTTCTAGTTACAATGTGCTGATAAGGTCATTAACATGAATAATTGTATACAAATAAGGAACAAAAAAGATACCAACCCTACTAAATGGTTGAGCCATTTGACGTAAGAATTTTTTAGCCACCAGAAGACCCTCATCAGTTGATAAATTACATAAATTATCAGTTAAATATTCCTGAATCCACCTTGGTAGTTTACCACGTTTATCTGCCCTTGCGAATCTCTAAATTCAAATTAGATATGTGATTAACCTCAAATCAACTAAGGAAAAATTCAGAATAAAGACTATTATCAATACACATCGGAGGTACTGGAATCTTTAACCCATGTCTGAATAATTTTTGCAAATATTTGAATTTCTCACAATTGAGAGCTTTCTTTACTAGTTGTGTATTTCAGATGATGAAATTTAAACAGATTTAATTTGAATTTTCCTGTTGAATGCAGAATTTCATGACAAATTCAAACACAAATGATTTTTCTATAAAGTGGCACTAACTTTATCTGCAAACACCATAATACCATAGTCTGTTTTTCCTCTTAAAGCTCGCCCCACACATTGAGCTGCATGTCTCATAGCATCAAACGTTAGAAAGTCATTCTCACGAATTTGATACTGTTCTCTTAGATATTCTAATCGAGCCTAAAAAAACATGTATCCAAATCACTATCACAAATATTGTCAATTTCTTTGCAATGGAATTAGAATCTAAATCCATGGGTCAGTATTCTGCGAGTTTCTGCCTAATTATTTCAGATACATTCGTTACTTTTCATTGAATTTATCAAAAATACTTATTGATGATAGAATAATAGTGGTTAAAATTGGTAAAATATTCTTCTCTATAATTAGATGCTAGATAATTAATATTATTCACCTTCAGAATTCTACTCTGTGTATAAACATAGGGAATACCAAACATAATAACAGCTCTTCCATAATGGTGATCTACAAATTTCATACCATCCAATATAAAATACATGTATATGTATGTATTCAGCATAACTCTTAAAAATTATTGATTACCTTTCAATTTCTTCATAAATATTTAAATTTATCAATTATTTATTGTAATGCATGTCAATGGAACTCTTACCAAAATCTATTCCTTCTGAAACTTTTCCTCTTGCTACTGATAATAATACAGCACCTCTTCCATTTTCACATGCCTTCAAATACAAACATACCATGTTATAAATACAGTAAGATCATGTTACATTATGTTCCAAAGTACCTTCTTTTCATATTTGCCAATGTCTTCAAAAATTATAGAAATTTGAAATATTAGTGTTATAAAAGATGGAGGTACCGAGATAGATATAATCTCCAAGAAATAATTTCACCTTTTGATAATTGAGCAGAGCCAGAGAAGTTTCTGCAGCATCTGGTGTTTCTATAAATAATAGTTTACGTTTCTGGATCTGGTCAATTATACCCTGAAATATACAAGTTTTGAAATAAAAAATATGTAATTTATAATAAAATCTATATATGACATGCTTAATAGCTCTTGAAGCATGTCAAAATTCAAACAAGATTATCACAAATTTTATATAAGATAATGAACTATTTGCAAAATGTAAAATCCACTAAACCTATAGCATGAGGCCTAAAAAAATTAAACTACACAACCAAACTAATAGTTGTTTCAAATTGAATAGTTAAATAATGCTAACAACAAACAATCAAAATGACCAAATATAAAGATATCATACTTATTATGGAACTAATTATTTACTCCAAAATATATATGACAATTTTCATATTCAAATTACAAAAACTGGGTAATTAGATAAATATTAAAAAGTCAAAGTAATTTTAAGAATAAGGGTCATAATTTTAACAATTTTTCTTATATTTTTGCCATGTATTGTTTATACTATAGAGGTGTATATGAGGAGTTATTGTAAGACTATGTAAATATTTAGAGTAATGAGCTAATGTTCACTAGACAATAGGTGATCAGTTGGAGAATGTTAGGTTTCAACTGAACACTCTTCAACTCACAGTTAGAACAAAAAGTCTTAAAACTTAGCTGTTCTCAAAGGGAGGTAATTCTTTGACCTCATAAGGTCAACCATGCAACCATGCAATGCACATGCAAAGGATTTAGGCCAATCATCTCCTGTGTCACATAATGACAGCTGGCTCAGCCAATGAGAAGGCTTAAAACAAAGTTTGACAGGTGGGAAAGTGTAATTGAAGTGAAGATGATTCAATGAGGGAAGGGACATTGTAAGAGACATTAGTTTTATCAAGTTGACTAGATGATCACAAGTTTTGGAGTGAAGATAAAGTTGTATAGCTGAGTAAGATGTCAGAGGAAAATGATAGGAAATCAGCTCAGGTATCTGGTGACTCCACAGAAACTGTAAAATTACCTGATTTATACACAGCAATGGCTGGTATTTGTTACAATAACTCACATCATACTTCAACAAAATCTGATGAAAATAAATGCTTAGTTGAAACTCATCCTGATTCTACAGTGACTAAACAACATCAAGCCATTGATTCTCAGAATGCACAGGATGGCAAGAAGTCTGTACAAAATACTGCTGTTTCTACAGTCTCAGAAATTACAGATAGCCAAAACTATCATGTCACTGAGCAGGCTAAAAACCAGCCTTCCTCTTCCAACCATCCATTACCCAATTTCTCCACCTGGGACCAACTGTCTTGCCCTTCCCTCCAAAATTATCCTGGCTCACAGATACTTAACCCTTTAGCTGCAGCCGCTGCCCAGTACAGTGAATATTATAATTTATCGTCCCGTTCAGCTGGTATGGTGTATGAAGATTGGCAGTATCCAGTATATTATTCAAATTACTATGACAACCCAGCAGATGTAGCCAAATACTGTGAGCAACAGAAAAGTGTTGATGTAAATTTTGATAAAACAAAATTATCCACAGAGAATTTATCCCAAGATTCAATTGTTGATCGAAGTTGTTCAACCCCAGATTTGGTTTTATCTGTGCTACAAATGGAGAATCAAATTAAAGGTGAAATAAATGGGAAGGATAGACTGAATCATTGGTATAGTTCTGTCAGCAGTCCAGATTGTTCACCAATAACTGGTATACCTATAACTGCTGAGAGTCCTGCTCCATCCACGGAACAAGACAGTGGATTTTTTTCCGAGGATCCAGTTTCACCAATATTTATGTCCCATAAACAGACAGTAACTCAACTGGAAGAGACCAATCAAAAGTATTATGTCTATGTTCCTGAAACCAATGAAGACTGGAAGAATTACCATCATATTAACCCAGTTCCACTGATGTGTAGTGACATGACGAGGAAAATGGTCAACAAGTCAGCCATGTTGAGTGGATGGAAGCCAGGCCCTGGTTACCCAATGTTTCCTCCTGAAGTGTTGTCAAGAAACCCTGGATTTAAACAAGATCCTGACAACTGGCAGATGTCAAAATATCCTCAATTTTCAATGGGTAAGGGACATAAGTCAGGATTAAAAACAAAAGCTGTCAGACCTACAAGATGTGCTACACCAATCCCTTCAACTATAACATCTACAGGGCAAGTTCAATCCGATAAAATAACCTCATCCTTGCCCTCCAACATGATGGAAGCTCACACAGCTGCCAACAAGATAAGTCAAGAGATGCACACTGTACAAACCTTGAGCCCACTAGAGAAATCTACTAAAGATATTGTTAATGGGTTTATTAACAGAAAACCAACTCTGATCAGTACAGTAAAACCTAGTCTTCCAACCAAACGCAAGCTGGAAGTTATTGATGAGAAAAATGTGAAAAGAGTTCGACACAATGAGCCTTTAAATCAACAAGGAATTTCCGTTATGCAGAGATGGTATGAGCAGAACCATGAGAATCCCTACCCTTCAAAACAGGATAAAGAGGATATGGCTCGATTAGGAGGAATCAGTGTTACTCAAGTTAAATCATGGTTTGCAAATAAACGGAATAGAACCAACAATACCCGACCAAAAGTACATAAGAGAAATGTAGAAGAGAAATTATTGGAATTATGTCACCAGTTAGCTTCCGATGCAAGGAAGTCAACACTAGATAATGCCTTCGTGATCCAACAATTATCGGCCATTATTGATGAGCATCATCAAGTACCACATTAAGTAAGATTTGAATTTCTACATCTTTATATATAGTGCTATAAATACTGTTTTTTTTTTTCAAACTCTAGACCTAGTGCTAAATGTGCAATTGAATTATATTTGAAGTGACCTGGAGTTATTGTGGTTGATTGAATACAGTGTTGATATTTTTGGTTTGTGTTTGTTAAATGTGTTTGTAATTTCAAGGTAATTTGAAAACGTTTCCTCTTTTCTTTCTCTTTCTCTCTGTGGGCAGCTACCGCTTTCTTTCTCTTTATAAAGTCTTTGTCTCCTGTATCCTTTGTCAAGTCTCTATATATATATATATGTTTGTCTTGCATGCTTTATGTTCTTGTGTATTTTTGTAATGTATAAGTGCTATTTATTTTGTGCCAGATTACTAAGATGTCCCTTGTTTATAAACACTCAACAAGATTTGTGTATTAATAAATCTGAAGCAAAAATATTGCTGTTGAAGTACATGTCTTTCCCAACAAGCTCATTAATATCCGCATACTTTAGTTATTAAACTCAAAGGCTGTAGATGTGCATGTTAATGAACTTAAATAAATTTTGTGTTCGAATTTCAAATTTGTCAAATCTGATCATAAATGAATTGAGAATTAAGATAACGAAAAATTTCAATTTGAATAAAATGTTGCACAATAAAATCTTATAAACCTAGAACACTAGAAATTGTCATTTAATCATAATTTAAGTTAATTATTCGTAAATTTTGATTATCAAATCATTTATGATCTAACTAATATGTCAATAATCGTATTCACAAAATTATAAGTTTTTAAATTTTCAGAATAAAATACATATTGAATTAACGATTTTAAAAAAAGGTTTCTGAATAAAATGAAAATTTTAACAGGTTTTTATATTTTAGTTGATTTCTATTCAATTCAATTAATAAAGTAAATGAATGACAGATCTAAAAATATATTTAGAGAAAAATCATTCAGAATTTCCTGTCTTTAAAAAGGTATCTTTGATTATATTTGTAGGCCAACTACAGAATTTTTTTATATATTAAGTCAATAAAAAAGTATTGGGTAAACATTTTTACCCATAACTATTTTAGTCAATCAAATAGATTTTGAATAAATTTCAAGTTTTATGTCCATATTTCAAATTTATGTTCAAATGTTAGAACATCTTTTGTATGTATTTATGGCAATCAGCGAAATTATCATACTTCACACTCATTTTCAGTGTCTAAAAGATCGAGATATTCCATTGAAAAAACACATTTTAACACAAGCTTATCAATTATCTAAACTTAAGTGAATCTTGCAATAAGTCAAATAAGTATTATAATTACAGAACTTTTTATTTTTTGCATTTGTATAACAGTTTTGATGCATTGTAAGACTGTGTTAAGTGTGCAATTTTCATTGGAAATTCTCTGAAAAATATTCAAAGGATTTCTAAATATCTAGTCAAGACTGAGTTTTAGGTTTTTCCCAAATTTTGCTCTTGCTATGAAAATGGAAGGTATCCTTGTATATCAAAGAAATTATTTTTTGTTTATGTACAATAAAATTTGAATCCTAGAGGGCAAGTAATTCCAGGGAATCCTTTGGGATTGGAATTTCCCCAGAAGGGAAATCAAAGAATTGGGGGAAGAAGGAATACCTTAAAGAATATTGTGATAAAATAAGTATGTGATATTATTTGTGATATGTTATAGAATATGAATCCTTGCTATACATATGTTGTTATCGTTTATTTTTCTTTTCCTTTATTCCATAAATTTTTATTAGAAAATAAACAAAGAATCTGTTACCAAACTTAATGTTTTTTTATGACCCCTGTTGACCCTAAAGTGTCTTGAAAAATAATAGCACCTAAAGAAATGAAATGAACAACATGCAAGTTTAAAAATCATTTTATTAAACAATAACACTGCATTTTATTCTGGAAAACCACTTGTTCTCAATGTGCAACATTTTGGAAATGATATTTTTCCAGTTGTTACAACTGATGACTTTCAACTTTGGCTCAAAATGACTACTGAGGTGTCAAATTGTAATAAGAATTAAGTCCTCATAAAGCAATTAGTAGAATGGATTCTAATCATATCAACGCTTTATTAACATATCATTAAGTTTGCATACAAGGGGCTTGTTGCTAGAACTTTGAAACTTTAAGATACTCATCAACATACAATGTTCTATAAGCTCTTGAATGGGTGTAAATTTTATGAGATAGAGAAACCTTAAAAACATACAGACAAAAAAACCCAGGAAAAATATTAATATACAAATAGCTAGTATACTTACTTGTTCATACCAAACTCCAACCACATTCTCCTATAAAAAAAAAAATAAACCATACATTAAATGATTAATTGAAGGTACAATCTCAAAGATATTTGTCATAACTTTAATTGCTTGAGATAGTTTTCACCTTTTGAAGATAAAAAGTTGACCAAAAAAGTGAACAACAAATCTAGATTATTTGTGAATTCAGGTTTGATTCAATATGTAATTTTGGGGTAGAATAGTTAGTAATTGAAACTATACGAGGGCCGGAGAATTGGACTGTTTATGTTTTTGAATGGGATCTAGATGTGTAAAAAAAAAGCTCGACTAAAAACTCTTTGACTGAACTAAATATTGGCACCTGTAATTTTTACTTCAAGTAACTATAACTACCTACCATATAAATATAACTTGTAAAAAATGACACGATTCCATCAGGTACAGCACCACACATTTCTACCAATAGGTTTCCATAGTTACGGATTACAGCTGAAATATAGAATTTGAATCAACAGTACATATAAACAAGCTTTCAAATATTCTTACAAATTTGATAAAATTTATGGCATTTAAGGTTACACTAATTCGAACATGAAAAATTAGCCTGTTAGAGCAGAACTAGACACAAGCCACTTGTTTTTGTCTAAATATTGGCTTACCAACATCTTCTCTTGTTTCAAATTTTGATGACATGGCGACTTGATCATTTCCTTTACTAACAATCTGAAATAACAAAAATCAGGTTATAGATATAAATACTTTACATTACATTAGACTGATAAAAACCCAGTTATTATACTATTCTTTTATAAAAGACTTAACAAAATACATGAAGACTCAATTTCAATTCAAGTAACTGTTTTGTTTTGACACCAAGACTAGAAAGCTCAAATCATTTAGGTGAGTTTATAAGAGTCTGATAACAGAAACCCTTCCTTTAATACAGCACACTTTGGCATTATACTGATGAAACTGGAGACTTATACTGTATTTGATATCTCTAGTATGTGGGAAATTTCAATTAAACAAAAAGCTGATTGTTGAAACTTACCATAGGACAGATACAAGTTCTAGCTAGAGTCATGGTAAATGTTGCCATGGTAACAGGACGGAAATCTAATATCTTAGGGTACATATCTAATGGTGACAAAGTCTAGAAAATAGATACATAATTGTAAATGAAATGATTTGCAGGACAGTCTTTAACCAACAAGAGCCTTGAATGCCTAAAACTCTTGATCAAGCCAATTCCACTCGAGCCAGCTGCGAATGGGTTAAGGTTGTCTGGAAAAGATCAAAGATCGCGCAAGTACTACATGATACACAGGTTCTCAGAAAATTGAAGTTGCTATCCTTGTAAAATAAGGCTGTTTCTATTTTTTCCTTCTTCACTCAACTAAATAATAACATGCATATTATGAATAAATTAATTCTACTTACTCCAGAAGTAATAACTACAGTTTGAAATCTATCAAAGACTGGTTTAATAGCTATAGAGGCATCCATACAACTAAAATATAATATAGGATTGGAGATAGTTGGTGTTCTATCATCAAATGGTTCAATTATCAACACAAAACCTGAAATAATACAATTTAATAATTTCAGCTAAGGATAAATAGATGTTCCCAAAAATCAAGAAAATAAACAGAGATTCCACTTTATTTAATCAATGTGGTGATAAATGTTATTATTTTCAATTGTACTAGCAATGAATACACACAGATGGCCTGCCAATATCTGATAACTAAACTGGTGTGTCTACTTGAAATGTTTCATTTGCACATCAGATAAATGATAATATTTAATATTTAATAGATGACACTGTGAACAAGCAGTAAACTGAAAGAAGTAAATCAATCTACTTTTAGGTAGGTAATAACAACATTAAATTGGCAAAGCAAATCATTTTCTCAATTGGCAGCCAGTCATGTCTTTTTGGTTATACATCATCTATAGCATCAGGCCGATACACAAACATTAACTTACCTTTAGCATAAGTACTAACAAGTGTAGCAAAGTTTGATAACAAAATTAAAGCTGAGAAATTCTCCATATCTGTTAGTTCTAATGTTCTCATTAATGATGCTAGTCTCTCAGCACAAAATCTGAAAGAAATTCAAAGAAACTTTCACAGTCCTAACAAGATTAAACCATATAATTCTAAATTATGTGCACTTATTTAACTTAATTTGTCAACCATTCACAGAAATCTCTGTTGAGTAAGTACTACCACTTTAACTATATTAATGTACTATTTATTACAATCATGCCCAGTTCATTGTTTAAAAGAAGTAAGACGAAAAGTTAAGTCAATCTCAAACTTAGCTTTTTGTACATCAATGAGTATTTAGCTTACCTCAATGGTTTTCTATCTATACATATTTTCTGAGCACAATCTTTCAGAAAGGATGGTGGAGACTCAGATACTACATGTTGTATTCTTAATCTAGATTTTAAATATTCTAAAAATCTCTTCATAAAACTTAAGAAATGTTCAGCGTTTCTGATTGTACCTGGTACAGCCTCTGAAAATAACGGAATTCATTCAACTTTCATGTCAGATACTGTTCGGCCAACTTCAATAAGCTTCATGTAAAAAAAAATAATGATAATGTGAGATCATATTGAAACAAGAAAGTAAAGAGGTTGTATTGTGTTTTATTACGGTCTTAATGCAAAGGCCCTAAGATATCATAAGCTGCTTTTGTGATAGTGAAATCAATATATGCTTAGTTATAGAGCAATTGCAAGAATCACAGACCTGATTGAAATTAGGTGCAAATCAAATCAATGCTATGAGTGTCCACAATACACTTAAAAAGTTGAGGAAACTTCTTTACAAACAATGAATAAATATTTATAAGTATCTATCCATAATACAAAGATTATTAATAAATATAATATACCAAACAACTACCTTGAAGAATTTCATCTGGCAAAACTGAAATAAAAGATAAAGATATTATATATAGGAACATGTGAATTTGAGTACAATTTACATCCAATAAATACTTCTTAAGTTCCAATAAACCACCATGGACTGAAATATCTTACAACATTGATTTTAACTCTTTTTAAAACACAGAAGACAATATTTTACTTGAACTTAAATTCAGAAAAATGGATTAATAGAGTCTGATGTCTAACTATGACAATCAGTGGACTATTTATACACTCCACTCAGTAGATATACCATGATTATTGTGTCCTGCCCTGAACATGCTCCACGGTTGCTATTCTTACAGATCATTGTTTTAAAGCTTAATATATATGGAAAATATGAAATGATATAATAATTGGAGTAAAATGGTTTTTATGACAGGCTAGAACTATAATGACATATTACCTGGATTAGCTAAAATAACATCAGTTTCTCTCTGTATATTGGCTTCTCTTAATCCTTCTACCATTCTATTATATTCTTCTTTTAACTTCTTTTCATCTCCCTCTTTTACTCTACAATATATATTATACTCACAGATACATCTAGGGACCACTTGATCGATGAGTTCTGCACGTTCAGGATCCAATTGAGTAAAATTAGACAAAGGGATTAAAGGAAAAATTTTGAATGCTGTGACATAATCTGATTCAGAACTCACCAATCAAGAGCCATGTCATTACACCAGCAGACATCAATTGAGGCTTATATATTGGGCCTCTATACTTTTTTCAATAAAAAAAATAGTGATACCTACAGCTTTGTTTAGAATATTATGTTCCCAGACATTTGTAATTTAAATGTGTAACTGAAAGTGAGAAATTTGTTGCAACATCCATGAGAATAGGTAAGTTGGATATTGAATATCTACAATATAACCTACCGTTTGATATGTCTATCTAAACTTTCTATATTATTAGAACATCTTTCTAACGTTCTTTTTGATATCTTAACACTCATTGATTCAATACATACATTATCTACAATAGAAATAACATTTAACATAAAATATATAGAACAAGTCTAATAATACCATTCCTTCCAATGATCCTTGACTATAGACAATTTTGAACGAATGATGGCATCATCTCATCACTAGTCTATTTAAGAGGATTCAGTTCTCAACCAATTAAGTTACTTAAACAAAATGTGATTCTGCAAGAGCTCTTTTAACAGTTCATGTAATGTTATTATTAAACAATATTCAAATGATAGATGAAGCTTATATTGTGATCAGAAAAGATAAAAATATTTGTTGACAGGAACAAGTGTATTTTATTGCATTCTTATACTATTCTTGAGCTTTCATAAACTCAACTCTTAATATTTATAGACAAAAGAAAAACAAGGTTCACCTATATTGTGAGCCTCATCAAAGATTACCACAGCCTTTTTAGATAATTCCTTTGATACTTGTTCTGCTATTTTAGGGTCTAATAAATAATAGTAACTATATACAACTATATTGGCATGATGAATCTAAAATATAACAAAAGATCCTTATGAAGATTAGGCTACACAACTTTTATATAAAATTTAATATCCCATATCTTCTATTTGGCCTAATAAGAAATAATCTGTATGGATTATATAGTGTTACATAGTTAGATTGGCTAGCTGATATTGCTTATGTCTTTATCACCATCTTGTACTATAAAGATTCAGTAAGAATTTTAACGTACAGTAATATTTTGGTTCGTGTTCTTTTCATACAACATTTAGAAATAGAGGATTTAGAAACTGTAGATTGATTCCCACAAGTATTGACCATTGAATCAAGACTCTAAAACTAGTGCATTCTGACTGCCTTATCAATACTTACTGCATGTCTTGTCAGGAAATATGGACAAAATCCTTTCGTTCTTCCATATTCTCTTAAATCATCCTGAAATAAGGTGGTTTAGGGTCATTGAAACCTTTCAGTCTTGTTAAATTTTAGCTTAAAAAGTCAGTTAACAATTATTCAAAATCAGTAAACCATTATTTAAAACCAATACATGCAAACCATCTATCTAAAATCAGTGAACCATTATTTAAAAACAGTAAACCATTATACAGTAAACCCTCATTCATAATCAGTTAAGTCAAATTTATCTTGTTTTGGTGTTTTGCAATTAGAGTTGTGGGAGAAACAGTATTGATAGAATAAAGTTGATTTAAAATGACCTACCAGATTATATACACCAGGTGGCAGAGGAGTATCTCGTCCATGAGCATCAAAATCCTACAAGATAAAATAATAACCATTCATTTAAAAGAACAAACAACATGATACTGTGCAATATGTTTTATCAAATCATCTGTCATCATCATACATGATAGTAAATAAACTGTTATCAGTACCATGAATTCTACAAGATGTCCAATTTGTTCAGGAGTCATGGTACAAAGTATACCCAAATCTCACCTCATAAAAAGAACAGACAGGGATATCTGTATTGTGTTTATGTTTCTGTCTAATATGGGAGGCTGTTAACTGATGACACTGACCATCTACTGTTTTACCATCTCGACTTTGACTCACCTAGGATAAGACACCAAACTAAAATTAAGCAGCAGCCTAGATCTGAGAAATATACCAGTCATGTATTACACAAAAATTTATATGTTTTTTTTCTTACTTTTAATATTTTTGGATAGAATTTTGTTTCAAAAAGAGTTTAAGACAAGAAATAAAGATATATATTTATGATAAATTTCCTGATATCCACCTAAACCAATATCAGCTACAACAATTTGTGAAACCATTACTTCTTTTATGAACTTTGACTTATTAATTATGCGTGTGTTCATTGCTTCTTAACGTGCAGGTTTAATTCACTATGAAACTGACATCAACTTTCTCTTTAATTCCTAAGGTATATCTTCTTATGTTTTGAAATCCAGATTAAACAAATTCATAACGGAGGAGAATGGAGCTCTGGTATTCCAACCATTTTCTTTCGCTTTCTTGATTCATTAAATCACTACTTACCTCAGGATGACAGCATAGATTCTTTCTGGAGCTGAGAGCTAACCCCAGAATCTGTTGTTCTTGTCCTGTTTCAGTTTCATAAAACTTCACCAAATTTCTCAATTCTTCTACTACCTACATGTCAAGGACTATGATTATCAGTTATGAATGGTAAAGATACAATGATAAGGATAAACTATTCAGAGGTTATCAATCAAAATATTGGAAATGATATCTTTTAAGTTATGTGGGTAAGCAAGGGGTAATAAATGGATATCTTAATATTAGAAGGGAATAAAAGTTTTCAAAAAGGGGAGCAATATGATAGCAATATAAAGTATCTAACCTTTTCTAATTCAGGAACTGTTCTAGAGCAGTAGATAAGTTTTGTAACCTCCAATGGATTAGCCTGAAAATTGGACAGTTGCAATATATCATTTTCTTCGCAAAAAAATCCACTTTGAGTCTTAGAAGCTAAACTAACTGTGAAGTAAGTGATTGCTTTCAAATCAATCACAATGTGTTTCTTTAATCTCAGGAGCTTATTGGTTGTAAGTTAAAGGCAAAATAAAAAATATTTCACAAACCTTCATGTAAGCTAATACTAACGATAATAATGATACTGTCTTTCCAGTTCCTGAAGGCATTTCCAATACACAGTGACCCTGTTCAATACAAAAAAAAAAAAACAATTTAATCTACATTTTGATTTTCTTGTTAGACAGTAATCATTCTAGTTCACACCTGGTTGGCAAAACATATTGAAGACTCATTGATATTGGCTCATATTTTCCAGGTAGTTCTTAAATCTTTTGTCTTTAAGAAATCAAACTTAAATAAGCTGTAATATATTTTGTTTACTATCAGCAAATTGCCTATAAATCAATTAAATTAAATTTCTTTTAAACAAAACACTGTTGATACCTGAGCATCAATTGATTTCTTCAACTCCAGCATATACAGATACTGTTCAGGATATATATAATCATAGGGAAAATAAACCAATAGACCATCTATATTCAACCTTTTTTGAAAGAGAAAAAATTGAAAGATAACATAAAAAGACAGAGAAGACTTAAGGGACATCTGCAGCACTTCTGGGGATTAATTCATACCTTGAATATATGTAAATAATCTTCAGAACTACCAGTACTAAAATTGTCGCATTATTATGGATACATTTGAATTCAAGGCTCAAATTTCAACAGTAAGCAGTGAACATCATTACTGATTAGTTCAACAAAATGATTCACATTTCTGAGATCAAGGTATGATTTACTACTAATGCCGCAGCTGTCCCATTAACATGTCGTAATAAAAGAATGAAGGTGACAATCAAAATATCATCAAGTTTTAGTTTTAAATTTGCAAATTATGGGCAAATGGAAGGCAACATTCTGAAAGGTTCTTTGCATAAATAAACATATTCCTACTTGATCTAGTGATACAGGAGAATCATTTAGTGTCACAACCATTGTATACATGGATCAGTCACTATCAATCCCGAATAAACATGAAAATAGCCATACTATTTAACCAACAGTAATAATGTGAAATGAGTAAAGCGTGCAGTAAGAGGGTATTTTTTTTTCAATTTTACTTCACTCAGAGAAACAAATGATCGAAAAGGACATACTTCATATTTGAAAGATTTGTGTATCAAAGAGATATCGTCGAAAATATAAAGAGTGTGGTGGTATAAATGCAGTTATTGAGACAAATACAACTGAGAAAGTGAATTATCAGATTGCATTTAGCGGTGCAAGCCTTCACCGGAAATAGCTTTAAAACCGGAAGTAGAATCGAAGCAAGATTATTTACAAATGGCTGCTCCCGTGAATTTAGAAAATTTTCGTCATGTTTATTCCGTAAGACTGTGTCAAACGGTTTATGACGACAATGTACACACGCTCCATCTCATTATTTCAAGAGACGATGCTACATTCATCGGATTTTCAGAGGATAAAGAGTCAGGAACGGGACTTTTGACCGTATGTCATGATATTGCAAATATAATCGAAAGTAGCAAGCCACCCTCTGCAGTTTCTGGCCAATCAGTCAAATCCCTTAAAACAGCGTCAACGTCTTCTGATAAACTGTTGTATACGTCATCCAATAAAGAATTATATGTTCAAATCTGGGTTAAGGATAGTTTAGAATTTACATTACCAAGAATACAACTTGAATCCGAAAATTCTGCAACTAATCCAAGTGATTTGAGATTAATTTGTTCTGATGTTTTCCATGAACATTATGATATCCCGTCATCTGCAGAATTATATTTTAGACCTATCAATCTTTTCCCTTTAAAGAAAATTGTATATACAGTTTCAAGTCAAGAGGCTTTCTTCTGGCTTCAAGATAAGAAATTCAGCCTGGGATTGTTAGTACAAGTTTGTGAAAATGAAATTTTAGTCTGTAAAGGTGATGTTCTGTTGGCCCCATATCCATCAGTTTATTTAGAAGATAAAAATTTCAATTGTGATTGGTTTCATAAAATCTTAACTTTAGAATGTTTGCCATTAGAACATGGAAAGATGGACATACAGACTGAAATTATTATTAGTTATGATGAAGCCTTTGTACCAAATCGACGCACACCAAATCTTTCGCCAAGCAAAAATATTTTTATTTCTGACTTCTGTCGAGCAATTAGTTTTGATCCAGTCAATGAGACGAGAGAAGATCATCCATCACTTGAAGCTGAAAAAAATCAAAGTTTTCTTCTAAATGCTTCAATGGTAGAAAACCAGTCTGTATGGAGAGATATTCTGAATAATTATGATAAAGAACAAACATTTGATTTACACAGTATGATAGGAGTTCCACGGAAATTAATGGTCCAGTATGGTCTTTTTGATGGAAGCTTATTAAAAATTTCACTAATGCCATTAGATGAGCCTCACTTAGAACAATCCCCGTCTCGGGAAGTAGATGGAAAAAGTGATAAACTTGAGGCGAAACCTCGTGTTAAAGAAAAGTTGGTGATGGTTAAAAGTTTGTTACCACAACTTAATACTCATAATATGGTTTATATTTCACCATTAGTATTATTTAATCTGAATCCTGGTCCTGTATTACTGCCAACATTTCATCTATTAGCAGAGGTAATGGTTTTTTGTTTCCTGTATTGGAATGATAAAAATTACAACAGTATTAGGACTGATTCTTATTGCACCCAAACTTACTTTGAATAGGAATTCATTGGTATTTTTACAAAGCATTTGTATAAGTTATTGTTTATTATTAGAGAGTCTTTTATTTCTCTAAGAGCATATTAATAGAGTTATATTGACAACTGTGTGAAAAAAAACTACCAGTTATTTAAATGTAGAAAGATAACAGCACCATTTGCATGTTCAATGATTTCGTAAATAAATTGAAAATGAAGTAAAGCATATTAGAATTTTTTTTTTATAATAGTGTTTAATAGAATGTTAAGATCATGACTTCTCTTTCAGAAATTGATTGACCTTCCATTAGATAGTGATGTTGATGATGGTTGTCAGTCTTTAAGTTCATCATGGAGTATTGGGTTACCAACAGCAACCAGGGTAGAAATAAATTTCATCAACTCTCCACATTATAGCCCACAAACATCATATTCCAGAGCATTGAAGAAATATTTTGCCACGCCAAGGTGAATTATTCTTTTACATAATCTGTATTCTTTATTATTTTTAATGAAATTGATATATGATAAAATTCTTTGAAACCATATTTTTGAGAATATCAGAAATATTTTTTGCCCATTATTTCAGATTAATCAGTATGGGTGATATTATTGCTGTAAAAAGTTCAGGTAAAAATTTAAAAATGATTAGGATTCAAAAATGCTATAATGCATAGGTTCTACTCTAAAGTCTAACCTTTGCATTTGAGAGAACAGTAAGCCAAATTGCCATTAAATTACTTCTTTATAGTTCTTGATGCGAATTGTTTCATCGCATGACATCAACTACATGGTTTGTGAAACATTTAATTTCAGATGACCCTGAGTTTTGGCAGAGTATGACAGCAGACACTGGGTTAAGATGTCCTGTAATGTTTTTTAAAGTAACAAGAATAGAATCACCTGTACCTAAATCAGTATCACATGTTGTGGAATCTGATAAAACTATGCTTTTACAGGTAACATTAGGAATCAATCAAATTAAATACTGAATTATATGTTAGATAAAACAAAAATTTATGGAAACTTATCAAATTACTATAATGCAATAGGTTAAAACGTCAATGCATGAAAGTGTTGAAAAGTCAATATTACATATAAGATCTGTCAGAAGCAGATAGGGAGGGTTGTTTAAAGACCATAGTCAACATAATCATTCCAGAACGAGGCTTATAAAACAAAAAAACAAAAATTGGCATTGTGTCACTGCAGTGAAATGAACACCCTGATGTCTTAAACACCTGTTTCTTCAATCCTACTAACTTAAAACCAATAATATTGTACATTTTTAAATTTGGAATTGATTAAGCTATTTAATGATACTTTCAGATGATGTGCACCTTCACACATTTCGGAGAAAGGGCAGTGTTAAGCCCATATTCATGCTGTTGATAAGGTGTTTCACATAGCTGATTCTTTCACTATGAAGTCACAATGTTTTCAATAGATGACATTATTTACTGTATGAACTTTCCTTTCGCTGTGAATAAGGTCTTGCTATGTTATTTTTTTACAGAAAGGTTCTGACCATAGTTATATACCTAAAATCAGTCAGTTTTATATGAGTGATAATGCTAGACTCTACTGGAATCGTTTAAAATGTCCGGGTTTAAATAGATTTGTTTCCAAACTAAAAAATTTACTATTACCTTTCTTCACTCAAAGGTAAGATTTTTCCTTTTATTTTTACATTTTGAAAGATAAATTCTGGCTTATTTATGTCCATACCAGCCTATATTTACTTCTTATTTAAAGATATGTGTCTCTAAAACAAATACAACGCCTAGAATACTGTTTTTGAATTCTCAGATATCTGAATTTAGATATTCAAAAGGGTTGCTTTGTGTTCATAGCTGTGGTAAGGTGTGAATGTATAACAATGTTTTATTCTACAGACCAGTAGATGGATATAGAATACAAGTATTACCTACTATATTACTATCAGGTCCTGTTGGTTGTGGTAAAATGACTGTTATAGAATGTGCTGCTCTTAGACTATGTTTACATATACAACAGGTACTCATATCTTAATTTACTGTCAAACTTTTGTCTTGCCTTGAATAGGTTTATATGAAAATACTTCATTAGCAAAGTGATGATTTACTAGAGCTATAGGTTTTACTCTTGTTCTCTCAGTAGTGACTAGTCAGAGCTACAAAATTCTGGTTGTGATTTGTTCTTCAAGGAATTCTGTTTAGAATGAGCTGTTCTTGGTGAAGTCAGTAGATTTTTTATGTCATTTCAAAGAACATCAATTATCTGAAATGCCAGGAATCGAAGATTTTAACATTTGGATATCAATGAATAACCTTTATTTGTCAATACAGTTATATTACATACTTGTTATATCTTGTAGGTCAATTGTCATGATTTGATAGGAGAAACACCAGGTGCAACAGAATCCAGAATTAAAAACTGCTTTATGGCTGGTAGGTTAATTTAAATAATTCCTACTTGATGAACATTACAATGGCAATAGGAATCGAATATTTTTTACATAAAAATGCCTGCTTGACTGTACTATTTTACTGGGAACAGAATACAGAAATGTGTATATAAACCGCTCTGCCATCAGGGTGTATCAGGTAAATTAGTTTTGTGATGGTTCACTGATCCAAAATAAATACAGTGATAAATTTAATTGCAAATTTCAATTCAAATCTTTGGTTGAACACTTTCTTAAAATCCGTTACTGTTAGCTAAACAAATACACTGTATCAGAACTCTCATTTAAATCTGAATAGTATTGTCCGTCTGATATTCTGAGAATTTTCATCCAGTTACATTTACTCAACATATGATAAGGTTTGACACAACATCTTTACATTTTCTTAATTGAAGCAATTTGACTACCTGTCTTATATTTCAGCTAGTGTATATGCACCATGTATACTGGTATTAAAAAATATTCATGCTCTCGGTAAAGAAAGAGGTGGACAGTCTGAAGGTTTGTATAAAGTTCATTTGAAATCAAGACAGAAAGAAGTATGTCTAGTTATTTTTTATAGAACCATGGCTGTTTGATGTGCCAGCATGAAATTCTTGACAGATTTAGAGGAAACTTGGTGAAATAAATTAATATCACTAAAGGAATGAACACTTTTGAAAATTCCAAAAATTATAAACCTATGTTTAAGGCCACAGACAACAAAGTCTGCTCTCTAATCTTGAGAGACACATTGCAATATATAAATTGACTAATATTAAATGATATTGATATTTTGCAGATCCAAGAGTGATCAGTGGGTTTCATAAGAATATTAAACAGATGGCTGTTGAGAGAAGGGAGTATCCATTAGTTATAATAGCTACTACTAATAACATACGAGCTGTATCAGAAAATATGCAGGAAACTTTCTTACATGATATCGAGATGGAGGTAATGTTTACTTTTTGTTTATATCTGAATATGTAACGCTTAGGAACTTGTAAAAAAAAAAATGACTGACACATCACTATCAATCATTTTGCTAACATGGAGATCAGCATGGCATCGTACAAATTAAAGAAAGCTTCTGCAATGATCCTTCTTTATGTTAAAAACGTATCAATACAGCCATTAACATTGTGTAAAGCTACCTTGTACTATTTACCTAGTTACTAGGTAGATACTGTGATAATATATAACAAGTTTTGAGTTTTAATTACCACTCGTTATATTTAGGGACCAAATGAAACAAATAGATTTGACATATTAGAAGCTCTGGTAGATGATGAACCATTAGCTGCTGATCTATCTATAAAACATATAGCACAGAGAACAGCTGTAAGTATCTATAAAACATATAGCACAGAGAATAGCTGTAAGTATCTATAAAACATATAGCACAGAGAACAGCTGTAAGTATCTATAAAACATATAGCACAGAGAACAGCTGTAAGTATCTGTAAAACATATAGCACAGAGAACAGCTGTAAGTATCTATAAAACATATAGCACAGAGAACAGCTGTAAGTATCTATAAAACATATAGCACAGAGAACAGCTGTAAGTATCTGTTAAACATATAGCACAGAGAACAGCTGTAAGTATCTATAAAACATATAGCACAGAGAACAGCTGTAAGTATCTATAAAACATATAGCACAGAGAACAGCTGTAAGTATCTGTTAAACATATAGCACAGAGAACAGCTGTAAGTATCTATAAAACATATAGCACAGAGAACAGCTGTAAGTATCTATAAAACATATAGCACAGAGAACAGCTGTAAGTATCTATGAAACATATAGCACAGAGAACAGCTGTAAGTATCTATAAAACATATAGCACAGAGAACAGCTGTAAGTATCTGTAAAACATATAGCACAGAGAACAGCTGTAAGTATCTATAAAACATATAGCACAGAGAACAGCTGTAAGTATCTGTAAAACATATAGCACAGAGAACAGCTGTAAGTATCTATAAAACATATAGCACAGAGAACAGCTGTAAGTATCTATAAAACATATAGCACAGAGAACAGCTGTAAGTATCTGTTAAACATATAGCACAGAGAACAGCTGTAAGTATCTGTAAAACATATAGCACAGAGAACAGCTGTAAGTATCTGTTAAACATATAGCACAGAGAATAGCTGTAAGTATCTGTTAAACATATAGCACAGAGAACAGCTGTAAGTATCTATAAAACATATAGCACAGAGAACAGCTGTAAGTATCTGTAAAACATATTTTATCCTCTCTATATATTAAAACAAGATGACACTCAGGCTCCAATAAGGATTGATTAGTGTGAAATGGATGGGTGTAAATCTGACAGTTTACATTGTTTACTCATATATATTCAATATTTTATCATTATAAGCCTTATAAAGAGTATTAATTGAATTATTTCAGGGTTTTGTTTTGGGTGATCTAGTGTGTCTGGTAGCTCATGCTAGAAGAGAAGCTTATGCCAGTACACTGAAATTATGGTAAGTATTCTTGAAGACTTTTATTTGATACAGCTACCTGGTATATCAATTATCAGTCATTTCTAATAAAGGCATATACAAAGTCCAAGATAAATGTAAATGGATATTCAGAGTTTATATGTGATAAGGTGAATCTTCTATTATAAAGAAAAGAAAATTCATTTTGCATAAGCTTAATGTAATAAATTTTCTGTGTGATATTTTTAGTAATTTTAATACGACCACATGAAATGAGGTGTGTATATTGGCGTCCCCCATGTCTGTCTGTAGTTCTGTATTTCCGTCCGTAAGGTTTGTCCACAATTGCTCGTAAACACTCAACAATTCTTGACATATTTTGACAAAACTTGGTGTTGGTGTTTGTTATCACCCAAATATGAACCCTATTGAAAATCAGAAAAGTCGAATAACATCTAATATGAGATATTGCCCTTGTCTTAGGGAATATTTTAAATTTTTGACGGACTTTGACCAAACTTAGTGATATTGTTCAATATCGCCCATGGATGAACGTTATTGAAGATCGAAAAATCAAAAGCTATCTTATCATGAGTTATTGACCTTTCTTGAAATCACATTCAATATTTTGCTCGTAAACACTTAAAGGCCAGATTTTGACAAAACTTGGTAATATTGTTCAATAAATCCAAAAAGTTCTAGTGAAGTGTATGCCTGAAGGTTGAATATTTTCATACTGGTAATTGTTACTGTACTGCCAAATAATTTTTTTTAAATCAAAGCTGCCAGTGGGCGTATATTACCTTGTCTGGCAAGCCATCTTACATGATAACTGTATAAATTCTAATACATCGTTCATTGGCTAATATTTGATTTCTAGTGGTCCAGTACATGATATATGTATTGAAGAAGAAGAAGATATAGTTTGTGCTGGTGTTGTTTTACAACAGAATCATTTTGAAGCAGCATTAGATAAATTACAAACAGCTCATTCTGATGCTATTGGAGCACCTAAGGTATGCTGTTGATCTTTTGATTTACATTCTGTCATGTCCTCTTGTCAGATATCTAGGCAATAGACTGTTCAGCCGTGGGCAGGGTCTGTTGCCTTAAATGGACAAGGTGCACCACTTTTTTTGACCAATTATACTTTTGCTTCGAAACGTGAATTTTTTAGCTAAGTCAATCAGTAATAATATTCACAGCTCACTGTTGAAATTTTAGTCTGCAAATCCATGTGTTTCCAGAATTATCCATGTTTGAATGTTAAAATGACGACTCCTCATTTTAAGATACTTTGTGAATAGACATATATAGAAATAGCTAGTAAAATTCCTAGTTTTAAGTATTTTTAAAGGAATTATGCGACTTTCGTACATTTCTAGTATTTCTGAAGACTATTTACATATGTTCAGGACTAAAATCAAGCCCCAAAATGGTGCAACGGTCCCTTTAATGATTTGTACTTCTTTGTGTAGTCTGTATATTTAACAGACTAGAATCACAGATTATGAGGTGTATGTACTACAACCCTAGTATAAAAACAATCAAAAGATTAAATGTTGTGGCAAATTTCCTCTCATGACTTTCTGTAGGAGAATGCACAGAATGGCAAGAAATTGATTCACCCCTTTTACAGTTAAACTGTTATTTAATTTCTTTTATAGATACCAAACGTAACATGGGATGATGTTGGTGGATTAAGTAGTGTGAAATCAGATATTCTAGATACTGTTCAACTTCCTTTACAACATCCTGAATTATTATCAGCTGGATTAAAACGATCAGGTAACTAACTGTTGTATTTTAGTGTTGTGGACAGTATGGAGCCACCTTTTCATTTATGACATGTATATGTATTTTATAAATGTATCTTCTAGGTAATTAACATAAGTCAACTTCTAGCATACATATAGTTTTCACAATTTAGAGTATTTTACTTTGTTGTACCTCATATTCAATTGTTTATTTGTATTTTTTTATTTGTAGGTGTATTATTATATGGTCCACCTGGAACTGGTAAAACTTTATTAGCGAAAGCTGTAGCTACAGAATGTTCTTTAAACTTTCTCAGGTAATTACTACATATATGTCCCTATTAAAAATTTCTTTTCAACTTTCATACATTTAACTTGTATAAAATCTATAATGTAGGATAATGTAGAATAATGCGTTAAAAATTAATTTCTTTTATTCCATGAAGAGTTGACCCAGTTACCATTTACAAACCTTTGTTTCCTTTTATTCTCTTTATAATATCCTCTTTCATCTTGATTTTTCAGTGTCAAGGGTCCTGAATTAATCAATATGTATGTTGGTCAAAGTGAAGAAAATATTAGAGAGGGTAAGTTGGATTATTTCAAAATTAAATATCATTATTGGTGTGTACACACAATCCATTACGTGACGAATAAATGACTTGTCATTTATGTATGTTTGTGGTGTGATCAATTGCGTTTACACACCAATAAATGTAAATATTTATGGATTTGCTTTTAAATAAAATCATTTTTATTTAAGATTCCAAAATATTTTGAAGACTAATTCCCTGATTCTTTATTTTCTACCAGCTATTGAACAACATACTAATGTACTGTACTGATCTGTATATTTATTTTATAGTGTTTAAAAGAGCTAGAAGTGCAACACCATGTGTGATATTTTTTGATGAATTAGATTCTCTAGCACCTAATAGAGGTAAAAGTGCTGATTCTGGTGGAGTTATGGACAGGTGAATATCTCAATTCCTTTTTTCTCTACAATATATGATTTCTCATTGATAAATAACAAATTCACTTAATCATCTTTTTTTAAGGGTATTTTATGTTTTATGTTTTGTTTTTTGTTTACTTTTAATGTAGGCTAAGAAATTTGTCTGATTTAGAACAAAAGTACATTGAAACAATATTTTAAATTATTTTAGAGTGGTGTCACAACTATTAGCAGAATTAGATGGTTTGGGAAAGTCTTGTGATGTCTTTGTGATTGGGGCTACAAATAGACCAGATCTTTTAGATCCTGCCTTATTGAGACCTGGAAGGTAAGAAGTCAAATTTAATTTTGCATTTAATTTTTAATTTAAAAAATTGATGAAACAATGATACAAACATACCAACTGCTAAGTTGAATTTCTCTGACAAAAACAACAAAGAAAAGATAACAAAAATTTTACATCTTATGTTTACAAGTAGAGGACATTTTCTCAGATGTTTGAAATAATTGAATCTTGATTTTATTTTCAGATTTGATAAATTATTATATTTGGGAATCAGTGAAGATAGAGAAACTCAGTGTAAAATTTTAAAAGCTCTAACTAGAAAGTAAGTAACAGTCTTTATTTTCTTGGGCATTTCTTTCTCCTATTTTATAGTCATCTATGATTTGCGGGTATGTGCTCCAGGGTAATATTTTTAATCCAACTGTTATGTACATTATTGAAGATGGGTTAAAACAACCAGTGTAAAATAAGAGATATTTGGCCAGATGAGAAGGAAAGATACGCTCTCAGTATAATGCATAAAAATATTTTCAGGTTCCGCTTAGGAAAACAGTGTAAACTAAAAAAAGTTGTAGAGAAATGTCCATGGAATATGACCGGTGCTGATTTCTATGCTCTTAGTTCTGATGCTATGTTAAATGCAATGAAAAGAAAAATACAGAAACTGGAATTAGGTTAGTGTCATGAAATATATTTTGTATATCTATTGGATTTATTTTACTAAACAAGAAACAGTACTTCGGGATGCATGTTTTAGATTAAAAAAAACATAAGGAAAAGGAAATCTTCTTAATTACAAAAATAATCATTCTTTATTCTAATTTCACAACAATAAAATACTGAAAGGAGAATAGAGCATCTTTCTAAAGCTAAATGAGAGATTGGTGTAGCCTTAGTATACTATAGATAAAACTTTTAGCCATGTGCAACTGGAGTAGAACCACAGAATATCCAAGAGACCACTATCACAAGATACACAACGAACTCAAAGATATTTTTACCAATCAATCTTATTACATTTCACAATTTTCCTCGTCCTTTGTAAAAAATATAATTACTATTTATTGTAATTCCTATATTATTTTTTTGTAGGAGAAACAGTAGATACTAGTGTTGTATGTGTTCAAGAAGAAGATTTCTTAAAAGCTTTATCAACATTAATACCATCAGTATCAGAGACTGAACTAGCTCGATATAAAGTTATCAGAGAAAGATTTGAAGTACCAGATTGATCAGTCCAGTGAAGCTTGTCAACAAAATCAAACCAAACTCTGTCAGTGTGTGAATTTCACTCATTAGTTTCTGTAATACAATGGAGTTGACCATTAACCCTTTTAACACTGTGTGTAAATAAAGATAAGGTGTCACATACCCTTCTTGGGTATTTTATCTGGTAAGTATGTGATTGGTAGAGCAGGGTTGATATTACTCACTTAATATATGAACTCTCTCAAAACTGATTTCAACTTGGTTGGTTACATAAGCCATACAATGCCATCAGGCGCTACACTAGCACAGGACCTCAATTTCTCATATTTATTCATGGCAATAAAGTTTTGTTTAGTATAAAGCTTCTTGACATATGAAGGACTAGGGTGGAATTCAGACTTTAAAATTATATTTCAATAATAAAAGTAAATGGCTGCAGAATGAAGTGTATGAATGGGCTGAATGAACCTGAAGATGTGACAGTTGTTTTTGTTTTGTATTTTTCTACATCTAATATTTCTATCCTTCTAAACTAGTCACATGTTTAACATGTGTAACAATTGTGTTTCTAATTATGTTTTTGATTTATAGAAATGTGTCATACTAACCATAGACTTGACGGAGGATAAACATTAACATGTCAAGATTAGATGCCAAATTGTGTAGTATGTTTTGTTATATGATAATATATATAATGTCATTACAAAATCCTACTGCTTTGATTATCAAATTATGTTGTTTTATTGTAATTATTGTTATATTTATGATGTTAATTTTTTTTTTAATGATTTATGCAAATAAAAGTTGATCTGAGAACAAACCTGTTGAAAAAGTTTTAACACAAGAACAATCAATCTGTACTAAGACAATAATGGATCATCTGAGCCGATTAACAGCTGGCTCATCTGTAATCATCAAAGAAAGATGATTTATTTTAGGGGCCCTAACACCATAGTGATCACCAATTGTGTATGGTTGAAATTAAGGCTAGCGGCCAAAAGTTTCTAACACAACTGAGTTGTGAGCTGCATTCAGTACTCTTGACCATTTTCATTATTTGCAACCATAGATAAATGGTGATTGCTATGGTGACTTTAATGTCCTTTTCACATGCTAATTGAGCATCTTCTTTTTTTCATGTAACCAAGCTAAACATTTTAACTCTTCATTCAGAAAGAGCTTTGATGCTCTTCAAATGGTACAGTACCTAATTTCAATCCTGAAGCTTTCACAAAAGGGGGTGAGATGTTCTCTAATGTTTCTGCAATGAAACTTGTTCTTTAACTCATGTTCTCTATTTATACTAACAAATCAAAAACACTGTTAAAGATGTTAGACCAAGGGTCATTGTTTGACAATGAATATCACAGTAGAAACAAATCTTTTATTCAAAAGAGCATTTGATTGGTTTAATATTAAATGACCCTGAACAGTAGATACATGACAATATCGTCAGATCATGGATGGTAAATACTAGTTGTATCTTTTCTATTTTGGATGCCACCTTTAAATAACCAATCTTTTGAAAAGTAATGTATATTGAAACAATGACTATTTTGTAAAACAGTATTATTTTAAGATCAATAAGTGTTGTGATTATTACAAGTGATTTTGATAGATGTTATTGTTAAAAACCCTCAAATTACAATATGAGAATTAAAACAGATGCTTTTTTTCTCTGACTTATATTGATTTTAACAGTTTATTTATTACTGTTTTATATTGACACAGAGAAATTATACATGATATTTTCATCTAAATGTAAAGTTATTACATATTTTATCAATCAACATGCTAGCTGTAATAATTTGTGGAATATTTGGGATTGGAGTTTTGGCAGAAAATTCAGAAAATTTTCCCACTGAAGGTAAGTTTTAAGAAATAGCAAGAAAAATTGACCTTTACATTCAAACTGTCATCCATTGGTCAGTCCAAAAACCAAAAACATCAGTGAAGTAGAGTTGATAATTCTTCATATCTCAGTCATAGCATATGATTGTGTGTACAATGCTCAGTTTTTATCTAATAAGGGATTTTCAAACTGGTACTCAGTTTGTCATCTAATCTATACAAATCATATAAAAAGATGTCACTGTCCATTCATGACACTCTATTCACTTCTGCTTTCTTCTTATCATTACATTTTATTTCAGTATGTAACTTGAAGGCTGAAACTGGCCCATGTCGAGCTCTAGATCCAAGATATCATTATAATAGTCAGAAGAAGACTTGTCAGAAGTTTAACTATGGTGGTTGTGCTGGGAATAAAAATAATTTTAAAACAGAAGAAGAATGTATAAATTTCTGTATCAAGTCAGTGACACCATCATCCAGTGATATTAGATATCAGATACCAGCACCATTGTTTATACAAAAAACTACAACTCCAACTGTTCCTGAAACTTTACAGAAGCCTAGCGATACCATTACTACTAAATCTAAAGATATCACCACTTTCAAACTCAATGATACTTTCATCTCCAAAACTAAAGTAAGCTCTTCCAAACATTACTAGATGCTACTATTTATAAAATTGAAGTTTTGAAATAAACAATAAGATGTTTCCTTTATTGTCCTTCTTTTTTAAAATGTAAAAGATAATCATTTAAGGTAAATAGCGTTAAAATTTTACGATAAATGTAATATTCTGTACCATGTATAAAATATCAAGATATTTTTAAGAAGTTAGATGAATGTGGGAGTCATTTGAACACAATGATTAATTAGCAATTTTCAGAGTTGTTACCTTTTCTATCTGCGATTTCATATTTTGTCTTAGCCTGACATTTTGAAGAATCATACTGTATCATAAGAATTCTATTCTCATAACACCTTAACACTGTCTTGAGAAGGGCCCAGATAGTCAGACAGGGAGTGCTCACTCTTTCAAAACATCTTAAGCCATACTGATACTGGGTTTGTAAACTTTACAGAGAATAGAGCCATTTAGATGGGAAAACATACAAAATCTCCATTTGCCAATAAACAAAATAGGAACTGTTTGATTTACCGTAACTATTTATTGCACAGATGACAATAATAACAATAACATAGTACGTATTCTATAATATATCACAGATAAATATCGGCATTTAATTCTTTATCACATCTATTCCAGTATACATCCTTTAATATTTCTTGACATCTTTAACTCTAGGATATTTTTAACCTAACTCAATTTCGCCATGAGTTGTATTGATTAATCCAAAAACTAATACCTAGAAGTTTTCTAATTAAATATGTCATAAGTTTTCTTTGGGAGCATCTATGTATTTTTCAAATTCCAAAAGTTGTACTGTTTCTTGTTCAGTTATTTCAATGAGCTCTGCTTTATATCTTCATTTTAACCCAAGATGATTTTTGTAATAAAACCACATGATCTACTGGATAATAACCATATTTCTTGACACCCACTTTATTTCTCTTATACCATCCATAGGCCATTCCAAACTCATCAGCAGATTGTTTCTGTTTAATATGCATCCCTTGTAAAATAAGGAATAATTTCAACTTTTTAGAATAAATTTGATTCGCATGTGCATAAGAAAGATCAAGTTGAAGAACACAATGGTTGTAGGTGGTCAGAATAGTGGCGGTGTGGTTGAAAGAATGTACATCTATTGATATAATCTTGATGCAAAGATACTGCAGAGGTTAATAATAGCCCAGGTTATTGAGCTATTGAGCTATGGTAACTTATACCCAAAACATATGACCTAAACACTTCTTTAATAAAGGTTTAGCACACTTGACATGTGGAATCTTGTAATTGCCACACTAAGAAAAAGTACATGCTGTCAGCATCAGGATGAATATCATGCTCATTTTTATGAAGATAGGGACACAATCGTCTCTTACCAATTTTCAGATCCATTTCATTCTTTGATGTTTTTATATATTCTTTGATAACAGCTACATAGACATTTTCCATGGAAGCTACAGAAGAGTCAGTGCCTAAAAATAGAGATCAATGGTTAACTTTAAAAATAAACAAACAATGCTAGATACAAATGATATCAGCTGGTCTACCAGTCATTACCAGAAAATACATTTAAATCACCACCTCTGAACTAAAGTCAAATTCATTATTTATCAGTTATGTATTTAGACATTTTTACTGATTTGTAATAATAGCATCTCAATGCCAGAAACAGGTTTATCTGTGAAGACACATAAGAGCACTAAATAATTTAATAAATGCTGAAATACCTACGAATAAATACTTGAAAGTGACTTACTGGGTTGTGAAGATCTATCTGAATTATGTAAGAGATTATATTTAGGTATAGGTCTAGGTGTTATCTGATCTAACTCCTCTTCACTACTTGATCTTATATAATGTGGATCTACAAATAGAACAATGGTGTGAAACTGAATCTAAGATTTTGTCGAGAAAACTAATCTTCGAATGAAATAAACAGGCCTAAGCTAAAAAATTACAGTATCATTTTGCTGTTTGTAGTAAACGAAATCAAATACCTAAACAAAGTCATTAGACATAGACTCATCACCGAGATATGGTATCAGGTGTTGCTTGGACATTTGTCTAACTACACTACTAACAAAGTTTTGGATTTTATGTTAAATTTGTATTTACCATGATGCCCTACTTCATCTTGAATATGTTTAGGTCTAATATATGATTCAGCACCTATAATAAATAGAATTTGAAAGTTTAAATCCTCAACTCAAAACTAGCAATTAATTTTCATGTATGTAAAACTTTTCTCTCATTTATGACCATGTGATAATAATTAATGGTTGATAAATATTTGAAACCATGATCAGAACCTAACCCACTTTCTCACCCAATCATCATTTGCAAAGCTTTCTTTAAGTGGCTTCCTATTCATTAGGAATTTAACAATAACAATTAGCAATTGTTAGGTTCTATGAACTGTAAAAAAAATTTTTATAGTGCATAATTTTTTACCCTAAAACGGCTTGCCAAACTGAGGGTGAGTTAGATTTAAAGAAGTTACCTTCTAATTCAATGATCTCAACATCACTATCAGACTCATGGCCCTGTTCTTTAACATATATAGCACGACACACTTTTTCTTCTAGATTATCAAGAGTATCTTCTGTTACAGGTTGATGTTTAACTCGGTTAGCTCTAGAACGTCGCCTTTCCCGACGCTCTGGTTCATGTTTACCAGGACTAGATTCAGGGGTAGGATTATCTCCTATAGCAGTAATAGGACTGTTTGTACGACTACATGTTCGGTTTACTATAAAGGTATTAAAACAATCATCATTAGTTTTCGGTGGTTTGTGTCTGGTTAATCTAGTTTGACTACTTGGTGGTGTTCTGATATCTTCCATTCTTCTTACCTGTAAACAAAGGCGTTAGTCAGTGAGTTACCAGAGGCCTTTTTTACTAAGTCCCCCCAACTTTCAAATTTTTCATCATTTTACATTACTGTTTTGACAAATAGGTAGAACCCTTTTGATTCACCTGATTCTATGAATTAAAATTACTTAAAGCAATATGATTCAAGTTTTGTTAATATTTCTTTATTGCTCTACAATTGATGTTCTAAGCACTATTTTATCAGTGAAAATATTTTATTTTTGTAAAGCAAGATACATGTCATTGAACTGCATAAGTAATTTTATACCAAAATCAATCAAAATATTTACAAAAAAATCCAAATAAAATCATACAAAAAGACATAAAGGACAGAATGAAAGAATGATCAACCTTGAAAACTGGGAAAGTATGAATCTCTATCTTTTTTTTCAATGTAACATCCACTAGATGATGAACACTGACATGTGTTAGTTTTTTAAACACACCAGGATAAGGTGATTCATCATTTAAAGGTGTTTTGAAAGCTCTTGGTGAAGTCTCATCTAATCTATGACATAAATCTTGACATGTATCAATCCAGGTTTCCAAATTCTCCCTTTCTTTCAACATCCATCTATCTTCTATTGATGTCATTTTCTGAAAATAATGTTTTTTACTTGGGAGAACTCCAGATACCATGGCACTCGTGAAGGGTAGTTTAATGCAATAGTATGGGTCAGAGATGTGAACCAAAGCATTTAATAACACAAAGTCTCTCAAGGGATGTCCTTTAATATAGAAATTAACATGTTCGCGTTCTATTAGTAACAGTGCCTCTACACCATAAATTAACGTGTGGTATAAAAGGGTTGCTCCATCAACTGATAAACCTGATAACCTTTTTATTTAAATAAGGAATAGGTCAATCCAGCTAATAAAAAAGTGTAAACAACCATTTCTTAATGGTTGTCTTAATGTCCAAATTTCATAGCAAATTTGATCAAAATTCATGCTAGATCAGAGCTATATTTTACTTACCTCTATAAAATCTCCTCTACAATCACATTCAGATTGATATGTTGATTTATATTTGGCTAAATAAACATCAGTTTTAGATTTTAAATTGGTTAATTCTGTTAATATATCTTTATGATCTACCGGTTCATTTTCTAACATATCCATCTTCTCCATTAAAGCCCGAGTATTTTCAAAAGCTCGAAAAAATTTCTGCATAAAAAAAAAATTGCGTTAAATAACAATAAAATCGAATGTATTTATTCATAATTTGATATAAAATATATTTGATTTAATTATTTAATTTAAAACAGGATATTGTGCATATTTGCCCTGCAATACAAGTTATAATACTTTTTTTTTCGAAATTTGTCTTTTAAAAACAGTATTATACAACAAGTGCAATACATGCTGAAATTGATCTTTGTTTACAGTTATTACCTTTTGAGCATGTTTGACTCTGTGTTCAATAGCTTTACGTTCATTACAGGCTTCATGTACAGCTTTCAACATAGCTTTATTACTCTTGCCATCTATCCTAAATAATATTCAATGTACCACATAAATATAGCTAGGCTAACTAGTAGTATGAAGCCAGTTGCACCAAATTGGGTACCGGTATATCAATAATCATATCAATATCATTACTGAAATCATGTCAGTGGAGCTCAAACTCAAATTTCATGTACTCCAGAGTTTAAGTCATTCTTATTTAAGAATGTTTTCCGGGAAACACCTTGTCAACTCAGAAAATATTCAAAATTATATGAATCAGTCTATATCTGTCTACAAATTATTTTTATATCATGGAAAAAGAGGTGCTTCTGGAGAAATACTTGTCAGATTCAGGAAAATTTTCCTATTTTAGTTTTGCTATTCCCTCTCCTCAAAACATGTACTTACTGAGAGAGTTTAAGGTATGGATTATTTTCTTCATTATAGTCACTCCATTTAGCTTTTACAACCTGGGCCTGAGATTTTAATTCATTGATTAAAACTTGACCAATATCTATCATTATACCATGGCACTTGATATCTACAATAGAAAATGATCAAAACAAAACTTAAATATTAAAGGACTGACTGACTCCTACACTCTGGGTACATTACTCCAGATATCTAATTCTCAATTTGATTGAATTTTAGTTACGTCATAAATATCCTGTTTTATAAAGTGAGGATCAGAAACAGTCATATTGCTTATTCTCAGTCTGTATAAGTTCATTATCAGTTAGTTGATATCCCTGAAAATGCCAAAACACCTTAAGGCAACAGAATAACCAACTGAAAAGTTACCTGGATCATTTCTAAAAGCTGTGTCAGCATGACTGGCCACTTCAGTTAAACTTTTACCATAATGAAGATGAGCATCGGCGAGCTGTTTAAATAATGTCTTCCAGATAGCAAAGTTCTTCAGACTAAAATAAAATAAAACTTATCATACATTGATAATATATCATCACTGATCCTTATCCTCGTCTAATTCAATTTCGTTCTGGAAACTAGAACTAGAAGGATGAGCAGGTCCTTGAAAGCCCACTGTAAGATATACTCTGAACGGTTGACAATTTGTTGTGGTCTGTATCCGTATTAAACTTTCAGTTTCAAAATGAAACGCTTTTTGAAACTTACTGTTTGTCATCTTTTGTAAGATGAAGCCTTGTTGCTGTTTTAGGCACTTCCATTTTCCCAAAATAAGCAAAGCGTTGCCCAGTTATACATCCTGTTTCTTCTTAATCATTGAATGTTTGAAGTTACAACATAATTTGACGACCTACTGCGAAAATGTCAACGCGACCATGTTGGAAAGGGAGGTAACTTTTGTTGACATTATGACGTCATAATGCTCTACTTACCCACGCCTCCCCATCCTTTAACCGTACATTTCCTAATATAAGACGCTTGACCACAATTTATATCTTGGGTCCACAAATTTGATATGGATATCTGAAATGAATCTCTGCCAGACCCGTCGTAGTGTTTACCCCCCTTTTAAATAAATGTTATAGGGTCGGATGTGTTAAAAAGACGGTACATCTTCTAGGAATAGAAAAATGTTGAATAAATATTTTATTATCCTTTATGATTTGGCATACATTTTGTCATACAGTTCTGCATATTTCTAAAATTATTTCCATTTCCAAGGCAACCACCGTAATTAAATTTTTGACAAGTATTGGTTTTGGTATCAAAGTAATACCGAGGTATAAGAGCTTCACATGGCCCTACTACTTTAAGTTGTTGGCAGACTGAAACAATGAAAAAAGCCATTTTGAAGTGGATATCAAGTAGCCTACTAAGATATTGGTGTAGTAATCTAAATATTTTACTTCCGCAGAAGTTTCAGCTATCGTCATCACTGTCCATTATTAAAATCTGACCTTCATTTTGTCTACAATTTAATAACAAGTTGCGTTAGCAGCATTATTCCATGCAGACTTTACCCTGTGCTGCATAGTATTTGCAAGGGAGAATATCAATGATATGAAATATATGTTACTTTATGAAGTGTCTCAAAATTAAATTATGAATATTATTATATTATTATTATAAATAGCAAAAATAATGTTCTTACCGTCTTGGCTCTCACACTGTTTAACACATTCACCATAAGTATGGAAATTATTTTTATTGCCCCCACAACCACCATAGGAGAATAGTTTACATTGACTTGACAATATATCATAGTAATATCTATTGAAGGCTCCATCACATGGTCCAATCTCCATTCTCTCTTTACATTCTACAATACAATAAGATGATAATACAATAACAATACATTTTTAATCGGATCAATGGCAAGAATATGAGAAACCCAACTACATCAAATCTTTTTCAACTTCCCTTGCATGGAAATGTGCCAACCTGCCAGAAACCGTTCAATAAGCCTTTGTTTTTATTTTACACTATTCCCTGTTGAATGAGAAGCAGTTGAAAACTGTTCCCATTATACTATAGTATCAGTGACAGGTGCGGCCAGTAGAAATTTGAACACTTACCTGGTCCTGCAAGAGAGCTACCAAACACAGCACCAAATATAATGGCAATATGTAGAGTGTTCATATTTGATAAACCGTTTAAAGAGCACTGTCCACTACTGACTGACCTTATCTCAGTGTATTTTCTAGAATAATGTAGGTTATCTTGATGTCATTCAGAATACTGGTAACTGATAAGACATTGTTTGATTTTTTCTTTCAACAGCTTAATCTTATGGTACATTTTACAAACAAATTGCATTAAATGAAGCTGATCCAATTCCTTTATGGTTGGAGCCAATCTATTGAAGTGTATTCGGTACCAGTTTTAAACTGTTCTTCATTATCAGTTGTACTTTTTAATGCACAAAAGAACGAATCAAAAACTGTAATATAACACAAGCATTTCTATAAAAATTCAATTTAATGTAAAATTGTACAGACAATAAAAGCTGTATAAAAAGTTTCTATATATAATATTCTAATCATGTTACAATTAACAATTCAATTCTTCACAAATAAAAAAAAGAAGGCAATATCCTTGATTTTAAAACAGATTTAAATGGCAGTAACTTGAATTCAAAACATATTGAAATATCAGTATCCTTGAATTCAAAACAGAAAATATGGCAGTAACTTTGACTTCAATAGGCTAAATAGCAGATCCCTTTTCAGTTTTGAATCATCAAAAACTAAAATCAACATTATAAAATAAAATATAAATCAAATGTAACTAAACATTTATCAATAATTCCCTTATTGCTAAAACTAAAGGTTTTGAATAGTATAATCTATGAGTCAAAAGATCGTGGGGTATGTGAAGTTGTGTATTGTCACACAGTTTACTATGAATTATGTCAGGTAAACACAACAAAACAATTTAATTCACTATTAGAGCAGAAGATAATCCTATTTCATTAGAAGTTAATCAAACCATGCTTCAGAATTGGCACAATAACTGATATTCATTTCATTGCAAATGTAGGTAAGCCCATTCCTGAGCAATTACAAAATAAACACAATATCTTCTGGAGATTCAGTACTATTTCTGTGGCGTTTTGTTTCTCTGAAAGTAATGCGCTATGGAATTCTTGCCTCTTAATGGAGTCTGAAAGAAAAAAGAATTTAATAAATAAAAAGTTGTCTACTCTGTATGAATAATGGGCAAATTCTAGCTTCTATTTGTACCATTCCAATTCTCTGTGTTTCAAATCTAATATCTTTGAGAAACTATCATTAAAATTTAATATCTATCAGAAACATCCATTCAAAATGGAACTGTTCAATTATCTTTCAAGACTTATCAAGTAATTACGAACTATGAAAACTAACAATTGTAACAATTTCCAATGACAATCAGCACGATTTCTTAAAGTCCTGTATTTACCTTAGGTCTAATAGGTGAGGCAGCACTATCACTAGTTTGACTCTGACTAGACTGTTCATCACTTGACGATTGAGTTTTCCCTGGACTTAATAAAGCTGTACCTTCATAACCATCACGATGTAATCGTATCTGAGTTAACCAGTCTAGTTTTTTACGACTCAATGAATTCTCTTTATTTCCCTTATAAGGAGTTCGTGGAGATCTACCCTCAAGTTCATCAGTCACTATGTTTGGGAGATTTTGGGTTGGAGAGTATTTAGGGGTCATTTCATTCTCTTTACAAGACTGAACACAAGATGGCGTCATAGGAGCTGGTTTCTCTTCTAGAGGTATTTCGTTATCAGACACTTCTTTTAATACATTGGAACGTTTGGAAGGATTTTCATCATCACAAGGGTCGTCGAGTCTTCGTTTATTTGAAGGTTTTTGAGGAGTGGTTAGTAAAGGAGGTAATGCTGCATTGGTTAAATCACAATTTCCTAAAGTCTCTTGGTTCTCATTTTGAAATGGAATTGACACTTTCTCTTCCCTTGAATCATTTTCACAATTGTCTGAACTTTGAACTTTGTTCTGAGATTCCGTAATTCCAAAGAAATTGAGTGAAGTCCTCTTTGGTTGAGATTCTCGATTAGATTTTGATTTGGTCAAGCTTTTAGAAAGAGATTGAGGGGTATCACACGTTTTATTTTGAAGTCCTGATAACCAATCTTTCAGTGAGGGTGATTTGGTAGGTGTAGGTTCACTGACATGCCGAGTTAAGATAGTTTTTGGTGCTGGAGAACAAGCTGGACTGCTTGGTTTAGATATTGATGATTTGATAGCCATTGTTGATGTACCTAAAATAGAAAGTGAACTAATGTTTGTTCTTTTCTCTCAATATTGGAGCTCAAACAAGTCTACAAAAAGAATTCTGAATATTCAATTTATTTGTGAACCATTTCCCTGATGTGTACATACCTATCTCACGATGAGTTAATTCTGCTGTACCAGTTACCTCCCCTTGCTGTGGTTTGTGATCAGTTCCTCTATTTATTCTCCATAATCTCATTGTATTATCATCAGATATAGTGGCTACCTACAAAAAGGGACAGGAAAGTCAAAGTAGATTTACTTAATATTTTCCAATTTCTTTATGTATGTATACAAGGTAAAAACATGCACAGCAATAAAAAGGCATTGTTTTCTAATTTGAAAAGCACCATGCCTTTTCCACATCAGACTGTCACCCAGACCACTTCAATGGAAAAACAGATTTAATTACTTACCTTAGTCATATCATGTGGACACCAGGCAACACTAGTAACTTCAGCATTATGTCCCTTTAATATAACTGGTGAGTTATTGGTTTTATCAACTTGCCAAATATACGCCATTTCATCACTGGAGCCACTCAATAAAAACTTATTATCAGGACTGAGTGATGTTTTAATATAAAATGTGGTGTTCTTATGTCCTCTTATAGTTTTTACTGAAATGTAAACACACAAAAACCGATCAGTTACATTAGCACATCTATTGGGTGTCGAATTCTTAATAGATGACAGTCTTATCCAATCCAACAGTGCTAAACAGCTTTGTCAAGGAATAACTGGTTAATCTACAAAAACAATTTCTAGACATTTTTGTCATATTTGAAAAATTGATATTACCAAAATCAAAGTGTTTTATACCTGGCTGTTGATTATATGTAATAACATCATATACATAAATAACATCATCAGTACAGCTAGCATATAATGTACTGTTATAACTATCTAATGTTAAACATGAATAACCTGCAATACAACAATTACTTTATATAAGTTATTAAATTGAAACTATGGGGTCCCAAGAAAAGAAATATTAAAAAACTGAAATGAACTGTTCAAGATAATATCAATGAGCAAAGGCTAGTGCTCTTTCTTTTTTAACCATCAACTTTCACAACCCCTTCACTGGCCACATAATAATGTTATACCCAAATGGTCAGTAGCTGTAGCTGTTACTAACAGATGTCAGATAATATTTAATTATATCAAATGGGAGTTCAGGGTGTTTAAATGGTTATTTGTCCTGAAACTAAAAAATCTATAAATATTGCTAACATACCATGTCTCCTCTGACAGTTACCAGAGTAAGGGAAAACATATCTAGACATTGGTTCAGTAGAAATATTGGTATAATTCTTTCTTAAATCCCATACTTTTATAAACCTGAAACATAGTATAACAACTTCCTGATGAACATGATTTTTTAAATGATAATACTAAGATATATAGATCTTTTGTTTTATAGGGTACTATTAAATACTAAAATATATGTAAGTCAAAAAAAAAAAAAAAAAACTCACCCATCAACAGCTCCAGCAGAGATTAATAAATTCTCATCTTGAAATGTTACAACTGTGACACTCTGTTGACTGTCCTAAAATATAACAAACATAGGATGTGAACAAATAACATTCTAAAATCTAGATTAGGTAACTGTTGGGCACAGCTTAATTTTACCTTCTTAGTTCTCCATAAGATTCATGAACATTGCCTTTTTATACACAAAAACAATACTTGCAATTAGGCCTATATATAATATCTTACCAATGCTGGCCCAAGCCTATTTTTCTTTTTTTGTTTAGCACTAGAAATAACATGGGCATTTTTAATAGTATTGTATGCAGGGATAGCACCATCTGAAATATATATAAGAATGATCTACAGTAAATCTAAAGCATCAAAATGTCACAAATATTTAGAACAGACAAACAGTCTGTGTTTAAAAGTATATCAATTTCGCAAATGTACAAACTCTTGTTTACTACTTAGCATATGAACACTACACAGTGGTGCAGCTAAATATTGCAAGACTATTTAGGAACTTCTGACATATTTTCATACTTAATCCTACCTTTATGATTCAATCTTTTATCCCATAACATAATATGACCATCTCTAGACCCTGTTGCTAAAACCGCTGAAAGATGAATTCACATAATAAAAATTTAACAAATAAAATGTTTCATTATTGTAAATAAAAATTTCCACTATAAGTCTACAATAAGTACCACTGAATCAGACTGACAAAAAAGTTCAAAACGTTATTTTTTATATTCTATGATATCAATTATAATACATGTACTGGAATTTTAAGCACCAATTTCAAACCAGCATCTCTACCATCTCTTAAGCATAAGGAGTAAGTTTACAGTAAAATAAACTTACAATCATCAAATTTTCTAAAAGCAACAGATCTTATACTGCTGGTATGACCTTTAAATGTTTCTAGTTTCTGTGAAGTTTTGACATCCCATAAAACAGCTGTCTGATCACCTGAAGCTGTTAGTAATTTCTCTTCTTTCTCCATCCAGGCCAAGTCAAATACTGCATTGTTATGAGCTTGCCATTCTAGAAAACATAATTTATCATGAAGTAAAAAATGTTGTTGAATTCTTATTTGACGCTGACAAAACATAATGGTATTCTAATACAAATGTTGAACTAGTTCTCATGAATCAATACATAGAGCTGTTATTCTAAAACTCTTTATATTTTTTAGTTATGGTGAATATTTCTTCTTAAGACTTCTTTGAACTCACAAGACCTCATAAAGACATTTTCTGCAGAACCTACCAAAGAGATATAATTTCAGTACCTTTTAAAATGGCATCAGGTCCAGATTTAGTTGTATTATGAAGTACAAGATATCCATTTTCATCAACTAAAGCTAATATATGACCAGCTGATGATTTCACTATAATAGAAATTGAACATTCAACACATTAACTAATGAACTAAGTAATACGATTCTTCTAGAATTTCAAACAAATCATTAACAGAATATTTGGGGGAAAAAATGTATTTGTGCAAAATATACAAACAAAATTGAGTATATATATTTAAGATTTGTTTTTTGTTTTGCCATTAACCCACAGAATTTTGGAAAGATACACTACAAACTTAAAATTCTAAGGAAAGGGCTGACATTACGGAAAATTTCCTGGACCATATGAAATTTTATTTCATCTTTCTAAAATTTTTCCATGTTCTTTCAATGAGCATATCCTGTAATACAGAGAAAATCTTCACCTATAAACTATAATAGGAAATTTGATGATAAATGTGAAAATACCTTTGCAAAAACTACAGGCTAATGGTGGAACTGTACCCTGAAATAAAAATTATTACATGTCACTAATAAAATTCAAAATCAATTAACAGCAAATTGTATGATCTAATATTTTATTTAGAAAAATTAATTTATTATATTTTGGACAGTCTTTGGGCCTTTAAACAGCAGAAACTTTCAGTTGCATCTTTCTGCTTCCACTCAGTTACCATAAATAAAAGCAGTTTTCTGCCAGTGAAGACAGAAAAGATTAGAATAAAGTAAGCTACCCCATCTTCTTCGGATGCAAGGATGTATTCTTCCCTGGCACGTCCTTCAAAATTCTCTAATATACTGGACACATTAGTTGAACACAAATTACCTGGAATTAATCATAACACATTGACTTTCAATTTGCAATTCCCATTAATCATAGTCAAACATGAACTTACAGTTACATTACTTTCATCTTGTCTTGAAATGGCATTGACTGTAATTAGTAAATGCCAGGGATACAACAAGTTCAATCTAGTCCACCGCAATCAAGGAATCAGTTCTTATATATTGTCATTATCAATTTACGATATTAGAAGTAAAATATGCACCCTGTTCTCTAATCGATTGTCAAACTGTAGCAAAGGCCACGCCCACAGCCACACAATCCGCATGTTTATAATTGTGATCAAAAACTTCTTTTTAAAGCAACAACGATAAACGCTGTACAAAAGAAACAGAAAAAATGCATTCAGGGACGTAAACTTACTATGCTTGTTAATATTTTTTAGACCATACAAACGTTTATTTATGGAATAAAACATATTATTTTGCATTAATTCTCTTTTCTCAGCATCCCTATTCCGCGCCATTTGACGTAAACAACCTCGTTCTGGACCATATGTAAACAGGTGCCCGAAATTTTTTTTTTATTATTTTTGTGTACATTGATTTTGTGCATTACACGTATTTGTTGTTTGTTGTCGATTCTGGGAGTTTTGAAAACATAATGATCATAAATGTCAGTGATTTATTGAACAACGAATATCTCGGACAAGTGTTATTTCGGTAATGAGCGCAGCCATATTGGATTCTTTCTAGAAGCGTCTGCAAGCGTGATTCATGACAACATAAGATCGGATCTTATCTGAATCAATCCTCTCAATTCCCTTTTTGAGAAGAATTCTGTGGAGGCAGTAACGGTATATCTACCATCATGGCCCCTGTTAAAGCTGCTAAATCTGGTAATAAGTCAGAATATCAAGATAAAGACAAGCCAACACAAATCCGATACAGTAACCTCACCGCCGCTAAAGGTAAACAAAAAATAAATTCACGTTGTGCTAATCAGTTACATGTCTCAGATCTACATAGATAGATGAATGATTATGTCTAATTAGGAATCTTTCGTACAGCCAGTTGAAAGAGGTTAGTATATGATGGCTTGGTAAGTAATTGAAATGGTTTCCAAGGTAAACTAACCAACAATTCCCTTATAAATTCACTGAATAATAGATGGCACTGACCAGTTCATACAATTGAGTCAGATAGGCCTAGTGTTTTCCCCCCTCTGACTATCAATTCAATGTCAGATTATGATTTATCTCATGCATATTTTGTTTTTCAGCCGTTGCAGATGCCATCAGAACAAGTCTTGGCCCAAGGGGCATGGATAAAATGGTAAGTACCGTATACCTATGATTGCATTCCGTACAACAATATAGTTGTAAATACAATAATCATCATGAATAACAAATTCAAGTGTGTCAAGTCCAAAGTTTTTATTCATCTCAAGGGTGTTTTTTTTTTCTTTTTTAGATCCAAGCAGCCAATGGGGATGTAACCATAACAAATGATGGAGCAACAATTTTGAAACAAATGCAAGTCCTCCACCCAGCAGCTAAAATGGTACAAACTTTTTATTGATTCGTCATATTGCTAAAATTTTTCTATGGAATCTGTTAGTTCCACAAAGATATCTGCATATTTTATTACTTTGACACCTTTCAGATTTACATGCTTTTCTTATCCTGAATATTAAATCAACCTAGATATTTATCACTTCACTCAATTTACGATTTTATTGCAACTTAATGTTTGATTGGAACAAATTGATAGAGAATTCAGTCATTGACAACCTTCATAGACACAACATTGGTTTGTCATCTCAAAGACACAACATTGATTGTATAATTCTAGTTAGTTGAGTTGTCTAAAGCTCAGGATGTAGAAGCTGGAGATGGTACAACATCAGTTGTAGTTTTAGCTGGTAGTTTGTTGGATTACAGTGCCAAATTATTGGGCAAAGGTAAGTTTATGTTTGAATGCTCAAAAAGTAATGACTGTTTCATCGGAATTGAAGTGATTTTCACTTATGTACCCATGTTCACTGGTTCAACTTTTGATTCCATACAAGTGATAAGCTTTAAGTCATTTACAGTAGTTTTTGACCACCACATGTTTCTTTCTAATTCCAATATGATGTATTATAATCATTTTTTATTTCAGGAATTCACCCTACAACTATTTCTGAATCATTTCAAAAAGCTTCAGCCAAAGCAGTAGAAATATTAGAAACTATGGTTACACCATTACAATTATCAGATAGAGAATCTTTATTAAAAAGTGCTTCAACCTCTCTAAATTCTAAAGTAAGTTATTTTCCTTTAAAAAATCATGTTTGGTTTATGGGCTCATTTTTCACCTTCATTGTAGGACTTTTTTCTGTAAACAAGAAAAGTCATGACTGAATTTGAATGTAAACATGAAGAATTGTTCATTAATATCATTAATAAATTCTGCTCTATCAGCTGAAGTGAAAGCCACCACACTGGTCAATATGTTTCTTTGTATCTATATTTGATTGGATTTTAATTGCAGGTAGTGTCTCAATATTCTAACATATTTTCACCTATTGCTGTGGATGCTGTTATGAGAGTTATTGATCCTGCTACAGCTGATAATGTTGATCTCAAGGATATTAAGATGATTAAAAAATTAGGGTAAGTTGATTTATTTCTATTTCTCTGAAGAAGAAGTTAAAAATAGTATTTGCATCATCTTCAATCAATACAAAATTTATGTCATGTCAATATTTATTTTACTGTTCACCAATAATTTAAAAATTTAGACAAAACACTCCATTTCTTTTTCATGTACCAGTACTAACAATTTACTGACAAGAATGCTTGCAGTATAGATTTATACTGGGGTTTATATACTTCAACATAATCAATAGTATATGTCTGTAATTATAATCTGTTCACAGGGGAACAGTAGAAGATACAGAATTAATTGATGGTTTAGTCTTCAATCAGAAACTCTCTTCTGGTGGACCAAGTAAAATAGAGAAAGCTAAAATTGGCCTTGTCCAATTTTGTATATCAGCACCAAAAACTGATGTAAGTTATTTCAGCCCTTACAGCATTCTTCCCTAAGGGACAGGTTGGAGCTATTGTCCAATTGGGCATGATATAATAAAGAATACCATGATGCTCCAGTCTCACCTAAATTAGAAGACTAAAGTGCAGGTTGCACCTGTAAGTGTACACAGGGTGTCTATTCAAGTTAGCCACCTTTCCCATTGCATAAAATCAAAGACTGAAAGCTTTCCACTTACTATTTGTTAAGTTACTGATTATCATTTAGTTCTCATATTCATACTTCATGAACAAATTACAGTAAAAGTTTTATTAAATAATCACAATTGGTTGAGATTTATGGAAAAACTGAATTGCTATTTTGTAGATGGAAAACCAAGTTATTGTATCAGACTATACACAGATGGACAGAGTTTTAAAAGAAGAAAGAAATTATATATTGAATATTGTTAAACAGATCAAAAAGGCTGGATGTACAGTTCTACTTATTCAGAAATCAATTTTAAGGTATTTGATATTGTTGATTTTGTTTTAATGTCTAAATGGTTTTTGATAAGGGCTGATCTGTATTTATTATTTGAGTTTGACACTAGTGTATTCAATATTATTTGGAAAAGATAATTCTGATATTATTCAGCTGTAAATTTGGTATGACTACTTTCGCTTTTATATTAGTTGGACCTATAACTGGATACAATTATATGGAAAACAATTACATTAATGAATAATCTGCAATATTTTGACATAATACCATTGTCTCTATTAAGCAATATTATTTTCAGTGATCTCCTAATCTATAACAATCTTTCCTATTTTAGAGATGCTGTCAGTGATCTTGCCTTACATTTTCTGGCTAAAATGAAGATAATGGTTGTAAAAGATATTGAAAGAGAGGATATAGAATTTGTTTGTAAGGTATGTTTGGCTTTATTCATAAGTACTTTGTTGGCTTAAAAATATTTTTTACCCATAAACCATTAGTAAGGATGTATCTTGCCATTTGAAAAGGAAAATTGGTCTGAGATCAGTAGGAACCTAACATATCCAGGCCTAAAAGACATTTAATTTACTTTTTTTACCTTGAAGCTATTTCTATTTATGTGCAATTTTACTTAAAAGAAACTGATTGTAGATACGGTGCAACATAGTAGTACAGACAGGGCTAGTGTCAAGTGGTTATAAATGGGGTTCCTAGCTTTCTATTTGAGGCCTATGGTACCAGTGTGTTAGTTCAAAACTGAAACGCTCCCAATTATTTGTCCTATGTTTCTTATTCCAGACACTAGCTTGCAGACCCATTGCTAGTTTAGATCATTTTGTGGCAGAAAATCTTGGGTCAGCTGATTTAGTTGAAGAAGTGCCTGCTGGTACAGATAAAATAGTTAAGGTGAGATCTCCTAGTAATCTTGCTCTATATGTACATTTTATGAGGTATGAGAGGTCATTGATACAATGGAAACTATGGGGGAGTATGTTTTTCCCAATATAAGGGAAAAATTTAATCAGTATTGATTGGTATCCATACCAAAATCTTGGAAGCTATCACACAGGTGTGAAATCCACATCTTGATTTAATATAATGCCCTATTCTTCAAGTTTGATTGTTTATAATGTGATACAATAAGGGTAACTAATAAAGAGGTATATTTTGTATGTTTAGATTACTGGTATAGCTAACCCTGGTAAAACAGTTACTGTATTATTACGAGGATCTAATAAACTGGTATTAGAGGAAGCTGACAGATCTCTACATGATGCTCTGTGTGTCATTAGATGTCTTGTGAAGAAGAAGTAAGTGTCTCAAATGGTTAATAAAACTTGTGAAGAATATTACATCTTTCTAATATACTGTATTATAAGACTGACTTTCGTTCACATATCAGACTGTAACAATGCAGGAGCTTTAAATTTAAAATCTACTGAATCTGTAGCTTCAGTGTAAAATGAAACTTGGTGTGTAATACTAATGGGTTACCTTTAGCAATATTATTCTTATTGTTCTTTTAATTCTAGGGCTTTAATAGCTGGTGGAGGTGCCCCAGAAATCGAATTATCAATCAGGTTAATGGAATATGCCAATACACTGGCTGGAATGGAACAATACTGTTTTAGAGCCTTTGCTGAAGCTTTAGAAGTTATACCATTTACATTAGCAGAGAATGCTGGTTTAAATCCTATAGCAGCAGTAACAGAGTTGAGAAACAGACATGCTGAAGGTGAAAAAACAGCTGGTATCAATGTCAGAAAGGTAATAATTTAGCAATCTTTCAAAGAATTTAATTGTTTGATATATATTATGCCATAGCCTAAAAGAGTGATGACAATTGAATTCTCCTCAAATCTTCTAGCTTCGCTTCTAGACCTTTTCAGAAAAAGCCAATCAGTTTCAGCCTCATTATGCTTAAATGAAATGAAAATAGAAATATTCTTGGTGATGAAATAAATCATTGACCTGTTCTGAAATTTTGTCAGTGTGGATGTTTTTATCTGAAAGAATATTTAAATGATTTAAAACTTAGCTACAAAGAGTTTTAGATAATATTTGAAAAGCTCAGTTTGAGCCCTGTGAATGAATGTAGGAAGGAGACATATCAATAATTAGGTGTAAGCAAGGGCCAATTAACGACCAAATAAATATTCTTGATGATGAAATAAATCATTGACCTGTTCTGATATTCAAAATAGTGTGGAAGTAGCTTTCTGAAAGAATATTTTTCAAAGTGACCATATATACATAAATCATTCAACTGTTTTAAAAAAACATACTTAGTCTGATCTCCTTAATCAAAAACCATCTATGAAATTGTCTCTGTAATTATCTGATTTAAGACTTTGTCTCCAAGAAATCAATAGTAAATATCCACTAAATGACAGAGGTCAGTTCGTATTTAATTAATGAAACTGTCTGATCTATTTGTAGGGAGCTATAACTAATATTCTAGAAGAGAATGTAGTTCAACCTATGTTAGTATCTACTAGTGCTATCTCTCTGGCTGCAGAATGTGTCAGATGTATACTGAAAATAGATGATATAGTAAGTATCTTTGATGAAAGTACTAACAGTTTAGATTAGTACAGCTCTAGTTATTTGCTTGGATTACTTCACATGTATCATGATCTTATAATATTCCTCCAAAGTTTGACATGTTTACTCAAACCTGTCAATGGACCCACCAGTAGAATTCCTCCTAAGAAGTCCTTATTTATGCTTTTATGGGTTTGTGAGTAAACATCTGTGGAATGTAAGAAGAGTGAATCAACCCACAGACAATCTACAAAATGAAATGCCTAGCTTGTTAAGAAATATATTATTATGTTCTAGAATGAAACGTGTGGCAATACATGTCAGGTTTTGGAACAGGACACTTAAATTGCCCAGGAGTGATCTCCCTTATTCCGAAATGTAAATCAGTATTTAGTAAAACTTATTACCCTTGTATCTTTCAGGTTAATACAACAAGATAAATATGGAATCATTTGCAGTTTTTTCTATCAAAAGTGTCATTGTACAGACTTCATGTATATTGTGATATCAATTATAGTGCTTTTTCTAAACCAATCTATGCTTCATTTTACATCAAATAAATTATTCTCAACCATATCTTGTGTTTATAGTGAAATTGTACAATGATTCATACTTTTTTCCCCAGCACTCTAAATTAACAAAATGATTTTGGGAGCCTACTTTAGTTTTCTTTCAGACCTTTCTTACTCAATGGGAGGTCCTTGTCAGAAGTTAAAAAAGCTTGCTTTGTCTTCTCAGAAATCCTGTATTCACTTCAAGAGCTGACATGGAAAGTATCTCTTGTGTTGTAATTACCACCTTTCCTTATTTTCTAAGACCCGAAGTTATAGAAGTCATCACTACAACTTCCAAGGCTAAAGAAACATCAGATTTAGCTGTGCATTTCAACAAAGAGTTGTTTCCCTTGAAAGTTCACTGAAATGAAGTATGCATCAAGCTCTTGCATTAGCCAATACATATTCAAAAATATTCAAAATATACCAGTATTGTAGAGTTGTATATTCTATGTACTCCATTTCTGTTTGGTTTGATATTCCAGAACTACTTAATTTGCAATAAAGTTATCTTGAGGCCTTTTATGTGGACGTCAGACCTCTCGGTCTCATTTTCTCGTGAACCCTTGATAATTAAACCCATTTTGACTGATTGGTAGACAAGACTGGGCTGAAGATCGGGTGCTAATTTTAGCCATGTCTGAATATTAAACCCAAAGTTTGATATTCCGGTTTATCGGATCAGAAATGAAGATGGAACAATATCGAATTTTATCCCCCGTGATCTAAAATGTGAATGATTTGTAATGTAGCTTCGACAGATATTCATTGAACCCCTTTAGTTGGTAAATACATACCAAAATATTTTTTTTTTTTTCGCTTCGTCAACCTCATGCCGAAGTGGGCAATATAGCCTACATAGTAAAGCAAATCTAAGCGGACCCTGAGAACTTCATAAGGAAGATTTAGAAGTGCCATATCAGAAACCTGACCGTCGTGGTATAATTGTTGAGGACACCATGAAGTCGCCAATGCAAATGTTGCCGTTTTGCAGCGCCTATGCAACGCTTATACTGTGCTTTTACTGTTCATGTTACGACACACGTCCTTGACTCGGATACGATGTCTGGTATAAGCGTACAGGAAACGCCATCTAAACGGCGACCTTGCAAATTTGTCGCTGCAGCCGCCCATACGGTATGACCGTGAACTAAATTTAATTGTTTGTCTCAGAACAATCCTTATTTTCCTCATCTTTTTTCTCTCCTTTGTAATCTAACACATTGTCTACCCCAGTCCAGTTCTAATGACGTTAGTTTTAACCAATTAAAGCGTTCCTTAACACTACTTTTTCGCTTCGTGGTTCTTCGGTTCTCCCTCGTTGGAGATGAGATATAGAACATAGAATATAATCATAGAATGACGAATAATAGGGTTGCGAAACCTAAAAGAGAGCAATATGACAGCCTCTTTGAGTTTCATTGATCCAAAAAATTCGTTATTATTATTAAGAAACAGACCGTACATGAGACACTCTTTGATTTCTTCAAATAATGTTCTAAGAACGGATCTGACGATAGAAAATTTGTCAGAATACATGGAAAACGGAAAATTTAAAATACAAAGAAATGAAATTTTATTCTTATTTTAATAAGATTGATCCTTGATTTACTTTGCGTTGATAAAAACGTAGATTGAAATTAGTTTTTACCGGGGGAAATTGTCAGTCGTTGAAATTTCTGGGATGTAATTCGATGTAAACTTACTTAAATTTAATCTTTGTCAATTTTTACACTTGTTTTCAAGTTGATATTCAAATTACCCAAAAAATTCGAATTTACCAATGAATGTAAGAAAACTGTGGACTAAAGGCCTTAAACGCAATTCAATGGGGAGACAAACTTGGATACTTGGAAGTATAAGGACTCCTCAATATTCAATATCGTCGAAATTTCTCAAAAATCTTAAATTAAGATTTGTCCTTTTATTTGAAGTAATCTGGTTTATATAGTTTTAAAGTAAACTACCTTTTGAATATCTGTGAGATCTATCTATAGTTTTTTTTTAAACAAAATATTAGACAGTATACGAAACATCGTTCTCTATTCCAGCCTTTCACATCTTTCACAATAGCTATCAAACCATTTCACCATCGGAAAACTAACTCCATAAAATTTGTGCCTTCCAACACGAAAAATGACAAATTTCAGAAAATCTAAGTGCGTTTAACGAAACATCGTCCTCTATTCCAGCCTCTGACAACTTTCACAATAGCTATCAAACCGTTTCACCATCGGAAAACTAACTTCATAAAATTGGTGCCTTCCAAAGACGAAAAATGACAAATTTCAGAAGATCTATTTAGTGCGTTTAACGAAACGTCCTCTATTCCACGCTTAGTTTTTTTTAGTGGAATTGCAGGAACCACAGACGGCTGATTGAAAATTGGAATAATGCGAATTGATACTATCATAAAATCTAGAAAACCCCTTAAACAATCCGTAGACATCTCAGCTTCACAATGATCAAGGAATTACGTCTTCAGCTTCTACATTGACTGCATTTCTTGTTTCAAGAAAGTTTGTGAATGCAGCAAATTGATTGGATAGTACGCTAGCGAATACAGCCAATCTAAGCCCTCAAATGAAAGACTGTAAACAATTAATACGCATGAAATTGGGGGCTCTGATTAGCTGTATTCGCTGGCGTACAATCTACAATCTTATCAAATCGCTGACCGTAAAACAAGTGGGCCATATAGCAGTCAACGTAGAAACGCTTTGTTCTTTGTGAATATGTACAATTAATTTTCTAATACTAAAAAGTTTAAAAATCGGACTGTTAGGCCTATATCCCACGAATTTCATAAAACAATGCTTGCTCTCTCTTATAACCCTATTCTTGAAACTAAAATTCACTTTACGATATTGATTTAATTTTATCTTATGAATTATTTGCCATTGGAACTTTATAATTCCCGTTTGCTTGAAGCATGCCTACTTTCCTTTTAATTTTCCGAAAATGTCCATTGATAGAATGTGACATTTCCTACACTACCTTGATGAGTTTCTTTTTTTTATATTTTAAGTTTCTATAAGTAAAAAAGCATTAAGTTAAGTTATATTCATAGTTAGACAACGGGCACTTGTAAAATGATGAGGTCATTTATTATAACGTCATGTATAATTATATTTTTTTTTTGTCGAGCCTTACGATGCTTACGTTGGCAGTTGGCAAATGGGTCTACCTAAATGATATTATGAAGAAAAATTAAAAGGTGATAAAATACAGAAAATATTATTGTGTGTTACAAATTCAACAAAACAAAACGTGATGTAGACGTTAAGATTTTTTTTCTTAAATTTTGGGGGATTTGTTTGTTTTAACCTCGACTAAATTCAACAAAGTGATGTTCATGTTTAAAATATTTACATTTTGTACTGGGTCAATTTGTCCGTCAGTTTTGAAAGTTTTGTGAAAATTCATATAAATTTTGTCGAATGTTGCGTTCTTTTCATATTTTCAATATTCAAAACGAGAGAAAATTAGAATGAATATTCTGTATAAGTAACTGTTTAATTGAATGCCATAATACCGCCATATCTGTCCTATAAATAATTTTCCAATTGTACTAGTGCAAAGCATTAATTAAGCCTAATATTTCATTTCCAGAAAATAACTAATAAATTTCAAATGTGTTTAGTTGTTTAACACCAAGCCATATACTTTAAATCATAGATAGACATAGTATACAAAACATAATATAGGCCTAATAGTTAAATCGACCTTATAACTGATTCAAAAATTTACCTAATCATATACATAACATTTTTTTCAATTAAATTAATTTTAATTATAAATTCTTTTTTGAAAAAAAAATAGTTTCCCAAGATAGTATGGTATATAAGCCGGTAAGAGGTAATCGATCGTAACGGGGTCAATATTTGACCTCTCAGAACAGATTATTTATACCAAGCTTCAATATAGTGCACTTCTTGAGTTTAGGATACAAAATGTCACGCGCTAGGAACTATATTATGGCGTATTCTTACGGTGGTCAGTCGGCCTGACGTCACAAGTTGCTATGATACCAATTTTTTTTCTTCTTTGGTGCTAAGTCGCGTAGTATTACTATGCTATTTAGTGACTACTTTACATCGCTAATCTTTTTGTTATGGCCTGGGCGGCTCAAGATAAAAGTTGATACACACGATGCAGACCATGTCAAAAATCAAATCATTGACAAAAAATACCTAGTGAACATTAAGCAAAATTTTGCTAGTAAAATTAATTGCCTACATATACCTATATATATAGGTATTGTTATATTGCAAATAAAAATCAATATTTCCTGTAAAATAAATCACCAAGGTTTCAATTTACATCGAGTTACATGCAACTTGAATCTATAATTATTGATTATCGAATTTTAATTTATTAACACTTTTTTTCTAAAAAGTCAATAAAATTATGTAATAGAGAAATCAATTCTTTAAACATAGATATTCGAAAAGAGTACCAAAAATGACAAAGTTTGATACCAAGCATGCCTATGTTCTGTTACATACTTATCTAAAGTATGTTTTAGTCTGAAAAGCGAGCGTTGCCGAAGGACGAGTGACGTCACGTATGAAAGAGGAGGAAGACAGAAGGTCCGAGAAATGGCGACTCCATGATCTGTCGCTTCGGGGGGTGATTGAAGTGGGCCATGTTCAACATCCACCCGAACATTTATGTGAATATTCGTACATTGAAATTATAAGGATTATTGTTACCGGTTTTATAGATAATACGTGTTCAAAATGGAAAATATGTACAAAGTTGGAGGTAGGTAAAATTGAGAATATGGATACAGCATGGACGGGCCCTCTCAACCCACGCGGCATGATATGTAGGGTATATTGCACTGATTTGAGGGTGTTTATAAGATTTAGGTAGAAGGGCACTTTGCATATACACGACGAATTTATTGCTAATATTGATTTTAAAGAGATATTGTTGAAGAAAATGTTATTTGATTGACATTGATGATTTTAATTTGATCATATTCTAAACGCGCATTCATGTAAGTGTGTAATTTGGTCCAAGTTCAATACCCCAATCAATAATTTATGGTGTCTCAATTTCTTAATGAATTGTCATTTTCTTTAACTATTTATTCATATCTATTCATTTATAAACATTTCATATCTTCAATGTGGTAAAAAGTCGCCGAAATCGCCCGTCCATTTTTGAATGGAACTATTTCCTGTCGGCTTTTTTGTATACAAAACGGTATATTTTTACACTCCACACAAAGACATTTGATTGTTTTATTTTCAGACTATGTCTATTTTGAGACTTCCTCCACCTCTCCTTTTCAAATTAGACGAATTGAAGAACTCAATAAGGTACATATTTCTATTTATGATCTTTTCTTTAATTTTTGATAATGGTTCATTATTGACTCTATCAGTAAATTGCAATGGCGTCAAGTGCCATTTTTCACAGTCGAACTATTTTGGGCTCATTTTGTGCCTCCGATTTTTAATTGTTTTATCTCAATTTTTATTTACAGACTCCAAATGGACACGTGGAAGCCAAAGTTATGTGTTTTTATCGAAGAAGGGATATCTCCAGTTCACTTATTATGCTGGCAGATAAACATCAGAGTAAGTTATAGTGTGGGACTAGCCTCTTGTTTATTCACAAAACTTAGCTAATGATGATCTGCACGCGCCATCAGAGGCACATAGTTAAGAAGTTGACCTACTTTGAACCCACATTTAGTCACTTGAATGATTAAACTCAACTATTTGCATGAGTCAATTTCAACATCAAAGTTCAAGATGGCAAACTTCAGATTAAGGATTTATTTAATTCAACTTTAATTATGCAAAATTATGCTTATTATTTGTGTTTGGGCCATTATTAGGCTAGAGATTAGAAGAATATCCCAGCTTGTCTGTCTAATGACCTACTTTAATTTTATTGTGTAAAACCAAGCAAGTTAGATCACATCAAGAAATATCATAATTGTCAATCTTTCAGTAATTCAAAATTGCCTATTATATGGGTGGGATAGTTTAAACTCATCTCGCCCCTTCACTATGCAATATGATTTCTCTGAAAGTTGTTGAAATAGGCCTACTTTCTTGAAATAATTCCCAAAATATAAAGGACATCCCCTCCCTTTTTTGCCTATATGTCAAACCAATATAATATGCAGCTTTACTACAATAAAAGTCTATGAATTGTAAAAACCAGCTTGCTACTAGTAGTTTGAACAATGGCTGTGTATTGAAAAGATAATACGTAATGGTGTGATATAGGTTATGTGTAACTAAGAGTAGGAGACAGCAGAATAAGCTATTTATAGACTCACATTTCACTGTCTTGATCAGAATATTGATTTTACTAGTCAATTGAATGGTCTACAGATAGGCCTAGATATGGCTGCCTTCTAGCTCAAATATAGGTTTACAATAAGCTGATAATAGATACTTGCTATGTCTGGCTTTTGTTGGCTTTCTTTGATGACAATTAAATTTCCATTTTGTTGATGCTGAATATAATCTGTAATTTAAAACTGCAAAGAAGTTTTTTTTTTGCAATTCAATTGAAAACTAAGCTTACTTAATTGTACTCCTGAATTTTGCATTGTTGGCTTGAATTACGAAATATTGTAATGCAATACAAGTACAATCGATAAAAATAATGTTTCTCAATACTTTATTTTATTGCAAAGAGTCCAAAGTCATGCAAAAAATTGTAAGCTTATACAAATTTTCACCTAATCATTGGTGAGAAAAGATATTAGATTTTATAAAATGGAGATTAAAATGTAGTAGGTGAAATGTGACAAAAAACAAGGAAATTAGTACTTTACTTTAATTTTTTGCTACAAAAAATCTTAAGATTGTCGCTTTAAGTCATATAAATAATATAAGATTGGGTCAGACTAACCTTCAAAAATATTTCACTTTTATAAAAATATCTTTTGTCATTTTACTGTCAGATTTTAGCTTATTATTCTGTTACAGTATAATGTAACACAGGTAATTATTATAGACCTAGCTATTCTTGATAATAGTCAATATTAATAAGGCATCGTTGAATTTGAAGTTAATAAAATTAACAATGTGGTTATAAGATATGTCTTAAGTGTTGAAGTATTATACATGAAATTTGGCATTTCTTTATTTGAAGAGTGCAAGTCGTGGAGTTCAAACATCATATATATCTGTAATAGTAATTCATACACTGTTAATTATATGTCAGATTAAATTCCAATAAATATCAAGGTTTTAATTGTAAATAAGGCCTGATTCTATATTGCTATGAAATAATAATGTTAAAAACCACCATCCCTGTCTACTTGATTCACATTGAATGGATATTTTTAAGATAAAGTTTTTTTTACAAGTTAACAGAAATGAATGAATGCCTACAGTTTAAAGTGAATGAATGAATTCTTTGTCTGGGTATCTTTAATCTGTTTTTCTGACACATCAAAGTAGAACAAAGAAAATTGCCCTCCCAGATGTTCACAGTACTAAATAATAGTTAGGCCAGAACAAATTCAATTGTGACTATATTAGGCCAACAATAAAAATATTGATTGAAAAGCAATGAATTATACCATGTTTGTAACTTAAAGGGTGTGTCATAATATTTCTATATTAATCAGCAACATCATTAAGAAATCAATAAATTAACATAGTGTAAATATGTTAATCTACTCAAACATCTTGATTACTTTGATGATTTGTGTATTTAACTAATAATATATAAACTTATATACTGTATATTTATATCAAAAAACACAAGGGAATATATTATGGTATAACACACTTCTTTAATAGTTCTTTGTGTTTTTTGTAATATGTGCTCTCTGTTCTAAATGTAGTTCAAATCTTATATACATTATATACAAAATGATAATATAGTGGTGAACATTATCTTTCATTGCAATAACTAGAATTTATAATGATGTGATAATAGGTCTTATTTAAAGGGATTGTAAAGAGGATTTCTAAATTTTCTATGCTTATCGATTTTTATGAAAAGGCTGACAGCCTGTACCTGAATACACAAGTAGGATATTTACATGAATGTTGACTATTCAAATTAATTAAAATTTTGATATTTCTATATTTCTAGAGTTCTTATTTGATCACGTTTAGGCAAGCTTGACTAGTGATGGAGTTCAAATCAGATGTTTTACTGTCTATGATAAAAGTAAAATGCACGGGCGAAAGTAATATCAGTAAAAGATCAAGATCTTTCTTGAATTTCATGAAAATTGATAGATCTAAATAACTATTCTTTGTATTTGCAGGTTTATTGGAAGAAAATGGAGAGACAGTTCCGGAGGAGAAAGAAGAGGAACAGAGTGAAAAAGGATCACATCAGTTGAAACATCGAGAATTATTTTTATCACGCCAAGTTGAGACATTACCGGCAACTCATATTCGTGGAAAATGTGTTGTTACTCTTTTAAATGAAACTGAAGCATTGACTTCTTATCTCAATAAAGAGGATATGTTCTTTTATTCACTAGTCTATGATCCCCAACAAAAAACATTGTTAGCTGATAAAGGGGAAATTCGTGTTGGATCCAAATATCAGGCAGAAATAACTTCACTTTTAGAAGGTAAGTTGTCATGTGTGACATTGCGTTTGACAGTACAAGCTGTGTATGTAATGGTAATCAGTATCCCTTAAAATTACAAGTTACTGTTCCACAGAAGGCTTAAAGCATTGTTCACTAATTTATTCTATGAGTGAAAAAGTAGACATTGTCAATAAGTTGACTCAGTAAATCACTCTAACCCCTGGGATATCAGTACTTGATGATTTTTCCCTTTCAGAGAATTGTTAAAGAGATACTCAGGATTCTCTACATTAACGAGTTTATTTTGGTGTTACTGGGGAAACTTGAATTTTTTTAATTGTCTTTTCAGGTGAAGATACTCGGAAACTATCTGAATTAGAAGATTTAATATGGCAGCCATGTCCAGAAAATGGTATTACAGATAAAGAAATCGACCAGTTTCAAATTGTAGCAAAGTAAGTTTATAGGCTTAAAAAAAGGAGAAAATTTATGTGTCATGAAATACGTCTTGTTGAAGCCAAGGTTGTTGAGTTGATGGTACTAGTCTTTATCAATTTTAATTCTAAAGTGTTTGGTCATAATTGTCTTGTTTAACTTTGGAGATGATATTTTCAAATATCATGCTCAGTGAACATTTGGGACTCTTAACTGTCTAGGAACATGTATTAAAGCTACAAGAGATACTGTGATTAAATCTAAAAGAATAATTACTATTGATATACTGTAATAAATCCTGATGATGATAAATAACCCATCACTGACCTGTTCTGAATATTTACTGTGGATTTTGATGGACTGAAGGATTTAAAAGTTTCAAGTTTTATACGAAGAGATCTTGTGCAGGCCTCGTATTCTCTAAATGACATAAGAGCTTGGATGTTTGAGGGGCATAATTTCTTACTCTGTTTCTAGGATATCCTTGTGCTAAGATCATTTCAAGAGTATTAAGCCAGGAGTTGAAGATTTGTGAATAAAATGCATTCTCAATCAAGATAATGCTGGTATCAGAGATGGACACATTGCTTTCATAAGTGAAATGTGAAGTTCCAATCCAAACCTTGACAGCAGTTGCCCATTGGTAATTGCCAAAAAGATTATTGTATAATGCATTAACTGACCCCATGTATTTTATCTTATTAGATCTGTAGGAACATTTGCCAGAGCATTAGACTGTACAAGTACTGTAAGACAACCCAGTTTACATATGAGTGCTGCAGCTGCCTCAAGAGATATATCTTTAGTAAGTTTTTTTCATATATTTTGGTTGCTTTATCTAATGATTATATATGAACATAAACATTCTCATTGATAATTGGCATCAGCTTGTTTACTTCCATATAGAACTTCCTTTCTACAATATAAAGGTAGTCTTATAATTAGTTTCTAGGCCTCAACAAACAGTAAATATGAGGGAAGTATGTCATACACATAGTTTATGGCAATTACATACAATACAAACTTTGTTGAAATAAACTGACAGTGCTTCATACTGCCATTTTATGTGCAGAGGAAATAAGGATCAGTGTAATTTTGAGCAAGTATTAATATAATATTTTGACTTTTATATTTCAGTTTAATGCTATGCATACGTTGCATGAATACAAATATAACATAGCAAATGCAGTGACTAGTTTAGTACCTGATGGTGGACCTGTATTATGTAAAGATGAAATGGAAGAGTGGTCGGCATCAGAAGCTAATTTATTTGAAGAAGCTTTAGATAAATATGGGAAAGATTTTAATGATATTCGACAAGACTTTGTAAGTAGAAATTATTAGGTTTGAGATTTGACGAATTTCTTGGCCGCACCACCAACTTAAAATGGTGAGGCATCTGAAAAAATAATGAAATCCTGATGATGATATATAACCCATCACTGACCTGTTCTGAATATTACTGTGGACTTTGATGGACTGAAGGATAAATTATGATTTTTATTCCAATTTCATACTCAACTTTATTTGGTTTTTTGATAATTTCCAAACTCATTCCCACTTGACTTATTCAATTTCTCATCTTATAATGCTTTTATTTACTGGTCTTTATTACAGTTACCATGGAAATCATTAAAAAGTATTATAGAATATTATTATATGTGGAAAACAACTGATAGATATGTTCAACAGAAACGTATCAAAGCTGCTGAGGCAGAAAGAAAATTAAAACAAGTTTATATTCCTAATCAGTAAGTATCTTTATTGATTTGTCTTCTTCTGTAGATTACTTAAATACTTAAAAAACAAAATAAAAGGGCTATATTCTTAAACTTCCTTCTTTTTTTACTCCACTTCACAAAATATATTCTTACAGAGAATGATCAAATATTGTAACTGTGTTAAATTATTGAAATTTCCTTTGAATTTTTTTATAATCAAGGTGTCTGAAATTTATTGACTGAATTCTTGAATTGTCTTTTTCTAGAAAACCCAATCCTGCTCATCCAGCCGTATTATCTGGTAAAATGAATGGTGATCAAATGTCTGGTAGAGCTTGTGAAAGTTGTTATTGTAAGTCAGAGTTAATTCTCTTGAATCTTGAGTAACAGAAACTTTTAGTGGAAACTGGTTTTTTAAAGATCAAAGCAACTAATACTCTGTATAGAAAGTCACAAATAGTTCAGATGTTTGTTTCAAAATCAACTTGATAGCTTTCCAAAAACATTGCACACTTAAAAGATTTTGTGTTACCTTGTTGGTTGTCTCTTAACTATTAGTTATTATTTCAGCTTCTCATTCTAATTTGTGGTATGCATGGGGACCAAGTCACTTACAGTGTCGACTCTGTTCTTCATGTTGGACATACTGGAAAAAATATGGTGGTTTGAAGATGCCAACTAGATTAGGTAGGTTAAACATTTCCACAAATTATTTCAAGTATTGACTGTACAAATGTCTGTTCATGAAATTATCATCATTGCTGAAAAGCATCAGAGGAAATAATTTTATGATATACAATATAGAATCTAGCAAATATAGATTAAGTCACAACAAATATCTTATAATTTCTGTTATGCATTACAGATGGAGAAAGACCGGCACCAAATCAAAGACAGGGTCAATTTAGTAAGTGTTTTTTGAAATTAATTTAGTAAAGGAAAATTTAATTGCATTTCTAAATAAATACCATTTGTTTATGTCTCTTAATGACAGTTGTTTGTTCGTCCAAAAAAACTTTAATTTATGATAGTCATTGATAATATTTATGTTGTAGCTTTTAGTGATCGAGGTAATGCTATGAATATCATGAGAACTCATCGATGTACTATAGCTGGATGTGGCAAGGTAAATAAATATTTTGTCTTCTTATATACAATAATATATCTTCAAGTAGGGCTGGGTGATATACCAGTATCATACAGTAAAAACATATTGGACCAATATTACGATATATATATCCATATTGTAATGTATGAATGATATCCACTAGAACTAATATTAACCAGCACTATGAGCAGGTGTTTGTTTATTGTATGACAAGTACTATAACAATATTTTCTGGAACAATTTTTCTGCAGCAATATTTTCAAATGTTGCCATTACTATTTTTAGACACCTTGCGTTTTCTTTCTTCAGCCTGATAAAATTTGATTGTTTCTTTTAGGAATTCAAATTAAAGACTCATCTAGCTCGTCATCTAGCTACAGCTCATGGGTTAGCTATCAGACCAGGTAGTCCTAAACCTGTGATGAAAACACGAACAGCATTCTGTCTGGTGACGACAGCCTTAACAAGATTGTCTCGTAGACTGTGTAAAGATTTATTACGACCAAAACATGCAGCAAGATTGCCTTTTATACCCATTAATATTGCAGCCATTAAACAAGAATGTAAGTAGCACTATCAAATATATTATTTCAAGTTTCAGTCCTTGGAAATAGGCTGCAAGTTTAATTCATAGAAAGTTTATAGGTATAAAGGCATAAACAAGCAAACAAGAGCCAGTTTTCTAGATCTTGTACCAAGTCTTTGAAGATGAGGAAAGTGTTCACTGTTGAATATAAGCAACGGCTTTCTCTTTGCGACCTTAAAATGTGTCTACCTGAATTCCTGAATGTCCATGTTATATAAGGCTATTTATTATTTTCAGGTCAATTACGTTTAGAAGAACGGGGAAATTATGTTCCTAATATAAAATATCGTGTAAACTTGTCATTAGAACCAGTGTTGGCTAGATTGGGTATAGATATTACACAAGAAAAACCCCATTTACTAGGACGACATGGAACAAAGGGTAGGTTTTGGATGAAGTTATATTAGGTATTCTGGATGACACCGGTAGAGTGTAGATGATTGGTTGTCACTAAACATTAATTTGTTATACGATTTTGAAATCCAAACAAAGAAAAGGAAAGTTTCCCGAATCTTGCGTTTGTGCTTTAAATTGTTTGAAATGAATTTTGTTCATATTGCAGTTTATATAATAAACAAGTAATAAACAGTTATAAATTATTTGTAGGTAAACCCAATGAAAGAGTAAACAATACATCTTCAGTTAACAGTGGACATCCCTCTATAATGAGACGTCGTGGATATGAACAAAGTAATGGTGTAGATAATGGTAAGTTAAAGCTTTATTCTTACAACATTCAATCAATCAAGCATTTTCCTATAGGGACTTATTTCCCTTGTAACACCAATATTGAGGGAATTGTACTTTTTACTGGTGATTTAAAATTGAAATGAAATGAATGGAGTTTTACATCCTACATTTCTGCACCATGTGGGCTAATTAAGATGGGCAACGCGATGCAGGGTGCAATGAGGGAATATTTGCCAGGAAAGCAGCATAAGCCTGTTCTTTATCAATTTCCAACTGTCAAGGGATCAGACTGTAGGACACGGGGCCTCGTTTTATTGTCCCATCCGACCAGTTTTTTCCATGTCAGCCCATCTTACCTGCATCAATGACAGGGGGAAACATGGTTGAACTGGTGATTTAAACCACATTCAACCTTTATTAGGTGATAAGTTTTCAAAAGCCAATACAGGGCAGACTTTTAGAAGACTGGCTGTGGCATCAGAATATATCTCACCCACTGCACCGAACAGGCGACCATGAAACTTGCTACTGACTGTTCCATTAGTTGTCAATGGTTTTCAAGGAAATGATGTTCAGCAATTCTGATAAAATTATGTATTTATTTCAGGTCCACCTTCAAAGATTCAACGTGTAGGTGGTGTCAATTTACCCAGAGTTCCTTTACGAGTGCCAGTTCCCATGGTAAGTCCATTCTTCCTTGGTTAAGATTATTAAACAATACTGAATTACATGAAATTTCTATCATACTATATTTCACATAATTATAGTTGTGCAGAGATATTAAAGGCTTATTCAGATGAATTTATTATAAACACAAACTTGTTTGAGGAGTTGGCTATAGTTTCAGCTACCATTGAACAATAACACATATTGTGTTTATGTAAACCTTTTGAGTCCATAAATGTCTTTGCCTAACTATAATTATGCATGATTTTCATGTGATTCTGTATTATTGTTCCAAGTTCATTGTTTATATTTTCTTTTGTTTCTATTTCTGTTGTCTTTTCATTTCCTTCTATCTTTAATTGCCAGGTCTAAATTTTAGGTCTAAATTTTGTGTAAGAATTTGAAAGGTAGCATTTCTGATGTTTCTTGGCAGCAAAGTTGTTACGACAGTTTCAGATGTTCTTTTTCTCATTGTCTTTAATTTACTTCACAAGTACATAGGTGTAGAAATAAACCTGAAACTAGTTCATTGCATTTATATCCTTGTTTTCCTGTATAAGCTTACAGTTTTGGAAAAGGGCACTAAGCAAGTAAAGCATAAAGTATGCACAAGTATGATTTTCTGTGCAATTGAGGGGTTTGACTTCAGATATCCACCAGTGGGAATAATTGAGATCAAAGCAATAAGTGTGCATAAGTATAATTTTTTGAGCAATTGAAGGGTATGGTAAATCTACCGCCTTATACATACAATGCAAATTTAAGCTTCTCATGGGACAAAATTGAGTCAACTGTATAAGGACCTATAAGCCAATTGCAGTCTTTTCTCCATGTGATAAGTGTAATTTTTGTGCCTACAGAGAAATTCGGTATTACTTGGTGTGGGTATGAATAGAAGAAATAAAGTGCGTGTAGCTAAAGGCACTAGAACTCCTATGATAAGTTGGATTGATGACCCAGATGATGTCTATTTTGTTGCCACGGATGCCACAAGGTAAATTTTTTTACCTCCAAATTTCAACTCTGATTGGCTGCTTCATTTTTTTTCTGCTTTCAAATTTCGGTTGATCTATATCTCTCATTTATTTTGAAATATACCTTCTACTTCTAGAATAACCTCCACTTTCACCGTTGATTTTGTTTTAAGCATGGATTTTATGTTTTGTTTTGTTTACGTTTTTCCTTTTTTGGAATTTTACCATTTGGCTTTTCATTTTTGCACTTTCCTTTGTTTAAACCTAACTTTTCCTCCTTTTGCATGCCTTCTTTTCTTTTAACCTTTATTAGTATATTATCATGTTTATGTTTATAATTATATCATCAAATCTAAATAAATATTTCTTTATTAGGAAACTGAGGAGGAAGGTGTCACAGTCTGATCATAAACGTGCTGGACGTAACCCATGGAAACGACTTCTGCTAAAACCAGCTTTGAAAGTAGAAAAAGAAGTTGTAACTTTGGAGTGAAAAATTCAAATCAGGAAATTTACGGCACAAAATGGAGGAAATTAAATGAACTATAATAATATAGTAACAATGAAATCTCTTCAAGAAAGACAAAACATTGTGCATGTGTTGATCTTTTTCCAACCAGAACAGCATGTTTATTCAATTGTCATCAATTTTGATTGTAAATTTGTTCAATATTCAACAACTCATACATTCATATTATTTTCAAAATTTGTTAAAACTATTCCATAGATATTGAGGACAAACTTGTTTGGAAAATGTTGAAGGCAATAGCCTTGTTTCTCTTAGCATGCAGCAGAAACAAGCCAAGGATCAACTTTGATTTGTCTGTTCTTGCCCAGATTTTGCCAAATTGCCAAATAAAGTAGCGTTACTCAAGAATTCAATATATTATCTTATTAAAATTTTTATTGAGAAGAGGTTGAATATGGCACAAGATAAAACAGGCATAGACAGTTATAAGCGGGATATAATGCATCGGTGAAAGTCCTTTTTAGAATACAATGTTTTTTGTGAATGAAATGAAATCACTGGTGTTGAAATTCAACGTAGATTTGATTATTTTTATATAGACTTGTATAAAAACTATTATTAATTGTGAGAAATATTTTGTTTTAAAATGTGTCTTCCATATTTGCTATGTAAAATGTAGCTGGTATATATTAATTCGTATTTTTTTCTTTCTTTCTTCATCATTATTAGTAATCGTATTTATATTTTCATACAGTGTCTTTAGTGTCCATCAATAAATTAGTCTCACTCATTGCATTGTATAAAATTTGACCTTTGTCTAACCCGTGGGTCAATCATTATAATATCTACTAAAAATAGACTATATTTTCAATTGTGGAAGCAATTAAGTGGCGCTTTATTAGCATCTGATACCATAACATATAGTTTGCAGTAAATCATATCTCTAGTTTAAGCGAGAACTTAGATCAGTCTACTCTATTAATTATTGTTCAATAATCATTTCAATATTTACCATGCATGTCTGCTTTTATTTGGCAACAAACTGATGCAAATCTAGATGTTTGGTTTCATGTTTTTCTGAGGGTAATTCCTAGATCTATGTTTAATCAATTTCATTTTGCAAGTAATGTGCTTTCTTTTTTTTTTTAGTTCAAATAAATTTCCAATTCTGAACTCATAGTTCACTAACCAAACTGATAAAAGCCAAAAACAGGTGTTGATGTCGGTATCTTTTTGTATTTTTTCATTTCTTAGCAATTTGTATATATTTTAGCATCATTCTATGTTGTGCATTTCTTTTGCTCTGGAAATTGTATAAACTCTGTACAGTTTTTTGTAAATTTGAAAATCAAAATCTAAAAAATTTGGTTTTTAGGGCACTTGTTTAGAGTAAGCCACAGTTCTCATAACATTTGAATATTCATATCATTACTACCAAACTATCATAACACATTATTTATTTGGTTTTCTTTTCATACTGAGTTCTGCAATATGTACGTACAATTTCTTAAATAAAGTCAATGGCCTGATGAAATTTGTTATTCTTTAGACAGGTAAAAACCTGTTCAATTTAATGAGTCAAGATTTTTTAACCACAACAAGCTGGGGGCACACATTTATCTTGAGTAATATGTCCTATGAACCTGGTTTCCACGACAGACTTGAGTAGACTACACAATGATCAAAGAAAATTTCTTGTGGTGTGAAATGCACTTGGATTTCAGTTTATGATTAGGACATCAATAATAAATACCCCATCAGAAGCACTCTGTATTTAGTGAAATGTCTTATATCCAGCCTCATAGTTTTCATTATCACTTTCAATTAAAAATCATCTGCACACAGAAACATGAAAGCAAATATGATGACAGTCTTGTATCCAAACTGTTACATCTTCATTACCATTAGCTCATATCTCTATGTCATTAGGCACTGATGTTTAAATGATCTATTCTTACTTGCTTTTAACAAACAATTTGTCAACCTTCAATAGATACTCTTTAGCCTCCCCGCCACATAGTTGATTTGAATAAAGATTCTGAAACAGTAACTTCTAAACAAACTAATGAGGTTGTTGCTGTTGTTGAGCTTGACGTTGTTGAAAACGTGATGCCTGCTGTTGTCTTAACATAGTGTCATCATAAGATTTGACAGTCAATGTTTCTTTAGGTCCAGTATTCCACACAGCACCACTCTCATCAACAATGGCTGCCTCTATAGTAATACCATGAATACCAAGAATAGGAAATGGAAGTAGAAAGTTGACACAGAAATAATCATTGTGAGGCTCTATTGTCCTGGTTAGAAAATGTGATGTAATTTCATTCATCTTAAATATAAAAAGAAAATCATAATTTAACAAAAACTACTACAAAAACACTATGATATAAGATAGCTTGCGTTGCAAGGTAACATATGCCCACTAGCAGCTGTCAGAAATAATAAAACAGTCGTTATTGAATAAAGTATGAATTTTCTCATATTGAAGAAATTATTTATGCTGAATAATTCCACAAAATTTTTTAAAATTAATATCAATAACCCAAATACAACAAACAATTAAATCACACAGCTCTAATCAAGGGCAAAAAACAACTTTTGAAGCGTGTTTACAAAGTCAAGGGCAATAACTTGAAAACCGTACATCAAAAATGCATCAAGTTATAACATGTCCGAGATCTTATCAATTCCAATGATCAACCCAAAGTTAATGGCATTAACTCAAAAATATTTAACAAAAACTACTACAAAAACACTATGATATAAGATAGCTTGCGCTGCAAGGTAACATATGCCCACTAGCAGCTGTCAGAAATAATAAAACAGTCGTTATTGAATAAAGTATGAATTTTCTCATATTGAAGAAATTATTTATGCTGAATAATTCCACAAAATTTTTTAAAATCAATATCTATAACCCAAATACAACAAACAATTAAATCACACAGCTCTAATCAAGGGCAAAAAACAACTTTTGAAGCGTGTTTACAAAGTCAAGGGCAATAACTTGAAAACCGTACATCAAAAATGCATCAAGTTAGAACATGTCCGAGATCTTATCAATTCCAATGATCAACCCAAAGTTAATGGCATTAACTCAAAAATATTTCATCGAAAATGTGTCAAGTTAGAACTTGTCCGAGATCTTATCAATTCCAATGATCACAACAAGTTTCATCAGAATCGGTTGTAAACTGTAGCTTCAATCCTGCTCACAAACTATTTTTAACAAATTTCCACGCATTTTAACAAAGTCAAGGGCAATAACTCAAAAACTGTTCATGGAAAATGTGTCAAGTTAGAACTTGTCCGAGATCTTATCAATTCCAATGATCACACCAAGTATCATCAGAATCGGTTGAAAACTGTAGCTTCCATCCTGCTCACGAACTATTTTTAACAAATTTCGACGCGTTTTAACAAAATCAAGGGCAATAACTCAAAAACCGTTCATCGAAAATGCGTCAAGTTAGAACTTGTCCGAGATCTTATAAATTCCAATGATCACACCAAGTTTCATCAGAATCGGTTGAAAACTGTAGCTTCAATCCTGCTCACAAACTATTTTTAACAAATTTCAAGGCGTTCTAAGTCAAGGGCAATATCTCAAAAACCGTTGATTGAAAATATGTCAAATTCGAACTTGACCGAGATCTTATCAATCTAAATCATCACACCAAGTTTGATCAAAATCAGATAAAAACTGTAGTCTCTATAGTGCTCACAAGAAATGTTGACGGACGGACCGACGGACAGGGGCGACGACAATATACGACCACATATTCATGTGGGCGAATAAAAATGCACTTGTAAAATTTGTTTTTTTCAAATTTGAATTAATACTATACAGCAAGTTCCAGCTTGATATATACATGTGAAAATATAGTAATGAAATAATTATGTTAATTTGAATATGTATGATATATGACACAGTTTAATTGAACTCAATTCAGATGCACAATATAACGTTGCACTGTTAAATATTTCCATATTGACTTCTTTTTCCTGTTCAGAGACTTTATTAATTTTCCTTAAGTCGACATATTATTGATTTAACTTTAATTTGGTTTGAAGCTATCCTGAATTATTTTACATCCAAATTACTTGTCAATGTTAGAAGACAAATCTTTATTTACCAGAGTAATCTACTAATAATAAAGCCCACCTTCGTATTAGAACTTGAAGCTGTACTACGACTCTGTAGTATAGTTTTAGTAGTAATAGTAACTTGTTTAACTTGTCTAAATAAACTGTCACTATGATGTATGACACCTTCAACTTTTAATGTCATGTGGGTATCACATCGTACAGAGATCGGTTCTTGATGTATATTCTGCTGTGGTGATACCGCCAGCTGCAAATAATCATAAAGCATTTGTCTACAATAAATTATAAGCTATGGAAGATTTTTAGGATCAGGGCTATTTCCAACAAAAACATGACTGGAAAAATAACTGGAGGTTAATATAAGAATGGAAATGCAGTGGCGTTTCTAGAAAACATTAGTTGAAGGGTCCAAGCAAGGGCCAGAAAATTTTCAAGGGGGGCCACAGGCCATTCTTTCACTATGTAAATTGTTAAAAATTTTGAAAGTGGGGAGACAAATCCAGGCCCGTCACTTTTCTGGTCACATTTCTGGCCACGCCACTGTGAAAATAATATTTCCCGTGCAAACATTGACAAAGAAATATATATTTGAAACTTGACCTACCTTAACCGCAGTATATTGTAATGTCTGGAAGAAATATCTAGGATAAGGATGAGAGGCCTGTAACATTAACTTAGCAGACGATGACAACAACTCAATCTGTAATTAGAGACTTTCAAATTCATAGCATTGTATATTTTTGGAAATTGAGATACCAATGATCTCTTCAAATTAATTCAAAACATAGAGAAATTTATGTAGCATTTAATGGTCAATTCAAAAGTACAAGAACTTTGATGAGTGGAACTTTGGCTCCATGATAAAACCACACACGGCCTGTTTTTGTTATACCAGAATTTCCATGTACAACCATTTGATTTTTGAGATCAAATGATCTTGACCTATGCAGAGATTGAACCTGAGATTTCAATAGTTAGTGAGCAAATGTCTTACTTCCCTAACCTTAACTCCTTTGTTAACACTGAAAGCTTAATATATATAAATAAACAGACCTTGCTAGTCATATCTGATATAGGTGTAGTATGTAATGTTGTTTCGAGATTGTAAGATATTTGTTGTAAAGCCATCTGTACTGAACCCTCCACATCTTTATCTAATATTTGTTGTTTATTTCTTCTTTCTCCTAATAATCCAACTCTAAAATGGATAAACATGATACAAATAAGATATAATACCACTTGGGTAACCTGGCAGTGAGGTTTACAGCCCAAGCCAACTAAAGTCACTAAAGATTTAGATGACAAAGGTAAATTTCAATTACTCTTTCAAAACAGCTACCTAGCATTTCATAAAGTAAACTTCATCCAAATCTACTGGGCCTAAAACTAAAAAAACTTAAAAATATTATATCATGCTATTGAGACTAACAACAGCATCAACTACTCCTAGAATCAGGACAAAATGAATTTGTATAGTATCACAATACTTACCCTGTATGTACAAGAGAAACTATTGTTGTTATACTTGATTTAATTACATCACAGCTTTGTTGTAATCTTACCATATTGTTAAAGAAATTTCAAAGATAAATGTCTGCTCTGCTCGGTGCATGGGCTGGTACACCTACTCCACTGTATAAGCCTATACACCGCGAAAACCATAAATATAACTATTACACATTTCCATTTTATCAGATTTTACTTTCACAAAATATAATTGACCATAAAAAAGGATACATATCAACATTTTCTAATGATTTAGAATCAGCATCAAAAGAAGACCAGTGTAGTTCAGAGATTTTAACACTTAAATCTTCATATTCTTGTACACATTTCTCTAACTGAAAATATAAGCATATTAACAACCAAGCTATTATACTTGAGCAAATATAACTGCACATCTGAGTTTGATTCAAAACATAATACAAATAGTCAAGTTAATTTCATTAAACTAGCTTTGGATAAAGTCTCTGGATGTGCACAAATATCTTTGCTGGACTTTGCACAAGTAATTTGGAAAAAAGTGTCACACCCTTTTTACTATCAATAACTAAATAAATTATGTCAGGAGACATTTACTACGAAATTATAAAATTACCTGAGCTATAATTTGACTCCATCTAGCACTGTCTTGACCATTACTAGCAGCCAGGGCAGAGGCTATAGCTGGAGGTGGGGATGTACGGAATGTATTACAGGTCAATAATAACTGTTGATGAGCTTGTACTAACTGTATTCTAATAGTAATATACTCTATAGCAAACTTCAGATGAAACGTACTTGAACATCCAGCCTAATATTAAAGATCAACCACGATAAACAAGAACAAAACCAATAGATCAGGATCATTAAACAAGACAAATGTTTGACAGTTAAATATACTACTTGAAATATGAGTAAGCAATTATTGGAGAAAACTAAAGATTTTATTACACATCGGCTTAAATCAAAAAATCTATGCATAATAATTGGTGGAAATTTCAAAAAAATTTAAGCTTGTTAGTAATCATATTCATACATGCATGAAACTTCTTTGTAAACTATAAAATATTTGAATACATACCTTCAAGGCAACAAGTGATTTCTGGTACATTTCTAAGGCAGCAGAAGAACATAATAATAAATTAGAGTTATCACCCTTCACATCTTGCAACTTGATTTCTACTTGACACAGATGTTCTAAAGCCATCAACCAATAATACAGATTCTCAGATGCAACCTACAATTTTATACAAACAATAGTGTTAAACCCCTTACTCCAAGCACTTTAAATCTAAAAGTCATTAATCAGCTTCAGTAAAATATCCCCATTTTACTACAAATAATACCCCTCTAAATTGGTTAAAAGATGTTATTAAAATCAAAATCTGACTTGAAAGCAATTCTTATGCAATATTTTGGATGTATGCGAAATAAAATAAGATATTTCCATATGTAATTTTAAACTCCTTACCTCTGATTTGATTTGTTGTAAAAGAATATAAGCTATTCCACACTGACCATATCTCATAGCTTGACGAACAATTTTGTAAGCTAACCATTGATTGGCTGTTTCTCCACAATGTAATATCAGATCTTTAATTTGATTGGGTATTGTAGCACCCTTTGATGCTTGAAACAGTAGGGTACATAAATATACCTGAATGAAATCAAACAATAAAAATACAGTTTCCAAAAATTGAGTAATTAAACGTGAAAAGAAATGGTTTAAAAACAAATGTGTAATATACAAAATAGGCACTATTAAACTTAGGATATATTACTAATGCCTTACTCAGTCAGCATATCTGTCAAGTTCTATCAATTTACACATACTTAAAAGTGGAACCTTAAAATCAAATAAAGTTTTGTAAGAAATTGATCACTAACATGCTACCAAGTGTACTTTCTATTTAATCTAAAAGTAAAAGTAATGTGAATAGTTAATAAATGTAACTATACCTGTGTATTAGATATGTGGGAAGTTTGAACACTATCTGTTAAATAAGATATAATACTAGGTACAGCCAACTGAATATTATTATTATTATTATCTCCTATTGATGCTAAACATTCACATAATAACTCAGCTTCTTTCCCTAGTATCAAAAATTAGAAAAAATTAGACATATAGCAATAACAAATGGAGGGGTATTCAAAATAATCTTTCTTTTACCAATATAAGCCATGTTTTACTTAATCAAGTGACTTTTTGTCCAATATAAAATTATCAAAATTTCATGAATTTAGAGTGTTAGAAACAAAAATGTATTTTTCTTATAATGGCAAGGAAAAAAGGCATCTTAAATCCTCAAATGTTCACACTATTGTCTTATTATTCCAAACATGTGGTTTGCTTGTAGATTTAGTCATTTACACCAGGTCGTATCTGTAGATCACAAAGAGGATTTATTTTCTTCACCCACCTTGAGCTTGAGGTAGTAGATTAGCCATTGTCTCTACAAAACCTTCACAATGTAATGGTGATACTTTACATACTCTTATAGCACATTGTAGACTTGACTGAAAATTAATAGAGAAGACATTTATTTAATATATCATAAATTTCTTTTTTGAAGGCTTTAATTTATATATTATCTGAAAGTGTTTTCCTTGTAGTTCACTTGATTTGTCATAAGACAATCTAGTTAACCATGGCTAAAAAATAACAGAGTTTACTATCAGAAATGAACTTATAGGCATCAAAGATCTAGCAAGTGATGATTCATGAAATTATCTATTATTATCTAATAATCTATAGTAAGAAACATGTTGCAACTTACTTTTAGTTCCTGTATAGGACAGATATTATTACCAATCAATAATATAAGATGTGTTTGAATAATAGTTATTTCTTCTGATAGGTCCACTGATAAACCTGTAATGAAGCAAGCCAGTCAATGAACAATGAAGCATTAAACATAATATCTGATACGGAAATGTTATCTATGTGTATATCATATTTGTACTAGGAAATGAACCTAGACTGAAAAAACTGCTGTAATACAAAGACACACAGCAAATGATTAGGTGGGACTTACGTTTAGATCCAGCCAATAAGGTTAATAATTGAACAGTTTTTGTTGATAATGCCAAGTTGTCATGGTAACAGTACTCTTGACAAATCTTCATCAATTTACTATCTGAAAACATAGAAGATAAAAAAAAAAGTATGTGTGATATAATATATTATGAAAATTGTTTTCATGTGTGACATATAGAATTCCCTCTCCAATTTATGAATTTTCACAGTTTTAAACTAATTGCAATTTATCCATAAATACAAATAAAGATATAGCATCAATAATTGAATTGATATGTGCCCTTTGCCTCATACACCGTGAACAATATACCATTTAAGGCACAATGAATAATGATTTACCATTATGACAAATAGATATAAACAGACATACTAAAAGATACTGAACATCAAATTACCTGGTAAGACTGGTATCAATCTAACAGCTACAGTATTACAGATACTATTCAGTATATTAATACTGTTTATCTTTAAAACTATACTGGGAGTTGATAAAGTGAATTCAGCTATGGTCTAGAATATCAAAAGTTAAACCTAATGAGTGAAAGAAAGTATCCCTAAATGTATTCCTTCTGTCAGTAAAAGACAATAATGGTACATTTCCAGAGAAAATTGATCAATCCTGTAAGATAATGGTATATTATGTCAGCATAGAGAAAATTTGACTTTTTTTTAACCAAAGAATAACAGGTCAATAATCCTGAACTTCAGTACTTAGATACAAACCTCAATGTATTCTCCTTTCCACATATGAGATGATATCTTGGCTAGTTGTTTAAGGTTTTTAAGACAAATGAGTTTGACAGGTTGTCGACAGTCTGTTTGTAAATATTTTAATAATAATTCAACATGTTCTTGTACACTGAATAATGATCTGACAGCTAGTTGTGTCATGGTATCTAATGTTAGAATCACAAATCTACAGGCAGGATAACATTCTAATAATGAAGTACACACTTGCCACGCCTGGAATATAAATCATATATTACAATTAATTAAGGAAATAACTCTTTTAATTCCTTCTTTTTTTAATCATCTTACAGGGAAAACAGGTAGACAAAAATTGAAATAAACAAAAAATCAACCAGGTCCATCTTTCACAAGAAATCTTAAAATAATTTTTGCTATAAACATGGAAAGTATATAAGCAAATTTTCAAACTAGTGACAATTTTAATAATAAAAGTTTTGGTGAAGCAGGGGCCAGGACTAATGGATTCTTTCCTCCAATTTATATTTTGTCCATCTTATTGATAACAACTTTTTTCCTTATTTATAGCTGAGTTGACTCGATTAATGAAGAAAAATAACCAAATGTTTCTACTTTTTTTTACCTTGGCAGCAGTAGTAATATCATGATGCATGTGTTGAAATATCAATATCAGCTGTAATTTCATATCAACTGGTGTAGCTAACCCAGAAATCATCTCAGCTAATTTATTACAAATACCAGCTGCAAATACCCTGCAAGAAAACATGGTTATTATATTAAAAGATAAAAGTACTGTCTGCACTGCGCAAGACTGAATCCATTAAATCAAAAACAATTTTCAATACTTCCAATACTAATTCTTTCAACTCTTATCATTTAATAAGATTACCTTTCATCTGATCAAACTTCTAACAGGGTAAAATTGTCTAAAATTACTTTTCATTTCAATATTTATTAACTGTCAAGAAAATAGCAGATGTTAAGGATCTGAACTAAAAATTCCTTTGATTGCAACCTAATGACAGGTTCATTTGTATTTCAATTCAATTGTATCAACACCTACTTGGAGACAGCTGAAAAATGATTAGCTGCAAAAATAGCTGCTTCCACTTCTACGGTATCATGTGAATCTAAACTCATTGTTATACTGTGATGGACATTTTTCTTTTCTGAGATAATACCAGCTATACTTCCTAAAGTCCTTAAATATCAACATGTAAATTTTTTTTACAAAATTATTACAATAATATCATTGAATCATTGGATAAGCCTCAGAATTATATAATTACTGTTTTAATGCATGTAGTCTTAGACTGGGTTTCTAATGCACAAGCATTATCATTTGAAACATTGCAACCACACATAAGCTTGCAATACAAAGGCAGTTATATACAATATCTCCTTCAGATATAAGTATTCAAATTTTCAAGCATTTGAAATTCATATAAATGAGTTGTTGTCTTCAGACATCCCAATATCACAATGTAGGCATATATTCAAATGTTACCTTAAAGTTATAGCCCTTGCTACAGGATCATTACTGTGTAGAACAGTGAATATTCTTTTAATAAACTCGTCAACATTAATTATTTTATCTAAATGTTTCTCACTCTGCTGAGTCACTTTTAATATACACAGACGAATAAAATTATTCCTGAAAAATTCATGTCTCTGATTAACAGCATACAAACATTCACATCTGACTGATACAGAAGTATTTATCAAAATCAAAATATTTCTCTCCTACAATTGTCGTATTTAGCACAATTTCAACAGAAAAAATATTTTGTTATTGTAAAATGTAATTAGAAATTATAGCATTTACTAAATCAATATAATCATTGCATTGATTATGCATTTCAATCCCACACTTTCAATCAATACTGATGGTTTTGATTGTTTTTTATAAAATCAAATTGACCTTTGACATATCATACTTACCCTGCTCTGAACACATCAGCTAGTTTCAATAAAGCTGAATTTATTAAGATGGGAAATGGATATTTTTCAAACAATTTAGGAAATTTAACTACTGCTTCACATTGACTGCCAATTTTATTTGATCTAAGGCCTAAAAATATAAAATGATAATATAGCTCATAATGTTCATCCATTTATTTCAAATATATAACAGAAATGTCCATTAGGCTAAAAAGAAGCTGAAGAATTGAGGCTGAAGAGTCCTAGGCCTATTATTATACTTCAACTTCTTTGTATTAGATAAGACCTAAATATTTTACTTATTTCATCTGTTAGAACAAAGCAACATAAACAACTCTGAAAAAATTAACAAATATTTTATAAGTTATTCCGCACCAAACCAAAGTTTTTACTTCAGATGTCACAAGAAGGTATGAAGAGTTATGTCCCTTCGTACAATTTATCAATTCACCCCTGTTCTATACATAACAACAGATGTGAAATATAGCAAATGATGCAACATACCCTTATCAAGTTCTGTTAAAGCAGAGTTAGCATCTTGTTCTTGTTCAGCAGTCACATTTTCCGAAATTGAAGTATTCATGTTTCTAACTCCAACTAAGGAGGCTGCCATTTTGAAAATTGTACGACCAATAAAACTAAAACGAAACGAAAATTAATATGACGAGGAAATTACTCTGGAGTACACTGTTAGTATAAATTTCTGTAAGGAAACCATGTCATAAAGCATATAAAATGCAAATACAAACATGCGTTTCCTGTTTTTCAAATAGATTGAGAGGAATCACGTGATTTTCAAAATGGTGGACAACACAAAAAATCTTTCCGCTTTGCTCAACGGGCTTACGAAGCGCAATTATTACGGTGAAGAAGAGCTGACAGACGAATTCTTAAAAAATGAACTGTACCCTGACCTTGAGGAAGATGAATTTAAAAATCTGGTTAATCGATGCCTTCACCTAATGAAGGTAGACCAACCCTTCATCGTTTGCAAGAATTTCAGAAAAAGTGGGCGTAGCATTTGCAAGACAGGCAAATCGGCAGGCATTATTGAAGCACAGCACACTCAAAGCACTAGTTCACTAAAGCTTCAGCCAGTTTTTCTTTTTTTTTTCTGAGTTGACGCTTGAAATTTGATGACTTAATTTTAATATAACAAGGAACATAATATTGAGATCAGATTATTGAATTATTGTAGGTCACACATTCGGCCAGAAAAACCCAGTATGATGAACATAATATTGTGTGTTTTTCTTTTATAGAATATGGTATCAGCTGATATGGACATGACACAACTAGAGATTTTCTTAACAGCTCAGATGAAACGGAGAGAAGGAGCTTTAACAGAACAGCAAGCGAATGCTTATAGAAAATTTTGGAAAACTCACAAAACAAAAATTCATGATAAGATAGTGGAACAGACAATGTGGGGTAATACTCTCAAGAAAGTGTCTTGGAGAATTGATTTAAAATCTCAGGGACGAAGATCAGACGATATAAATACTCCATCAGCCATCATGGAATTACAAATTGCTGAACATCAAAATAAAGATCAGGTATGGGTATAATTTGCTTATTTTAATGTAACTTTAAGCTTTTGATTGAAATTTTATTCAACCAAACAGAGGACATAGTTAGACAGCTAAAATTATCTGATTACTGTATTAAGTTTTATAATATACATGTATAGTTTAATTGTTTAATAAAATAGTAGGGAATTGAGGGTGAATTGAATGACAGCAACAATGATCCTGATAAGAATTACATAAACAATAATAAAACAAAAACACTCATTTCTCATTTCATTTTGATTTGTAGTTAACAGAGGTGGTGAGGTTTGAAATGGATGAACAGAAATTAAAATCAGTGTTACAAAGTATGGAAGAAATAGAAGAACAGATTGATAATTATTGTAATGATATTCAAGATGATCAGTTATTGCGTTTTTTAGCCATTACCATCACCAATAAAAGCACTGTTCTGAAGTTGTATTAGAAAGAATGTGAACAAAATCAAAGCATGCTGTACCCAGGCTGAAAGTTTGTGTGACATAACAGTTTCTTTTCATGAAATTAGGATTAATGCTGGACTGAACTATAATCAGACCATTTTTGTGGTGTAAATATAATATTTATTTGTTATTTCCTGTTACACTTGTTTTATATCCATTAATAAACCATGCATGATTTTTTTTATATTCATGGTCTTCCTTAGATTACTGCTACAGACCAAATTAAATCATTTTTATGTAAAAATGTAGTTATCTCCCTTCGGCCATAGTGAAAGATTATCTCGGATAAAGAGACTAATATACCGATCCCAAATATTACGTAACATTTTAAAGGGAATGAATTGCCTGTCAGCTCCCTTGACAAGTCTGTGGCCCCTTCTCGCCCCCTCACTAAATGTTTCATAGAAAGGCACTGATTCACGTCCTTCATTGATCTCGGGTTGGGAAGGAGATGTACTCGCTGAAACGAGAGCCCGTGAATTCAATTCTCGAGATAATACCTTCTGATTATTCAACCCTACCTTCACCTGTCATTGGTGCAGGTCGGAGGGACTGCCACGAAAAAAAGCGTTGGAGAAGGGTTCAGATGGGACAATAAACCAAGACCCGATGTGCTACATGTTGTGCACAGTAAAGATCTCTCGGCAATATTGGAAATCAAAAAGAGCTAAATCCCTTTAAAACATGACATCATGATATCGAATGATTATATTTTAATATTGTGTAGAGAGATAAAAGGTCGATCGCTTTCATTATATGATAACCACTCAGGTAAATCGCTCGGTTGTTCAATATTACAATAGACACCATTAGTGAGTCATTTTCTCATAATTAAACAAGAGTTACCTCCCTTGCTGTTGAACTGAAGGCAAGCAGGTAGTCGGTTAACTCGGTTAATTATGACAGTGATAACACCTTACTTCAGGTAGTTGTAGACTCATTTGATGTTTCACAGAGAATCTAAGTGTTTCAATTGATAGTCTGGAACTACGACGGGAAAAAAAGGATGGAAACTGCAAAAAAATGTTATGACTTTCTGATGAGCCCACAACCGGTGGCTGACTTTCAAAAGTTTTGTCATATAAGACCTAAATACAAGTCAGGATTTAAAGATGGAGCTACAGAAAGCAATGGAGAAAATCAGTGTAATGGAAGTTGTTATTGTGATGAGATTTCCCCATCTTGTAGCATGTCAGGAAGGGTGTGTCAAAATTCAGGTCAAGTGTCAAATGGCCGTGTCAGTTCAGCCATTGATAAATCTGGGTTAAAGAAGAGAAATAATGGCACTTTAAATGGATACAAGAATGGATTTGTACATGATATCAATCAAAATGGAACAAAATTACATGAAAATGATCAGGTTCAACACTCAGGAAAGACCTTGCACAATGGCCCAGAATATGAAATTGGAAATTATTTCATTTTTACTCTTTTTCGCTTTGGAGCCGAACTAGGAAATGAATTTTTCTATGTTATATTTTATACATTTTCTATGTGGAACTTTGATACTTTAATTGGCTTAAAAATTGTCTTAGTTTGGGTGTTATTAATGTATGTTGGACAATCGTTGAAAGATGTTATATGCTGGCCACGTCCTGCTAGCCCTCCTGTGTTTCAGTTGGAAGATCGCTATGCATTAGAATATGGAATGCCATCAACGCATGCCATGGTAGGAACTGCTATTCCCTTTATGCTGCTGATTTTTACTGTTGATAGATATGAGGTGAGTTTTTAAAGTTCAAGGATATTATTCTGATCAAAGGCTTACTGGGGCCATGTCCCATAATATAAATCTATAAATAATTTTCTAATAGCAAGCATTGTTTTGCTCGCTTGAGTATTTGGGCTCAATAGAAAAAGCAATTTTTTTTATTTCTTCATTACCCACTTCACAATGTTAAGGTATAAGATGAAGTTTGCAATATGGTACCTTGTTTGGCATTGTGCAGATACTTTATGACATGCCTACTGTTAGATAGCTTACCATATCTCATTATGCAATAGTTAGAATAAATATGTATATGACTACATGTAATGGAATATGAAATTCTATATCTAATCAGTATATTGACCGAATGTATAGAAAATTTTATTAATACTACTATGACTATTACTCTATTGAATCATAATTACCAGTATTATATTTAATATTGGTGAATACTGGTAGCTTTCTACTTTATATACCGGTATTACATGTTAGGTTTACTACAATGTATATAATAATCTTATTACTATTGTATGTAATGTATAATAATGAATCTCATTAACAGGCTTATATTTCATATACTTTTATAATACCCTATGAACATAAACAATAGGCTTTCAATATTAATTACATGAGACAGTTAATATCTTTGTACACAATTGCCTTTATGATATTAGGTCACATTCTAGCAGTATCTATCAATACATTTTCATCTGACAAGGTCCTCTACATTTTTAAATACGAATAATGACAGACTGCCTTACTGCACCTTTAAGGACTTTACTTTCAAAATAAATGAAAGCCTTCAAAAAACAATTGATAAGGGATGGGGTGATTAAAAATTAGAGGTCAGAAAACTTTTGGAATATAATATCAGATTGTTGATAGGAAAAGATTAAATTTTACATACATTTAAAATGAGTCAAATATTTCTTGAGGTGAGGTGATATTTTTTATGATATATCAGCAAACTGATAACCTTCAATAAAATTACTAAGATATATGCTTCAATGAACATGTAGACTAAAAGATTCAAAATTTTTAGGGGATTTTATATCATTAATATTGTTTGAACATCTGGGCCAAAAGATATATTAGTATGAGATTAAAGTTACTGAAAGGCAAAAGAAATCTTAATTCTGGAAAAATTTATAAAACTTAATCAGACAACAGCAGTAACATGTTCTGGAGGTAGATAAACTGTTCTAATGTTCTGTTGCTTCTTTTTCCATTTAACAGTTTTAACACTGGCTTTTTTCAATGTCTTTACCTACATATAGCAGCATTTGAAAATAAAAATACATGTAGTAGTTGAATTGAGTTTATCAGTATGTAGTAGTATTTGATATAATTCAGACCATTTTATTTATTGATATTTTTAATTATTAGTAAGCTTATTTATTTATAGTATTTAATATTCACATCATCTCAGGATTGATAATTCATTTAATTAATAAGCATTATCAACATGTGATCACAGCTTCATAAATGAGGACATGGAAAAAAAGTGTCTTGCAGTTGAGATTGAACAATAACCAAGCACCAGCTGGTGTTCTTCAGACTGTGCCCATTAAAGATTCCTTGATAATTCGAAAACTGTTATATAGATATATGCACATTCAATATCAATTACAAGTTTTGAATACAATTTACCGTTATGCTAAAAACAAGATGAGACTATTTATTAAAATGAAAATTCTACAGGACTAGATCCCTTTAGTAAAGTAAGAAGCAGGTTATGTGGTGTAAGCTTACTATTTGTACTATTTTTCAATAGATTCATCTACTGTTGTATTAATGCAACCATAGTAACATATACTGTCTAGATCAATATCCTTATTCAACATGTTGTTTCATAATCTGAAATATGATTTGTATGAATATCTGTCAGTGTAGGCTGTTGAAATATTTAATGCTAATAAATTTCATACTTAAAGAGATATAGTTATCAAATAGAGCTAAATTTCAGCTAACTATAGTTCTTTTAAGAGTCAAAATACAGTAGAAACTGTATTAAGAGACTACTCGATGGAATAATAACGGTCTCTTAAGACTGACATAATAAAAAGGACAGGTGCTACATTTTGGGGGATTGATTTTAATCTGGAATATATGTAAATAGTCTTCAGAAGTACTAGTAATGTACAAAAATCGCATGATTCATTTAAAAATACTTCAAACTAGGAATTTTACTCACTTTTCCTATATATGTCTTTTCTAAATATCACAGGGTATCTTAAATTGACGAATCTGAACACACATAGATTTGAAGGCTCAAATTTCGATGGCGAGTTTTGAACACTATCACTGATTGGCTTTGCTAAAAAACTCCCTTTTCTGAGACTATAGTGTGATTGGTGAAAAAAACTGACCTACCTGTCCCTTTAAGTAATGCCCCCATCTCCCCTCGTCCATTTTGGGAAGTGTTATTATCGTTATAAAACAATAAACATTAATGCAGTATAATTTGTATTTTCAGTACCCAGTGTTATTAGGATTAATAATAGCTATATTATGGTGTAGTTTAGTATGTTTAAGTCGTATTTATCTTGGAATGCATACAATCATGGTAAGTATGTTAATTAAGATAACATTATGTATACTGGTAGTAGATAGATATGCAGTAGTAAATACCAAATAAATATCATTTATCATGTGCCACTTTTAATGTTTTATGTCTTTTATTTCTGAACTTGATTTGGCTAATGAAGTAGAGACTTACGTTGAAGCATCAGGCAACACTGTTAGAACAACCTCTGTCAAAAGTGAAATTCCATACTGCTGTAGGGATGGACTCCATAGATAGAAACTATAGTCTGTTCATAATGAGGTGTCATAATGTTCAAAAATCTATTGGTCCTATTGGGTGTTTGTTTAAAAGGACTTTGACCTCCATTTAATGTTTAAACCTTGTATACGCCCTATGGATGAAAATTTATGAAATTGAATTGCAATCATCAGTTCAATCAATCATTATTTTTTACTGAAAATGCATGAAATCTTGATCATTCGAATGATTTTTGCCTTTGAGCATGTGGTGTTTTTTTGGTATATATAATATAACTATCAAAAATGTCCAATTATGAAATGAAATACCAAATAAACATCATTAGCCATGCTAATGCCTAGTTTAGAAACTCAGTATCCGAATCTTGGAAAGGTCATTCATTATAATATATCATCAAGCTGATCACCTTCGTAAGCAAAACAGTAATTAGTGCATTGGTCAAAAATATGAGAAAGTGTGGTCCCAACATGATACCAAATGACAGCTTTGTAAACAGTTACACTGTGGAATGTGAATTTTGATTTATTATTTATTCCAGGATATATTAGCTGGGTTGGTATTAGTTACTATATTATTATTTATTATGGTACCATGGGCTGAAACAGTTGTACTATATATAGTAATGACCAAATGTGGTGGATTATTAGCCTTATTAGGAGGTGTAGTCTTAACAATTTGTTATCCTACCCTTGATAGATGGAGTACAGCACGAGGAGATACTACAGTATTTCTAGGCGTGGCATCAGGCATGTTGTTAGGAACCTGGATTAATTTTCAGCTAGGTTATATCATTCCGTCAAACGCAACCCTCCCATATCAAACAGCAATAATGGAATTTGATTGGTTAAAAAGTGGATCTTTACGAATGCTGACTGGAGTTGTTGCCACAGTTACAATGAGATTTATTATGAAACTGTTGACTTTTAATTTACTGTGCTACTTGTTTAATAAAGACCCAAAAGATCCAAAAACTAAAACATGTCTCAAAATAGAGCTGCCATATAAGTTCTGTACCTATTTTGGACTTGCTGTTTGTGCCTCTGTTATAGCACCTATTATATTTACATATGTTGGTATCAATAGAGAATCCTATTACAGTGAATTGTTTTAATTAATTATGCTTGTCTAAATTTATAAGTTATTGAAAACTATGAAAATGTGTTCTGTGCCATAAATCATAATACAACAGCAATAAAAATATATGGTCTTGAGGGAAGTCTCAGTGACTACACTATTGGTACAAGTTCCACTTTTGTATGTGCTCACATGAAAATGTGGACTTATATTGCTGTTACCCCTGACTCTCTATTTCAACATTCCTTCCAAGAAAGAAGCTACAGTTTCTGAGTTCATCTAATTTAGTTAAAAAAGATTTAGTCCATTTTCAATAAAATTTAGTATTCTAGAATGAGATCTTGGTCAATGTTGGAAATTGCAATGCACAATAGTTTAACTTTGCTTTACATTGTTATTTCTTTACTGCTGCATTTGATGAACATTACCTTGCAAGGCAAGCGGTCTTAACAAATCTGTCTTGTGTTTAATAAGAATACCATTACAAATTATTTGGATGATTTTTCTTTTGCTAACATAGCTAAGGATATGGTAACACAAAGTATGACAAAAAGTCTGTCATTATGATAGTAAGCTATATAAATTGCCAGACAGACTTGAAATTTGCTCCACAGTACATTTAAATGCATAATTCACTCCTGTATTGAGAAACTACTAAAATATAACATTTATTAGAAATTGGCTCTTGAACCACTATCACAGCCATTCAGTACATATATTGTTCAGAATTTTTGTTATATTTTTGCATTGTTGGTCATGAATTGGGTGATAATATTGCTTTAAATATATATCATTGAATCTTTTTCTGTTATCTCTTTTAAGAAACATAATGAATTGTTTTGAATATGAAAAAATGTATATGGTTAATGAGTAATTTTTCACCTATAAGTATGGGCTGACTTGAAGGTTAGATTACTTGTTTGTATTTAGAGTAAATAATTTTATGAAATCTCAAAAAAAAGGCCTGTCCAAGGTCAGAAATATGGAGTTCATGTTCTGAAATGACTCTGGTCTGCTTTAGCTAGGTTTACAATGGATCAGTTGATATAGACGATGATATGATATGATATATGATGATCAAAAGATATCTTGCCCCATTGAAACCCTATCTGTGATACATGTTTATTTGCATTCTCTTTTGGCTTAATGTGGTATATATGATTTTAATCATAAACGCATAATAATGTCACAATTATAGTTTAATAGTATTAATATAATTTTGCTAAGAATGTGAATTATACAAAATTCAAATATTACAATCAAATATAAAGGCTATCAGTCATGCTTTCACAAATCCTTGGTTCCATAGAAAAAGGGTTATGGACAAGCAGAACTAGAAGATCCTGAAATCTTTAATCTGTTTCTTCTTTGATCTTTGGCATGACACATATATATATCTAACTTTGCATAATTTTGCTTCTTTGTTGTTGTTTAAAAAAAAAAAAATAGGAAATGTTTGTCAAAGATATATATTATGCTCATTCTGAGTTCTTTCTTAACATTACTTTATTTTTGGGTAGAGCAATTGATAGTATTTTCAATATCAATCAATCTAGAGCATACATATCTGTAACTAAACTCAGTGATCATTATTGATGTTTATATACTAAAGAATATACTATTAAAAAATCATATGTACATATAAAGTAATATGGGTCATAACTGCTGATTCATGTATTATTAAGTTTCTAAATTTCCATGTAATACCCTAATTGTGAACACTTGCAAAACCCACAGAGATTATTTTCGTGAATAAATCTGTATTTTTTTTTTTATAAGAATTAAATTTTGAGTATTTATTTGTAAATAAAACATTTTGTTACTATGAGGCCTTTGTATTTTTATGTTTCACTAATAAATTGTCTATAAAGAGATCATTATTAGTATATATATTTATATGACTTGAGAAGTTGTATTAGATGGTGTATGATACACTTATATTGATTTATTACAAAATATATCTACCAAATAACTAGCCCGAAAAATCTAGCTCTTCCCACTTTTTCAGATGTTATACACATGTATATGTTATATAATGTATGATTTCATCACAGGTAGGGTCAAATAGGAGAGGAATCCAATCAATTTTTGGGTCACTACTGTCAATAGTTTTTGAGAACTGGTTCACGTGATCTACATTCTTGCATAAATTATACTTATGGAGTTGTACAAAGAAAAGCATACCCATTGACTGTATTGTGATACCATGTATGGCACAGGTACATCATAGTCTATGGACACCAAAATTCATCACAAATTTGGCTTATGTTGTGGTGAAAATTCTCATAAAATAAACACTGAAGTGTACTTAAATCAGTTTGAATACAGAAAGAAATGTTATCAGTTGTAACCTTATATAGATATAATATTGGCCTGTTTACATTTATACCAGTCATTACACTCGTGAGGTTTAAAGTCAATATCTTACGCAACTTTTTAAATTATATTACCAAAATGATCAATAGCTTTCTACTATTCCATTTCAAAACTGATCTTATGTACTCCTTGACTTTAATGTTTTCTGAATTGAACTTTGACAATCATTTTCATATGAATTGAAATATCAATTACAACTCATCAATATAGTCAGACAATAACTTTCTTTCAGTTATTTTCTGAAGCTGATTTGGTTTCTTCCAAGACTTTTAAATTTACTATTTCTAATGTGGCTCTTGTTCTTGAAACTCAACAGTAGAATATACATACAAGTTGTGGATCAATTCTTTAATAATTCATTCAAAGCTTGAGCTCTTTATTCTTCTTTAGAAATCAATATTAAACTCAACTATTCATAACATTATCAAGTCACTTATTTATATTAGATTTAACTCTAATGTCAAGTATAGGCTTTGAATAACGCAACCTTGAATATCAAATATAAATTATTTAAATAAGACTCATATCCTGTCATTATATTGAACTTTGATTCTTTTTTTAATGCAATAAAAGGACATATAAAAGGAATTTCAAGGCCAACAAAGGACTGTGGCTTACTAAGTGAATATTGACAAGCAAGATAATATTCATTTATATTACTAGATAATGTATTTTATCTGTAAATAAAAATGATAGAATTGCCAAGGCCTAAGTCACAACAAACCAAAAGTCTTGTAAGATTATATGCATAATCTATGTAAAGGTTGATGTGCTGAATATAATCAACCAGACATTGCCTCATAGTTGCTGATAGCTGTTCTGTTGAGATTTTGCAAATTTAGACTAATGTCAGAAGAATTGTTCAAAAATATTTTCCGTTATTTCCCAACATCATTTCCCCCTCTTATGGCCTTGAGGACACAAATAATTTTTGACATACAATTTTATGTAGTGTATTTTTTATTAGAAGACCTCTAACTGTTGGTATCACATATAAAATTTCATCTAATGAAGACATAGAAATGAAATGAATTTATTTCACCAAGCATTATTTTACTTAATTACAAAAACCTGATTACATGGACTCATGTTTCAGCTACAAAGCAGCATATGTTCATATACATCTATCTGTACTTACTGAATCAATTTTATTCCTTTCTGAGATCGAACAGATCATACCAGAAATCACATATTTAGGAAATAAATCAGCCTTTTTTTCACAATATGAATCTCAGAAAAGCCTTTGATCATCCATCAGCACTTATTGCCCTTATACAGATATGATACCCATTGGGACGATTGGGTAGCTGCGAAATTTTGGTTTTACAGAATCACTGACATTAGAAGCCCACCTGCATCCATTTCATTAAGTTTAAATCTTTTGAAAGAAAGCAGTAATATCACCAGAACCAGCTGCACCAGCTAATTTTCTAACTTGAGCTCGTTTAGAAGCTTGTTGTGATGTGACTTTCTGGTGACATATAACACACAATGTTCTCATATTATCTATATCACACATTCCACCACCCTCAAATACTGGTTTAATATGGTCTACATGCCAAAACTGAAATATGGCCAAAATAATTCAGCATGATTAAACTTGACCCTAGTACCTTGTAAAAAGTACAACAAAGCTGAACAAGGTAGAGAGAAAGGTTTTCAATTTCCTTTTGAAGCTCTAAATATAAATACATATACCATTTTAAAATGATTTTTACGTAAAAATTTCCAGCATTTCACATTGATAAGTAGCAAAACTTTTATTTTATTTTAAACATTGCTCAATATATTTGTTTTAGTATACATGAACAATCAATGATCTTTTAATCTCATCATGACAACTAAAGAAGATTTTCACATTTAATCCTGACTATGATCATGATATTAATTATTTATTTTCAATTATTTTGTCAAAATAAATAAAAAAATTCAATTAGTTAAAAGGGAATCTTTATCTTTTAAAAAGTAAATCAATAAAATATTTATGATAACTTCTATCAAGATAGTGACATTGCCTTGAGTCATGATACATACCTGACCTTCAACTGGTTTCCTAGCCATCACTTCTTTTACTTTAGATTTTAATTTAGAAAATTTACTCTCACTAATTAACTTGACTCTCACTTTCATATCAACAGTATCTCTGCAATACAACCAGTAGTGTTTCTATGAATCATAACAAGAGGGGGGAGGAGGGGGTGTAGGAGCCTCAAAATGTCAAGATGGGGGTTCGGGGCTCAAAGGCCATTCTTTTCCTATTTAAAATGATGAGAAAATTTGAGATCATTTTTTGTGAATTTCTAATATTATTGTCTTAATTATTGATGCATGTTCTACAATATACCATATATATAGATATATAGTTCGAGCTTTGTGACCATAGCCCATGCTTTTTATGAGAATTTTATTTTAATATCACCCTAACACAGTTTTATAACTTACTTGATTTGTTTATAAAATGAATGAGCATCAAATTGACAGATCTGACAAACACCATGTTCTATTTGATAGATTTTATCACGACAATATCCACTGTCTGTTTTAGTCTGAAATAACAGCAATAATAACTTCAGAATCAAACAGACATAGATCTGCCATACTATCATTGATAATCAAACAGGTTACCACCCAAGTTTCTCTAGCGAACTGCAACAGATTCAGCTGAACAGAAACTGCAAATGATTGCTGTATGATAAGTTTTTGGTCATCAAATACAGTTGTTTTAATTATGTTATTTAAGTCTATGAATAGAAAAATCCTTAAGAAGATTTCCTAGTCCTAGTGCATCTGAGTGTCTTAAGTTATAAAGTTATTATCATTAGAATTATTATTTTCATAACGTTTGTAATTACATCATATATAAAGACACTACTGAGATAAAAAAAAAAAAATACAAAGTAACAAGATCTTACAACCAAAATAATAACCTACCCAATGGGAATCGGCACAATTTAAGGAACAGAATCTGGTTTGCCAGGCGTTATTATTAGATGTTATTGTTTGTGTTGTTAATAAACTATTACTATAGGGCTGACTACAGTTTAAACATAATGGTACACCTTCATTATTTACAACCTAGAAATAAAACAAGTTCATACTTTTTGAGGTATGGAAACAAACTGAAGCTTTAAAGTGAGCTTGTTTACTTTTGCATGGGATAGCTGATTTACCTGTGATACAAGGTAAACAATCTGTTTCTGTATCATCAAAGAAGGGAAAGGATTCTGACATGGCTTTTGTCCCTCAAGTTTAAAATTTCTTGCCTATTGCAGTTTGCCCCCCTTGACAAATGTGTGGCCTCTACTTGGTCCCCAACCTAATGATACATAGAAACACCCCTGTTTAAATCACACATTAATTACTATTTAAAGAATAAATAACACAAGAAATACATAATAAAAATCAGTTAGTGGTGTAATAAACAATCTATTATCACATAATAATTGTTTATTGAATGTGTCAATAATAACTAATATATATACAGGTATTAATCATAAAAACATCAATTAACTCTACTTAGCTGTACATGGTGCTAATATAATTATCATTATTTGATTGATCATTAGAGGTATAGTGCTAATTGCATAATTTCTTCAATGAATTGATTGAAATCTTTACCATCAAGTTTTAATACCAATTTTCTATGGTAAATATTAGCTATAAGAAGCCATAACACTAATTTTATATGTACTGGAGGTGACAAAAAATTATTGAATTAAAGAATCAAATTTTTGATTTCTACACATTTGTGATATCTTCAAAGATCAGGATATTAGTTTGTTACATCTAGGGTCATGAGTAGTAGTTAAAGCTCAGATAACCTTGATATAACAAACAGATATCCCAATCTGCAGTCATAAAGCAAAGTATTTCAGAGTGTTTCGAGGCATTTTATACTGTAATGGTTCATGTCATATTGACAGGTAACTGGAGGGAAGACAAACCATTTTGTGAAAACCGTTTTATCCAATTGTACAACTGAAAGTGGGGTTTATTACCTGAGCTATTCCATAACTGTCATCATTTGTTTTATTGCTTTCTTCTGTTGGTTTTTTACTAATCTGTCTCACTGTGCCATTGATAGAAGTAGCTAATTTAGCTGCTGCTTGACTGATATCTTCCTGTAATATATTTGATAAAACACTTAAAGAGATGTATCAATATCAGTGTAAACAATATGATATAGTATAAAGAATATCAGCATCAGATTTATCCTATATATAAATATAAATAGGATTTTCTCCACACTTATTCATGTAAACAGAAATATATAAAATATACTATACTAAATGCTTTAATAGAGTGTGGGACATTGATTTGTATTTGTATCATGTCTCCAAAATAACTGATTAATTCGAGGGGTTTATTTTACTAGAATCATAACCCTGTAAATATATGTAATTGTTTAATATGTTTTGAATCCTGATACGTGGAATAATTATTGAAATCTTGGCTTGTTTTGGTTAAAGTATAATGTACCTTAGTTTTATGACGTTGAGTAGATGAGGTTTGTTTACTACTGATTTGTTGATATGCTGCTACTGGATTTATAAACAATACACCTCGATTTATTAACAATCTTCTCTTCGTTTCAGTTAATCTGTAAAAAAACATTAAATACAAAATCCAATGGCATATTTAACCAGAAGTTTCAAAAGCTCGATTTAAACTGAATATAAGTATTTCCAAAAGATAAAACTCAAATCATGGCTCTCTGAAGACATGTCTGTGATTACTGACATCGTGCAAAACCATAGAAATTTGTCAAAAACAATTAATACTGGAATTCAAGGTCTCAGAACATTCGTCAGTATAGACCATCACAACATTCATGCAGATTAACAACTACTCTGGGATGATATAAATTGTTATTGAAAAGTAAACAAAATACAATGGCGGAATGAAAACCGGGGTATTTCACATAACCCAGCGCAAGCGCAAGTATGCCTAGAACACAGGCGATCGTACAATTAAAACAGTTAACATGTTACTATAGACCTTTATAGTATACTGGCGATAAGTTAAATTTATAAAATATACAATATTAACAAAATTTCTAATATCATATGAACTTACAAATTCCATTCTCTAACAAAATTCTGTATGAGTCTAAGATGTGGTCGATATTTCAATAAGTCAGGTAAATCATCTATATTATTTAATTCTATATCCAGTGGTACAAAATTTATATTTAAAGCCTCTTCATTCTGAAAGGATAAGTTGAAAATTGATAGTAATAACTTTTAATTCAGAAATATTTATTGACTTACATGGTACAACAAAACAGCCAAGGGGTATATTTTACCTTCTACCCACAACTCTTGAAGTTAAGCACCGTGTGGTGCTCAGGGACTTTGAGGAAAATTCTGTAATGTCTTGATGGATTCATTAATTGTTTAGCTTTGTATAGGTACCTAAATTTGGCTTTTAACATGGTGAAATACTAAAAAAAAACATGACACTTTATATCTCGCTCTAAATGTGCTGATATCCCATCTGTAGATCACGTCTGAGGAACGAGTAGATTTGTCAGACTAGCTAACTATATGCCCTATTCAGAAAGGCTATATGAAACTGAAAAAAACTGAGACAATATGAAAACATAATATTACCTCATCAAAGATATAGATTCTACCAGTATATCTACTACCACAATATAGAAATATTTTATATACAGTTTCTGGTATACTGATATTTAACACTTTATTATTTACAATAGGACTTGTCTTGTTCTCCTGGCTTTCTGTCATTGCTGGTGATAAGTGGTGGGAGTTGACACTTTGAGAGATATTTTCACCATCTCCAGAAGTTTGGTATTCAATTGAGCTTCTCCTTTGTTTGAATAATGGTTTTCTGGAACTACATCCAGATCTATTATTAGAATCCACTGGTGTTACTGGAGTTTTAGCTTTGAATTTATATTTTTTTCCTGATGAACCAGGGGTTGAGATAATTTTTTCTGTTTCTTTTTCTGGGGGTGTATTTTGCTGAACATGCAATATTTTGGTTTGAGGGGTAGAACTGTTCATTTCAATCTCAGGAATATCAGAATTAATTAATTCTCGATCATCAAATGCCGTTTGATAATGCTGTTCTGATGTATTTTCGCTACGTAAGATTTTGTTTTTCTGTTTTTTGGGTATAACAATTGATGGAAGTTCAGAATCTATAAAAGAATTAGCACTATCACATTTTATAAAATCACTTTCACTATCCCTATCAATATCAATTTCATTACATTCAGCATTTGTAGAATCACTTAAAGTTTTATTACACTTTGCTGAGCTATGTATGGAGGATTTAACTCCCTTTGTGGAAGTTTTCTTCACAGTCCCTGGTTTTGGTTTTGGACTATCACACATTTCACAATATGGTAATTGTTGATGGTTTAAATATGTACAAGCCATGCAACTCCAGTGATTTTTCTGGTGTGGGGCTGTCATGGCTTCCTTAACCAATTTCATGCTCCCATTTTGATCACTTTTATTACTAGGACTAGAATGTGAATGAGAGGAGATAAATGGACTATCAACTTTAGAATATGATCTAGACTCATTACATGGACTAGAATTAGGACTAGATATTTCACTATCACGACATAAGATGTCAAAGAGTTTTGTTCGAGTTTTCATCTGTGGACGGAAATCTTCATTCTCACTATCACTGTCTAATATAACTATATCTTGATTGACTGTTTTAGGTTTTTTACTGCTTGACAAATTGATTTCTTCTGAATTGTTACGTTTACGTTTTCCTGTATCAACTGCTGATTTATTTCTTGATGTAGGTGGAGTTAAAAAATCTAATATAGATTTCTGGTCATTCGGCTGTAAAATATATCACGAATTGTATCATTAAAATTATATTGAGCTTGATATTAGAAATGAAGAAATGTCCATCAGATCTGCCTACCGCTATCTAAAAAGTCCCATAAGTAAAAATTTCAAGAGTATAAAAAAAACCTCAAAACCAATAAAAAGAAACTCAACACTTTTAAAAACTAAAAGGTAACTTTGATAGTGGATATAGATTAAGCCAATTCAAATAACCGTTTGGAGAAATAAGTGACATACCCTTTGTGATTGAAAATAATTGGATAAATCCATATCTGAATTTTCATCTTCTACAGCATAATTCACCTCAGCATTGGATAATAATTCTACCTGATATTTATCACCAGACTCTGCCTCTAATTCCTGTTTTTTACCTGATAATGTTGTCGAGGTTACCACTGTCTGAAAAAAATATAGAAATGTTGATGAAGTACAGATATAGAATCTAAAGTTTCATAGACCTCATTCATGTGTAAGCCTTATTCAATCAGAAAACCAAAAACCCCAAAACATGTTGTCACTGCAGTGGAACTGCCACCTTGATAGTTTAAAGTATTCTTCTCTAATGTCAGATTTGGATTTAAATTCCGGAATTGAATTGACTGAATATATATACATGAGATCTCTATAGAGAGTAATATCAAGAAAAACATATAAACATATATACAATTACAGAACATTATGGATATATAATCAAAAGAAAGTTATGCTCACTCATCATTCTGACTGTTATTAATGACCTTGGACAATAATCCATCAAATTTCGCACAAATTTGAAAGAAAACTTTGTTTACCATATATAACCTTTCTGATATTTGTCATATCTTACCTTTTTACAAACAGCTGACCATACCCACTCATCCATAGTACCTTTAGCTACTAAATAATGAACTGGTACACAGCTAGTCTGACCAATACGATGTGCTCGGTCTTCACATTGTACCATTACACCGGGTGTCCAATACATCTCTGCAAATACCACCAACTTAGCTGCTGTTAGAGTTAATCCCTAAAAAACAGAGTATAAAGCAACAAAGTAATTCAATGGATAGCAGTGTCATACACACACCTTTTCAGATTCATATAGCATTGGGTCATTTTCACAATGAATATAATTTCACATTTCACAGATTATGACAATACCAAACACAAAAGTCATATTGCTTTTGTATTTGCGATATTGACGTCATAATCTAGTAAACTCTTTTTGGAATAATCGTGTCGTGGAAAATGCCAAATTTATACATACCACACCAGCAGCCAGGATACTTAATATAGCTACTTTAATACTAGGATCTGATTGAAACTGGGTTACATACATCTAAAATCAACAATTTTTCATGTTACAAAGTCACCTTCAGACGTAATTTTTTTAAATTATCGTCATATCTATTACAATTCTAATTGACTGCATCTCCAATAAGTAAGGTAATTTTGGGCTTGACTTTCAGCTAGCGAATATTTGCTCATTTGGCTAAACAGAGAACTTTCAATTTACAAGTAGCATAACATCACTTTCATCAAAATACATCAAGATTATAAAATACTCTCAATCATTAAACAGTTGAATCACTATCTTGTACTCAAGTGCTGTTTTTAAGAAACTAGTAATTCTCATTCACCAGTCAGTCTATAGTCTAAAAGAAAGAAGCCATTTACTTGTCTATCAGCTGGAGGGACGGTACCATCAATTCTAATAAACTTCACTTTCTTCTCATATAATAACTGTTGTATACCATTCATCATAACATGGTGATAGGCAAATACTAGAAACTTTAAATTCTCATTTTCTATTAACATGTTGATATAATCCTTTACAGGACCAACCTGTAATTAATTTCACAAATGTGTTTTAAAGCAACACCATGTATTTGGACTTATTTCTCTGAACTCATTTCTGTCTAAGTTTTGCACAACTTGTCTAATAAACTGTTTTATTCCTAATACAGTGTCAATAGAGGTTAAAAAATCAGCAAGTAACAAGTATACTTATATAACACCCTTGTCATTCAAAAGCTCTTGAAATGTGCCTCAAGAATCTATTCCACTACACAATAGAAAAATAAAATAATTATTAACATACCTTTGCTTCCCCAGTGAGTTGTAATAATTTTGATATCAAGCCTAATGTTGTTGTATCTTGTTTATCATCAGAAGTTATCTGCCCTTGATCTACTCTGGTTAATGGTAGATCTGGTACTAGACTAGATACTGTAGAAGCACTATGATTTAGTTTGAGTTTTAAATCAGCAAAGGTTGAACGAATATCCTGTAATGGATGATAGTCAATAAAACATGAGGTCTTTGAGTGTAAATGAATTAAAACATCATATACCCTGAAATATTTACATTTCTACTATCACTCCCTTCAATAAACCAGTTAGCCAAACCAGCGTTAATTTTCCAATAACTGTAGTTTGTCACCTGACAATAAGGCGTATGAATACATCGAAAACGAAAACAAGGATTGACCCAAGTTTTTTACCTAGAGTTGGATTTTGAAAGGGTTTCTAACAAGTATTTTAAATCAAGCCATATTAAACAGATTCCGTTTTTATTAAAAGAAATAAAGTGTTAATTTTGCACTTGATTTGAAACATTGGTAGACTACGTTTGAAGAGAGAAACAATGTTCATGTCGCTGTTAGCCGATTGACGGGAATTTCCCTCATTCTATAAAAAGACTGTACAGAGAGAATATCGAACATACGTATAGAAGACTACACACGTAAAGGTAAACCAATGTAAATATAAAGAATAACGATAACAAGATCCACATTCATTCCTTAAGTATATAACTTGAAGCATATGGTGTTAACATTGTGTGACATCACTTATTAACAGCTGCTATACTGGTCGCTCGGGTTGAAAGGATTGAAAAGTTTATTCTGAGATTACACCTCATTTGTCTTCAAGCCGCTATTATTTTCACTGTGGCCTAAACAAAGGCATCAATTCATATCATATGAACTTCTAATGGTTTTACAACTACAAGTAAAAAATATTTTTGAAGGATAGGTAACATAGTTAGACATTATATTATTATACAATAAAGTATATAAAATGTAATTTAGTTGCTGTTCTTTAAAACAAAGTTATGCCCACCTTTTTTAATTCAGAATCTTTGAGTTCAAATAAAACTTTCTGTCTCTGTTTTGGTGGTAACTGAGTGAGTACATCTTTCTTTTCTCTTCTTATCATCACCATTTTAACTAATTTGGTCTGTAGTTCTTCTAAATTACTAGCTCCACTGAACAAAAAAAACAAATACATTTTAACACTTTCATTTTCATAGCCTGACACAGTAAATTTTGATAGCATGATACAGTTCATTATTCTTGTTTGTATCTTGCACAATTATAGTTGGAAGTTATCTCAAAGAGTAGTATCATTAGTAAAATACATGACATGCCAATCTGTTACTTACTCTACTTTTCGTCGCTTCATGCGACCAAACCATTCTAATTTAGCATCACAATATCTTGCAGTAAAATCCCACCAGGATCCAAAAGCCTTAGGACATAAGGCATCCAACTGAGGGAATAACTAAAATATCAAGTAATTTTCTTAATAAACATTGACAAAGAAAAGGATTTTTCTAGTATCTCATCTTTATCTCAAAAGAGTATGTTTCTCTCAGAAAATATCTGGCTTTTCAGAGGAAAAATTTGATCTGGGGGTAACTATCATTGAGTGATAAAGTATGATTGGGTATCAAACGAAAGTAAACATGAAATGCCAATTACCTATGAATGATATATATCTAGTTTTCTCATTTTCTTGAGGCACAATTCTAAATGCATTCATAAACATAATTCTCAGCTTTAATTAACGAATATCTATTTTGTTGGATTATCCTACTTACCTCTACAGGTTTAGCTAATGCTGGAGTTCCTGACAGTAATATTCTTCTTTCAGCAGCCTGAACCAATGGTACTACAGCCTTACTACTAGCTGTTTTATTATTCTTGATATAATGAGACTCATCACAAATTATAACTTGGAATTTCTGATTTGTTAAAGCTTCTTTTACTATATGACTTGTAGACTTGCTCAATAAACCATATGTAACTATACTGATTTTAGCAGTAGATATATTCCTTGAGAGAAAATATAAAATCATGCAATAAGTTTAGCATTAGGCACTAGTTTTAAGTGCAAAAATAAAACCCCATGAAATTCAATGTCATTTCTATTGAGAAATTTACACTATAAGGCCAGTGTGTTGTTTCAACTGTAGTCACTTCAAAAAATCTAAGTATGGATTGAAAACGCATTAAAAAAGAGAATTGATCAATCTCTACCTACTTGGCATCATTTCCCATCATAATGAGGTTGATATCATGTGGATGGATGTCAGGAAGCCACTTTTCTATTTCTTCTATCCAACAATACCGTAACGAGGAGGGTACAATAATTAACAATGGCCAGTCCTCTTTATAGTAATAAGCTATTGAAATAGCTTGAATAGTTTTTCCAAGTCCCATCTGTATAATAAAATGAAATGTAAAAAGTTTGGTTGAATATGGTTGTGCAGATAATAAAAAAAAAAGGTAAAAATCATTGGTTTTATTAGTAATATAAGCTTATATAGTAAAATTTGGCATCACTCTAAATAACATTTAACAGCATGCCAGTTCAGACACTTCAATTGGCCTAGAAATTTGATATTTCTTCAGTTTTTACATAAATGAATGATAATATGTCTAAAGATATTAATTATACATACCTCATCTGCAAGAAGTACCCTGTAATTAGAATTTTAAACTTTGAGAGGCCTCAATAATAAGACACATAATTATGTGCTACTGCTATATAGGTTGGAAGATGACAAGATAATGCCCACTTCCAGCAGAAGCTGATACTGCAGACTGTGCTTTAAATGCTGTACCCAATGATCATTGCTGCTCCACTAATCTCTTAGTGAATGTCCATTCTTGATGTTGCAAAATTCTCTTCATTTGCGAGATGTTTTACTCCCACATCTAATAGTATTTATAATTTTAGAGAAATTTTAGACTCAAACAAATTTATAATAGATTTAGGGCTAAATTCTAAATTGTGTGTGCAAGTTTTGAAATATGAAATAATAAGGAAGGGTTGAATGGAATGCCAGTGTATCAGTTTCACTTATCATTATCAGTATCATCTCGTCAGTGAATATCCAAATGATTACCTTCCATTATTGTTGACAGCATACTCAATACCTTCCTTCTGGAATTGCATCAATTTGTGTCTCAGTTTGAAAGGCAATTCTTCTAAAATAGACTCAATATGTGTTTTCATTTTTTTGCCTTTAAAATCCTACTCCCGCCATTACTTGTTTACATATGAAGGGGTATTTCCTCCTCAAACACTAAAGATTTACCAAGGGAGGTAATTTTTTTCAGACAACAAAAACATAAATTATGATATAAAACTGGATTTATTTGGTTTAAATTGGAAGGCTATATAACAATTATTGAATAAGGAATAATCAATTAGGCCTACTGTAAACATAATAAGCGAAAAATCTTATTGCATAACATTTTATGGTAGTGGAACATGAGACGCTTCTTCTATGCTAGTCTTTGACCACTGTGAGTTGATTTTTTTCTTTTGTCATTTCACACAAATCCAATTAAATTCTCACTTGTGTTTCATAACAAATGTCTTTCGATCTATAGAAGTCTAAGGATCAACAGTTTTACACATGATATAAACATATTTCCTTTCTCAAAATTGCACATGAAATAAACTTCCAAAGAACTACTGACTATATACCTCTTTTAGACTGTACTAAATTGACAAAAAAATTACAAAACATAATATATTTGAATAATCAAAATATTGATGTTACAGCCAATGTCATCAAAGTTGTCACAATTTTGTCTCTTGTTATACAGGTACCAATCAAGAGTGTTCTTCTAAATTCTATTATATTCATATGTTTTCATCAAAAAATATAATGTAAAAATGACTACATGGAACCGTGTTGAAACAGAAGAAATTGTAATAGTTTTTGTCAAATCAATAGCTAATGGAGGTTAAGTATAAATTTTCAAAACATATGTCAGATTGTGAGAGGCTAAAATTGAGCTCTTCAAAATGTTTAGATCCCTTTAAGATGATCCCACAAAAACACCCTTCTTGTAAACATATTCATCACACACCATTCAAAACTAAATTTTAACTGAATGAAAATGTAGATTGGCAGTTGTTTTATCATTGAAACAGTAAGGATAATCCAAATTTCTATATAGCAGTTTGTCTCACTAAGTTGTCAATATGGCTCATAGCTTCTGACATGGTCAATTAAAATGTCAAAAATTGAAATAATTTTGTAAAACTTTGTATATTTTCATTTCTTCTTTGCTAATTCTTTTAACTTTGCTTTTTCATCCTCCAACATTTCTAGGAATGGTTTCTCACTGGTGAAAAATTCTGCATCAAAAAATCTTGTATATGCCAGAAATGCAAGTACTAAAAAATATAAATAAAAGTTTTCATTATTTCTTTCATATATTTGTCATCTTTTCACTTTTATACAAAAAAAAAAACCACCAAAAAGTTCTGTTATCAAGCCTAATTCCATATTTTTGTAGCAGGTAGCTCCAAGTCCAAACATTATCCATGTGAATGAAGAAATTTTGCAATCTGCTCAAACTTTGCCCATGTCTTAATTTTTAAAGATGGCTTTCCTTATCTGTTTAGTGTCAAATTAAGCAAACTAATGATTAAATGGTGTTTCTGGTGAGTTATGATCATATTATAATGTTTTTTTTGCATATAATTTAAGAACATACATGTTCATGTTTGTACAGTCTGGATCAACGAAAAAATACTTTTTGACCTTTCTTGATCGACCACTCATTGGAATTCTGCTGGTAATTCTCTTCTAAATTAGCTAATTATGAGATAATTGTGAGACAAACTGTTATTTTTCCAAGTCATTAGAACACATGTAATTTCTATTCATATACGGTAAGTAGAGCATTTTCATTTTCATACATGAAAATAAGGGAACCCATCTTTAATGTAATTTGAAGTCTTTCTTCAAATACCTCAACCAGTCAAAATTAGTATACCAACCTAATGAAACAGAGGATCCACACACTATGACAGAAACCTTTTTAGTGACTGTGGGTTGTTTTGGTGTGAGTTTACAGGCTGTAATCATAATGTAAATAGATGTACCAAGTGTGATTCCAGTGGAGATTAATTTACATGATAAACAATCTTCTTCTAGTAAGGGAACATATTTCAAAGTCTTTTCTCGTAAGTCTTTAATAAAAACATCATCTTCTATTTCCTTCAGCTTTGGGAAATCCAATTTTGTATTTTCTGGCTGGTCTTTATCAAATCCAAATATCCTCTTGATTCTATTTATCATGTTCTGTATTTATCTGAAATAAAAGAAATACTTAAACAAACATGATTAGTTATGTGGACTTTCTGGATATGGTTACTTCACAAACCAAGTCAGAGAGTCGCATGAGCTCTATGAATAATATTTTGAAAATCTAAACTATGATAAAACAAGGCCAACTCTGGAGATGTTATCTAAAATAGGTTTTGCATTTGGTTTGTGTAATAAAATCAAATTTCATAAATTTCCGGTCAGAATTCTACCTAATAAAAAGGGAAGTCTGTGCTTTGCTTTTGTTTTGCTCGACACAGTTTTGATTAGCTAATTTTTTTTTCTGATGTAATAAACCAAAGATGCAATAATTTTATTATCAACAATATGGAGAATATTCACTTGACTATGTTGCAAGTAGGCCTTACTCATATTGATAGGCCTACTTCCCTTAGAAAATTAGAAATCAAGAAAAGTGCTGGGATGATCTCTTTTCTTTATTCTTTTATGTTTTGTTTCTTTTGAAGTTTTCATGAGATTTAATTTAGAAGTTTCTGAAGTTTTGATTTTTTTACTCTTTTATAATAAATGCCTAGAGTTCCCCGCGTCCATTTGTAACATGTGCATTATATAAGCCTTACTGAAACTATCTAATCATTTAGAAAAATTTGGAAATGACAATGTAATGTAAAGAGACATTTCATCAGCCCATGCCATCTATTACTCAAACTCAAGCTATCATTCATCTCCAATGAAAAATCTGGGCTTCCTGTCTAAGACAATATCTGGAATAGATATTATTGAATTTATGACATGGTTTTATAATATAAATCATGATTTATCTTGTTCATAATACATTTAACACATAGAATACATAGCTTTCTTTTATAAAAAAAAATGTACCTTCTCAAGACAACTCTTTTATTTTTTGTACTTTCACTTTACTTCCTGTTTCCCCAGTTAACCAGACACTTTTCTTATTATTCAGTCTGTCTGGTTAATCAAAGCTCAAGCACATAGTTCAAAGTTCAACTTAAGATTGAACCTGTTCGTTCTCTGACTTGATTCACAGACAGCTTGGAAGAGTAAGTCTTTGCTTGTCTCATGAAATATTAATAATTCTGGTTGTGTCAGTTGTCTTATTACTGCATTGACGACCTATTTGATAATTCACAGTGCCAGTTGCACATCCCTGTGCAGATTCACTGGAAGGTTAAAATATTGACTTACATTAAAAGGACTGCAAGTGTATGCAATCAAACAGTCCTACATATTGTGCAACCAATCTTGTGTGAGCAAATTATCATTAAAGGGACGGTATCAATTTGTCAAAATATATTCAAGATTGCTATATTCCATTAATTTTTTTCAGAAAATTTAATTGAATGTCAGCTATAATGATGTCACTCTCTGTGTTGGTGAATTTCATTGATATCTCACTTTTAGAAAGGAGTGCATTATTCACTAGCAATCTTGGACTAGGCTGGACGCAGTGGCATAACATAAGTGATAAAGGGGCACAGCAGGGGCCACAAAATTTTACACTGGCTATTATTTCAGTATGTATATTGATAACAGTTTGGAAAGTGGGAGGATCAAATCTGTGCCAGCCTCTTTTCCGGCAAGGGAGGGGGGTGGGGAGAGGGCAATAACACCAATTGCTGGACAAACAAGGTGAGGACAACATATTATATCAAATGTCAATGTGGGCATTTGAAAATGACTGTGGATATCTACGGGACTGATTATCTTTATAGCTCATTGTCACTGCCACTTTAAAATTAACAAATTGCAGTAGGGCTTAGATTATCCAAGTAGGCTGATGCAATGTGCCTTGATATAGTAAAATATATTCAAGTCCCATCATATACACTATCAATATCATTACATTTACCAGTATACACTAGTTCAAGAGAATATAAAGTTCCTGGAGAATATTTATTTCTATATAATATGTAGTATATGAAGTGGATAGCTTTCATTACAGTAGATATCAGTTAGTTCTCGATCACCTTACCCTACAACATTGATAACAGTTTTATAAATTTATACTTTGACTATTGGCCATATTTGAGGAGGTATTTAGGCTTAAACTTGAAGGTAATACTGGTTTTACTATTAAGCATTTTTTAGGTATATAAAAGGTATATAAATTAGACTAAATTGATTTGATTCATTTGAAGCTTGATTGAAAGAAGAAAGACTGGATTTTATTTGATTTTTGATTTTTTTTTTTTTTTTGAAACATCTTTTGATTGGAACTAAGGACTAAAGATAAAAAAGAGTTGTTTATTTCACATACAAAATGCTCTTTTTCTGTGTATAGGCCTAGGTGTAGTAGATTGGGTATTTATTGTTTTGGATTTGTAAATCAGATGCATTATAGACTATTTTTTTTCCATGATTTATCAAATTAAAAATTTAGCACTTTTAAAAACAAATTTTAAGTAATTAGCTATAATAAAGTTATTTTTAAATTTCTTGAGATAATAAAAATCTTTTGGAGAATTCAGTTTTCATTCTTATCCATATACATTTTATTGATATTTATAAAAAAAACGAAAAGAAATAAAAAGTAGCATTCTTGTAATTTCCCAGAAAATATTGGAGAATATGAATGTTTATTTAGGCTCATTTAAAACTAATTCCAGAGAATTGTAAATTCAAATCTTGGGGAATGTAAATTTTATTGAATTCTGGAGTAATCAATTAGTTCAACATATTCAAGCTGAGTAAAAACATGATTCAAGTTGTATTTTAATATTTCTATTCTAGAATACAAGTTGTTTAACTAGTAAAGTTTGTCAAATTACAAATGTTATTCAAGTATCCTCGGACGAAACTTAAAGGGACAGGTGCGCCAATATGGGGGGTTGATTTTAGTTTTGAATATATGTAAATAGTCTTCAGAAGTACTAGAAATGTTTGAAAATCGCATAATTCCTTTTAAAATACTCCAAACTAGGAATTTTACTCACTTTTTCTATAGCCTATATTTCTTTTCTATATATCACAGAGTCGTCATTTTAACATTCAAATGCGGATAATTCTGGACATACATGGATTTGAAGGCTCAAATTTTGACGGTGAGCTGTGAACACTATTACTGATTGCCTAAGCTAAAAAATGAGACTAAAGTATGATATGTCAAAAAATGGTGCAGCTGTCCCTTTAAGAAAGATAACAAATTTGAGAGCTATACTAAAGACTATATTTTATTTATACCTCTTATTTGTTTAAAATCGAATATTTTTCTAGATTAATCAAAGTAAGAAATACTGAAAATAAGATGACTAAAGCAGCATATGGTTCGTGGAAATCACCCATTTCCAGTAAATTAATAACACAGAGTGCTGTTGGTTTATCACAAGTTTCATTGGATCAGGACCCAAAATATACTGGTAATTTAATATAATTAGTTATTTCAAATTGAGCCTCATAGAATCTGATATAACATGCAAGAGAGATTTAAACTGACATATTAGTATTAAAGGAATAGCTAAAATACCCTGATGTATATTCAGTTTGAATATCACTTTTATCGTCATATGCCTATCAAGGTCGAAGGGGTGAAAAACGTCGAAACGTTCATATAACTTTATCCAATGGTTATTGTTTCATAAAGTTGTGTCTATATATTCTACTTGGAATTGCTCAAGACTATATATATATGATTATTGAGCCAGAAATTTCAAGAATACCTAATTGTTACTAATAAGGCAATGTTTCATGAGTCAGCTTAGTTAAATATGATGGATACTATGAAATGCACCAGAACGAAAAGTCATTTTCCATAATTTCTCACTTTTTTTTTCTTGTTTACAGACTATGTTTATTGGGTAGAATCAAGAGCTGATGAAAATGGAAGAAATGCTATTTGCTCCTTCAATACTAAAACTTCTAAAACAGAGACCATAACTCCAACAGACTATAATGTAAGAACAACAGTACATGAATATGGTGGAGTATCATATTTGGTTTATCAAGGAGCTATATACTTCTCTAATTTTACGGATCAGGTTCTATATGTCCAGAAATCAGCCGATTCTAAACCAGAACCAGTGACAGAGAAAGATAAAGGTTTACGTTTTGCTGATGGAATCTTTTCAGCCAAGGTAAATTGAGAATATTTTGACATTCTATGCTGAAATTTTTTTATCGTTTTCAGAAGAATTCAGAATCTTTGTCCAACTGGGGCAATATTACATGTACAGTGACTTCAAAATAGCAGTCTGAAACATGAACATATTTCAAAGGAAAAAACAGAAATGCAAAACAAAGTGCACTCTTAATCATAGAAGAAAAACACGAAAGAAAATATAATATTTTTTTAATTTCATTCCAGTATAATAGAATATATTGTATAAGAGAGAGTCATGTAGAGGGTAAAGAAGCTGTCAATGATTTAGTATCTATTTCACCAGCAACAGGACAGCAGACAGTAATAGTATGTATATTGTTTGCTTCTTTCTAATATATAGATAGTACAAATTTCATTTTTCAATAAGTTTCTGACAAATATGAGCTCTTTTGCTTGTTGTGTTGAGTAGTTCAAACTAATATGATGTTAATTGATTGTTAATAGAATCCATACTTTTGATGTGTGTTGAGTTGCAATTTGAATTTGTAGACAAGTGGTGCCGATTTTTATAGTGATATCAGACTGAGTCAGGATGGTAAACAGGTTTGTTGGGTAGAATGGAATCATCCTAATATGGTAAGGTTTACATTCAGCATGATCCTTATAGCCTACATCAGAATTTAACATAAATTGGCAGGCTGTCATTGATGAACTCTGATGCAGATATTATCAATGATGTCATGAATTTTGTTATAATTGTACAAGATTATGTTAATGACAGTCTGGTTGTCATGACATCTGCTGATATGTCTTTATTTGATTATAGTAAAATGAATCAAACTTGATCCAGATAGCTTAAATTCAGCACCATATGATGATAAAGCACAACTAATATTAACATTCCTTTGAAGCACATTTGCAAAATAAATATGCATTTTTTTAAAAAATAATTTTGGTGATAAGATTCAATTTGTTATATTTTAGCCATGGGATACTACTAGTTTATATACAGCAGAACTAACATCTAATGGTGAGGGTGTGGTAGCAGGTTCTACCAAGAAAGTGGTGAGTTGTTTAGACTAGTGTTCACATTTGAAAAAGAAAATTAGGTATTTATATCTATGTCTTATGTACTTTATCAAATGAAACCTAGGTTATTAAAGTACTGAAATTTATCCAGATTTTTTATACTTTTACTAAATGGATAATAATATAAAAAAATTTTAGTAGTTCTGGTAACAAGTATCAACTTATGATAAAGATTTGCAATTATAAGATTCCAAAGTCCTTCTCATAGAAATTTATAGACATTAGTTGTTTTCACACGACATTTAAAATACAAAATCATTTTTTTTTTTGGACAGGATACTGGAAGTGATAATAGCGTCATTGAACCGCAATGGTCACATGACAACGAGTTACATTACATCAGTGACCAATCAAATTGGTGGAATTTATATTGTCTGTCAAAATCGGGCCAATCAACTAATTTGTTGGAGAGACAAGAAGAAGTGGGTGGTCCCAAATGGCAGATTGGCACCTCAGCATATGCCTTTGATCCCAGTGGTGCTGACCATATCTTAACAATATATTCTGGGGTAGGTAATTCTATAATCAATTGTTTATAAAATCAAACCCAGAATCTAGGTATCTATCAATGCAGTTAAAATATTTTCAGCCTAGAATATTCTTAGCAGGGGGCATTAATCATAGCTAAACAGATTAAAGATGAAAAAACAAGAGTGATCCTCAATGGTTTTTAAGGAGCTGTAAGCTATGAGCTTAATTTAGATATTGACAATTTGTTTTAGTTATGTGTGTTAGTGTTAAATTGATGTGAACTTTGTTCAGGTTATCGAGATATTGTATAAGAAGACTGGTACAACAGAGGCTATAAATACACCATTTAAAAGACATAGAAACATCAACTGGTCTGCAAGTGGTGATATCTATTGTTTAGCTTTCAGTGATACACAGTTTTTATCTGTTATACAAGTTAATCTCAAGACTAGAAAGGTATGTTCATATAAGAAATTGTTTGACATTGAAATCCTCAATTGTTATTCACTTCATCCAAAATTTGAGTTTTCAGAAAAATCATAAGGGTATTGTGGAATCAATGCATTATTTCTGTGTACGCTCTGTTTTAAAGTGATACTACATCTTAGAATGAACATAAAATTGAAGTTCTCAAGAATGGTCAATATAAGTTCATAAGTTCATCATTTACCTGGTGTCATAAAGTTACAACCGAATCCCTGTAAAATCTGGAAAATTCGAAAATTCATAAACCTAAGTAATTATTGAAAAATGTTTTTCAATAGTTAATTGCATATTTAAGGATAATTATAAAGTTTTTTTGGATTTATCAGATTACATAAGAAACCTTTTATGTTATGTATTTCTACTGATGAATATGCTCTTATTGGCCAAGTTTAAAATTCTTAAAATTTATGTTCATTCTAAGACCTGTTATTTCTTTAATATATGTTATGTATAGTATTTCTTATTATTTGATGTTTCTTTTTCCATCTTTTTTCATAGACTACAATATTGAAAGAATCCAGTTCATTAGAAATAGATTCTGGATATTTTAGTCTACCAACAGGAATATCTTGGACAACAGAAGATAAACAAACATCACACGGTTTCTTTTATCCTCCCCAAAATAAAGATTTTACTGGTTTAGATGGTGAATTACCTCCCTTGTTGGTGCGAGCTCATGGTGGACCTACCAGTAGTTATAATAACAGTTTAGAATTAAAACTACAGTATTTTACAAGTCGTGGCTTTGCTGTCTTATTAGTCAACTATAGAGGTAGCACTGGTTATGGTAAACAATACAGACATAGTTTACGTGAAAAGTAAGTCTATCTTGATAACCCTGTATCTGAAAACCCTGTATCTGAATATAGCAAAACCAAAGCAGACAAGAACAGGGATCAATCAAAATATATAGTATCTTTAAGATTACTAGGATCTGTCATTAACAGTATATGTCATCAATCCTTTCATCAAATTGACCAAGGAGAAATAATGAAATTGTAACATTATGCCTACTTTGAATATTGGAAATGTTACAGCTTTGTATACCTTGTCTTATCAAATAAAAGTGTTTGAATTAGAATCAAGTATTATGATCTTATGAGATTCTTAAGCCAAGAATAAAACCAATCATCGGTTTGCTAGGAATTCAGTGACTGGCTATTCCCAAGCTGTTGTCTTGCTATGGGACTGATGAACCAGATTGATTGATATACATATATTTATTAGAATGAACCATTGATATTTTTAGTTGGGGTGTATATGATGTAGATGACTGCTGTAGTGGAGCTCAATATTTAGCTAAAGAAGGAAAAGTAGATGGTAATAAGCTCTGTATTGATGGAGGTTCAGCTGGAGGCTACACCACCTTAGCTTGTCTTGCTTTTAAAAATGTCTTCAAAACAGGTACAGATCTAATATTCAGAATCTGTTGTGGTAATGATTTGCAGCTCGAATGCCAATCAAAAGCTTATCAACACACTGTCAGAGTATTGAGGAGCTTCAAGATATCAAACTGAACACCTGAACAAGACTGGAAAAACACAAATTCATCCTCCAGAATAACGCTACATTGACTTTCAAAAACACTGCATTTGAAGACAGAAAATTTACTTGCATGTAATAAATGTTAAACGCTTTGAACCAAGGACACCTGATTGGTCAACTTTGGTCCACTGTGAAAGTTGAGCTGCCACTCTTCAGATTTAACATTTTGTCTATCTTCAGTTAAACACATTTTGTGATGTAGCAGACCAAAAAATAACTTTTCTATCATCAAATAGACCAAAAATCCCATTCATTGCGAATATTTTCAGGTGTGAGTCATTATGGTGTAGCAGACGTGGAAGCTCTGGCAGCAGAAACTCATAAATTTGAAAGTCGGTATTTAGATCGGCTGATTGCACCCTACACTGATGAGGGCAGGAAAATATTGAAACAAAGATCACCTATTAATCATGTGGATAAAATTAATTGTGCTATGGCTTTCTTTCAAGGAGATGAGGATAAGGTAGGTCAAATCCTTTGTGTGACAAATTTATTTATTTTATTGGAGCTGGGGATGAGAGTTGCTGACTGTCTTTTTGAAATTATATTGCCTTGAGGATGGTAAAAATTTGATTTCTGATATTTTGATTCTTTGTAATGTAGGTTGTGCCTCCAAATCAAGCAGAGATGATGTACAATGCAGTTAAAGCTAAAGGGAAGCCTGCAGCATTAGTTATGTTTGAAGGTAATACTATTATCTTCTTATCACTTTTAATATTTTAAGGAACTTTGGTTTTGATGCACTCTACACAAAGTTTAATACAATCATATGAGCATTACAGTGAAACAGAAGGTCTTGCCACTTAGATTTAATCTTAGCCTTGAGAGTTGTTGATTTCATGCCTGTTGTATAAGGTAGCTTACTGGGGAACTTTAAGGCCCTTTCCAGGTGAATTGTTTTCTTTCTTATATTGTGAAGATATATTGACAGCTAGGATATGGTTCTGGACAATTAAAAATTATGTGTGCTAATTAATTTAGGAGAACAGCATGGTTTCCGTAAAGCAGAAAATATACAGAATGCTTTAGATGGAGAGATGTATTTCTTTGGTAGAGTTTTAGGTTTTAAACCTGCAGATTCCAAGTTTACTGTAAGTGTCATAATTGTTATATTATTTTTCAGTATTTGTATGATGTCTTATATAGGGGATAAACAATCTTTTTGCCAAGTCTATGAACTCAAAGGTGTATTATCAAACAATTGGAGAGGATTACAATTAATAATAAACATCAAATATTTTAACATTCTACAATTTGCTAAACTGACAATATGCCAGTAACACTCTATTTGTAGTTCAACGGTCAAGACAGTCGTTAGTAATCTTATTCAATACCATTTTTTTCAGATGAAAATTGACAATCTTGATTAAAGTCTAATGTGCAATTACTGTACTTGGTTGGAGAAACAACCAAAAGATACACAACAATGATATCTTTTTTTAAAATTCCGAAGCAGCATTGTCAAAAGGTTTGATTTTATTTGTGTCCATTCATAAACTATTGTTAATTTTGTTTGCAAATATCAAATAATTGTTACTGCTTTTTCATATTATGTACCACTTATTTCGATTATGTTTTGTATTCACTGTGCTTAAAATATCATGGTCTTGCATAAATTATACATAAACCACAACTGTTTTATTAAGAGTTATATTCTTGTTCAAGGTTTTTTATTTTTGGTATATCACAGGCCATTTATGACAACTGGACTTGTTTATATATGAAAATGTTAATATACTACAAACTCCTACCTACATTTTATGTTTAACAGATCATTGTATATCAATTTCTCAGAATAAACTAGTATACATTAAGAATCTTTAATCTGCAGGATTAGGTAATTTGGGAAAGAGAGCTGACACCAAAACAACTCTCAGAAGCACTGCCAATTGGAATTTGTCATACTTCTAGGAAGATTCAAACCCTTGGCACCTTATCGCCAAGCAGACAACAATATTACTCGCTACTGATTGAGCTATTCCACTGGCTCTGAAACGAAACCCATATGGTAGAACCATAATTCCTTGTATAAAATTCATGACACTTGAACTTTCAAATATTTATTTTCAAATATGGGTTTCCATACAGAAATGACCACATACCATATTTGGTAATTAAAATAACATGAAAACATAATTAGGTACTGTAGAACTTCAGGTCAAGGAACTTATTCAGTATAGAACTGAAAGGAAAATGTCCAAAAATTAGGGCAGGTTCACATCTATGCAATTTGTCCTACTAAATTTAAGGAATGCCTTTATCAGTCACCTCCTGATCACATGCTTAAACATGAAATAGTCATTTGAGATAATAAGCAAATCACAAGAATCTAAGTAGCAAACTGCACAAATCTGAACCCATCCTAATTCAAAATAAGCAAAGCAACATACATTGTTTTGCTCCCACAATATCCAAGTCAAAAACTAGCAAAGAGTAAAAATACAATCAAAGCACAAAATATAGATACACAATTCTAGATATATTGTATTCAATAAAATAGTCAAAATAATATGGTGTACTAAGGCAAGGTATGCTTACCTTTTACTTTTAATTTATAAGTCTTAGCAATCTTAGCATGCTTGTCATGGCTGGCCACAAGCCAGTCCTGTTTTGATACAATAACGTCAAAGAGTCAGGGCTAAATTAAACTAAATTATATGTTAATTGAAATTCGATGATAAATTGATGTCCAAAATCAGATTAATAAAAATCCTGTTTGAGATTCCGTTAATATCAATAGCAATCTATTTTCAATTTCAAATCAAGCTTAAAAATATACATGAAAATTATCAATCTTTTTAATTGTACATGACTGTTCCATGATTGTTTTATGATTGTTTTATTATTAAAATTAACAAAATATTGTCAAACATTATATATCCATTGGCAAAATAGTTATTTAAATATTGAAAGAATGAATAATATTCTGAAAACTTTCAACTGAATTATTACTACATAGGATGATTCCATCAATCCAAAATGTTTTGTATTTTTAAACAACTCTTATGAATTTTTTTTTAGTCCATGGGTAAAAATAGTTTGTCAGTCTTCACTTGACAACCCGCTACTTCTTTTGAACGCTTCCATACATGTATTCTTAAAATCAATGATGTATATGTGTAGAAAGAGTCCATTTGCAAACTGAAGGGGTTTTTGTAGACTGTTAACCATTTTTGTCCATGAACATGAAATGAATGAAACCGGCACTTAGTATATTTTGATTAAATTGCATTGATAAGTCCAAAATAACAATGGTGATGCATAATGCCTGAAACATACAAATTCTCAACACAGAAAACAAAATAGTTGTATTTAAAAAACTCATGAATGGAAGATGAAATAAATATTCCATGTAAAATGATAACAAAAACATAATTTTAATTCCACATAGGGAAAAATAACATTTGAATATATTGCGCAAAGGCCCATAACTCTTTGGTCTTTATTAAGACGAAGTATAATATAGTTTGGCCGTGTTCAATATGAACTATTAGTATTATATTGACTATCATCATACAATCACAATTTTATCTTGGTTTTCATTGTCAATTAGGCCCACTATTTCTCTTGTTTATTATTCAACTATTTCAACAGTTGTGGCAGGGGTATGTTGAAATCACTCAATTTATATGTTGACACTAGGGCTGGGTAACGATTACCACATTGAGATTGATTATCGATGACAGACTACAGATCAATAATTTTAATAATTCAACTGAGAAACCAGTTGAGAAATACTTAATTTAAAACATGCCAAAATTTCACCCAGCCCTAGATCACACTGCTTGTTTGTTACTCTAGTTTTAACCTAAAGGACAACGTATCTGAGTCACGCAGAAATTTGTTAAGATTGTAGATGATCACTTGAATGTGGGACTTATCAATCAGAGCCAAATTAGAAATTTACAATCATGCACATCAAATGAATTGCCTTCTAATGAAGTTTCCTACCTCAACCAAAATGGGGCACTGAGAAAGCAAGGACAAAATTCTTTCAATATCTTGAAACAGTAAATAGAATATAACAAGTCAGTTTGTCCATATGCTTTAAGTCAATTAGAAGATATTGAAAGAATCAGACCTTTACAGCAGTTTTAATGGCCTAGTTGTCAATAAAAAAAATACAGTTTATCACTGATAATGTTACACTTTACACAGTCTTTAAACAATATATACAATTCTTTCACTGTCTTTTATCCATACACACTGTCCCTTTCCTTACTTCCTGGAAATTCACTTTATGCATGGATTCACTGTAGTCTGCATCAGTTCACCTTCACCAATTCAAAATAAACAACTAGTGTTAAGATTTCAATGCCAAATGACATATTTTATTGAAGTGGATATTCAATAACATCTGATTCTTCAAATCACTAGTTAGAGTTGCCATTTTAATTACTGACTCTAGGTTCTGATGAATGTCCAATTTAAATTAAATGCAAACGCAACACTGACTGTGTCATATCTTGCTTTTGCTCATCCAATAGTTTAATCACGGTTTGGCTAAAACAAGCACCTGTTGGTACAATCTGAACCAGGACGTCCAACATGCATAATGGTGAAATTATACACAATGTTCCATGCATTCCAATATCAAGTCTTTAAGCACTGAACATGATGAATTTCTACAACTAGGTAACGTTTAATAACACTATATACATTGATGAAATGTTTGAATAACTCGGTACATAACATAGTTTGTCTGGATTCCCTCATATTGGACCTAAAGATGCATGTGCATCTGAAGCAGATTCTGGTATCTTTAGGAGAATATTTTATCAATTACACGGCTGATGTCTTATATTTAGCATATTGATGCTTTTTTTTGGGACGTAGCTTGTCGTTTTTTCATATCTAGGTATATTCAATCGTGACCATGGCTCATATGAAGGAAAGCTCACATTTATTACATGATCATATTGTGCTAACGTGTCTTGATTCTTGGATTCCATTCCATTCACACTGTCTCTCCTTTCATATTGTATTATATATGTCCACATATATATATATATGACTACCAAGTAATAAAGTTCCACACAAGACAACTGCTGTCAATCTAATCATCCTGCATGTCTTCTTGTAGCTCATGTGGTCCAAATATACCAGGCACAGATAACTGTAATTTACGTTTCTCTTCCTGGGCTTGTTGAATTGCATTTTCTCGTTCTTCTAAAAACAGGTCACCAAGATCTTCCCCAGCAAACTCCTGAAAAAACGTAACAAAAAAAGACATTGAAAGCCTTGTTTTGATTGATTAATTAACACAGAACAATTTTATGGTATACTACTCCTTAGTTTTTTTGAGAAGAGAATTGCTCATTGTCTTGCAATAAATATTTCTAAATTAAGAAATATTTGCTCAATTGATATTTTAAAGAACTCAATCATTACAATAACAAAAAATTCTCAGTTACGAATAGTGCAGACTTCAGACAACAGACCTATTTCACCCTGTGACCCTACTGAAGTTGGACAAGTAGAACTTATTCTCATGTCTACACCTGTCTGTTGGATAAACAGATGATTTGTTAGGTTTTCTGTTTTAATATTTCTAACTCAATCATTAAATAGATCAGAATTGAATTTATTAAAAAACAAACTTACTCTGATCTGCACAAGGAAGTCTCGTAAATGTTCTTTGAAAGCAGCAAAATCTCTATCAAAACTGAATAAACCTTTGATGAAGATTTCTATCTGTGGTCTGAAAAAAATAAACAAGACAATACCTTAAGCAATTCTATGAGGTGGATAAGAAAAAAGACTGGCAAATTTGAAATTTGTGTTTCACAAATTTTTCTTTATATTTGCAAAAATAAATGTAACTATTGTATCATATAAAAATATATTGAATACTGGATACTTGACGAAAGAAAGTGAAAAGAAAAAAGTGAACTTACTCATTAAGATGTGGGAAAGCAGTTTTCAGTAAATTGAGTAAAAATTGTTGAATATATTGAACATTATTAGCTGCACTGTTTCCCTCACCGCCCAATGCTATGGTTATTTTACCACTCTCTAATGTACTGAACATATATGCCAATATCTGGGCTTGTGTTGTTAATCCTGAAATACAGTTAAATTAGAATAAACTGTCTATCAATGGTTACTTTATAGTTTAACTGTTAATTTAACATAAATATAATGGTTATGACAATATCAGAATTTATTGCCAAGATGTAATATGAATCTATTTAAAATAGTTAAAGTAATCCATCGTCCTCTCAACATAAATTAAATATTCACAAATATCAAACTAGATGATTTATAGGAATTTGCCATTAATATACGTATGAAAGTCGAAAGTATTAAAGAATTTGTCACATATTCACTTAGATAACCAGTATCAATTCATAATCCATGTCTTTTAATATGCAATAGTCTGGTAGGAAAATTTGAAAGGATTATAAAAAGAAAACCAACCTGCTGTATGTGAACTGTCAGTTACAACAGAGAATAAATGTTGAAGAATCTCAGTAAAATATGTCTGATAAAAACTTTGTGCAGGGGCATCATGTTTAGCAATATTTTGAAGGAGAAAATATAAAATATCTAATCCTGTGTCAGCAACATTTCGCATGGTATGTTTAAACGCCCAGATTATAGAGTCTAAAACCAATTTAAACTGTGCTGCAGGGATGTTCAATAAGGCTGAAATAGTAATAAATAATATACTTGAATATAAAATATCATGAACTGACAAAAATGTTGCGAGGTCACAGGACAATATCTATGTCCCCGAAAAAAGAAAATTTGAATACAGGATAATAAAGCAATAGATTCTATTGTAATAAAATTGAAATTATACCTTGGAAACAATGTGAGTTGACAGCTTTCAATAATAAGAAGAAATTGGTTCTATGTTCTGGGTATTCTTCAAAGTCTTTATTGATCATAGTTAACGTACATTCAAATACAGCATCAAATATCTGTGGTATATCTTTAGTTATGTGGTTCTGAAAATATACAAATAGTTTTTACAAAATATAATAATTCAATAGTAATAATAGTTCTATTGCTAAAGTTCTAAAGTTTTTTTAATTTTCTAAATATTTTTTATCAGTGCAAAGACATCCTAAGTACTGCTATTCCAATTGTCATAGAAATAATAATCGGAAAAATTAAAAAAACCCTTTTTTGCTCAGATAATAAACAGTCAGTTGACAACATGACTCTTGTCTGATGAAATGAAATAACTCAAGAATGGACTAATAAAGATGGGCAAAATACACAACTATGTTCATTCCTAAGCGATTTACTAACAAAATGTCTTTGAATCTTTACCTCTAGTCTGTCAACTATAGTAGCCATTGTACTTAAAACTTCTGGTTCTCTGGCAGCAGGTACATTTCTCTGATAATCTAATAATACAGCATCTAATAATGGAGGTATGAAATTCTCAGCTACCTACAAAACACAACCACAATAAATTCATAATAAATATATAACTAACTTTACTAATTAATAATAAAATATTTTCACTGTTCAAAAAGTGCAATACAAAAATCATAGAGCAATATAGATATACTAATCTTTATAGAACACAATCTAAACATTATCAAATGTAACTGTAAATAATTCTTTCCAAATCATTTATTTGAAAATTGAAATACAATACTTTCTCTTATGTTCTACTCCTGAAAATTTAACCACATTTCAAACTAGCTGTTCTTATGTCAAAAGCAAAAATAGGCTTGTTAATAGATTGCAAAATAGTTTCTAAAATCTACTTACCATCTGATGATCAGCAGAGCGACTAACCCAGCCAGATATTAACTTTAATGTTTCTTTTTTCACTGTTCTCATACTGCGTATTAAAGGTTGTTTGGTGACACTTTCACCATTAGTAGCTATAGCACTACTTATATTTTCACTCATGACTTTATATACATTTAACATATCCAGATAGATTCTTCCTAACTACAAACAGATTAATTATAATTTATTACATTATATTAACTGGCGAAATGACTTGATAGATTTGTATTATTACTATATAGCTCATTAAGATTATATGCAAGCCATCATCCTATCTACCAACTAGAGAATCAGTCCAGAAACAGGCACTGGTTGAACAAAAACATAGAACATTAAAGGCATTGTTTTAATACTTTTTGAATGTGGAATATATTCATTGGCAGAGCTGATTTTTAAGGTTTTACCCCCACTTGAAATGGAAACGGAATATCTTACCTGAACTACATAGGGATGTTGTAAGGCTTTACAGGCTCTTACATTGGTTTTTAAAATATTTCCTAATCTTTTAACTGCATCTGCATCTTTTAACACTTCCACATTCTACAATAGATAATAACGCTCAATTTGTTTTCGTTTTCTTTTTCTCTTTCAAGTGTCAAATCACATATTATGACTGGACTGTTAAATACAGATACACTTCAATCTTTTCATCATATTAAAGTATTGACTCACACTGGCTACTTTATCATATATGTATTTGGTATGGAGTTCATAATATCACAGTCTAATTCTTAACAGTTACCTCCCTATTAAAGTGACATGGTCCTATCCAATATTCAGCCCATGGTTTAGAGTGTAAAGCATAATATCTGCCAAATGTCAACTTAACCAGATGATAGTATTTTGTATGTTCTATGGAGTTTTATTTAATATTATCAGTATATCTCTGCATGATTGACAACTATCTCCCTAATATATTTTACCTATTATATAGTACATTTAATATTACCTGCGTAGCTTGATTGATAATACCATCCCATACTTGATTAGGTAATAACATATATCTTTCTATTAAATGTTCTCTAGCTGCCTGTTCTGTTTGGGCACTAATCATTAACCCTACAGCTTCATAAAACGTGTGAACCTAAAATATATAACTTATAATATTATCAATACATCACTAATACTATGCATGTACATTAGACATATTCTACTGATTTTTCACTTGTTGGTACAAACAGTACCAAACTATCCGATTGATTCAGTTCCAACAACCCTGATTACAAACAAAGGGACTAGTCTTTAATAGTAGCTCCCGCTGGATGCAACTGGCATCTGCCAGCCCACTACAAAAGATCATTTCAATCAGTAGACACTACCTTGCAACACACATAAGATCACACAAATATAACTTCATGCAAATACTAATAGACGAGTCCAATGATTATTTCTTTCCCTTCTCACAGAATATGACAAATTTGTTGTCAAATCAAGTTCTATTTTGTAATGCTTGACAACTGGAAATGAGTATTTAATTATACTACTATACTAGTATAGTATTTTCATAGATTCTAATTTGTTGTACTTGGTAACTATAACATACGTTTGGACTTCATATTAAAATGTGAACTGACCTGTTGTGGTTGAAGATCACAAATAATTGTATTGATACCATTTAAAATGTCTTCAATAAATGGCATCACTTCACCAACTTGTATTTGTACGAATTGTCGACGACATTTCTGGGCTATTTTTATAAATGTATCACAAGCCATATCTTGTACACCATCATGGGTTTCTATAATCGAAGTAATTCAACATTCTTTTAACAGGTGATAAAAACAATTATAGAATAGCTACAGAATCCACATAAATTCATTAAATAGTGAGTGTATATTAAAGACTGTGTTTAAATGTTAGAGTAGAAAAACAATTTAGGGATTTCATATCTAAAGTCAAAAACTTCCCGTATACACTGTATAATATCCATCGAACTGATATTACAATTGACTAATATACATGTATTTGGATTCCAAAAAAATCATTAAATATTTAGATATACCTATTACAGACAGAATGTTTTAAGCCAATATGAGATAAGATTTTGATTGAGAATTTTTTGACCAAAAATGTAGAAATCCCCGACAACATATAACAAAATAAAAAGTTTACTTCATAAACGAAAAACTGGTGACAGAAAAACCATGGCCCAGTATGGTACAATCAATACCTGTTTAAATCAAATGAATTATTTCAGTGAAATACAATCATTACTATTGGCACATCTTCACAACATAGGTCAAGGTATTCATCTTATACCTAGACCACAATAGCCACCTTTCCTGTATCACAGAAGTTTGTAAATGCTGCAATTTGATAGGATAATATGCCAGCAAAAACAGCCAATCAGAACCCTTGACAGAAAGACTGTAAACATTATGGTTAAGTGTTTATAGATTTCCTGTAGGGGGAAACCAACTGGCCATTTTCGCTAACATACAATCCAACCAATTGCATTCTTTGATGCAAGAAAGATGGCTATTGCAGTCAAGGTATAAGATGAAATTCGTTATAGCTTGACATTGTGAAGATGCTACTGGAAATGCTTACTTAACATAACTCTCAATCACACACATGAGTTGTCAAAAGATTGCAATACTAAATAGATAAATCTCCACAGAGCACAAAGATTGATATATTATTCAAGGCAGATTAGATAAATATTTAACAATCATGCAAAGATATAATTTCAAGCAATAGGCTTGAATGTTTCAGTTTAATTCTGAAGTAATTTTGTACATAGAGATGAGAATAGTTTGGATCATTTCTTACATATTGGCATCAGAATTTAGAGAGAATTAGATAGAAACAAACACAATGCAATATGCATGCTAGTGAATATTGAAAAAACTAAAACATTCAAATTTTAATTAAGAATTACAAGCGTATAAAATTAAAAAAATAAGGCAAATCAATAACTAATATTGTCTACTCACCATGCATGAATTCAAATAATTTGTTCACAACTGTTTTCAGAAATCTCCAATGTGCTTTTAAAAATCTTGGATATTGGCCCACAACATACATAATATTAGAAGCTATGATAGCTTTATTGTCTTTGCCACGTTTCTGTTCACACAAACCTAACAAATCCTGAAAGGAAAATTATTTGAAGTTTATCAGCGAGTTTTCATTACCGGTAATTGTGCATGATGGCAATGATTTCAAATCTGAACTTGGTCCAATATTAATAATGACTATCATATATCCACCTCACTCACTTTCTATTATCTTCTTGGCTCAAAACTTTCTTTTCATTAAAAAAGCAATTCATCATAAATGGATGCAACACCATGTAATTTTGTGCATTTTTGTACATAAATGCTTTTTTACGTTAATTTCAATTAAAATGCAGGACATCAGTATTATTTTTTTTCGAAGTAGAAATGGCTTACCCTGATAACTGTGACTAGAAATCTTTTTTCATCATCTTCATGCATTGCTCCACTAATAGAACCAATAGCCCAACATAACTACAATAATACCATTAATAACTTATTTATCTGATCATTTTCAGATGCCGCTGTCTTGATCAATAGTTTGAGAAAGATCAGAACTCCATTATAATATTCACCAAATCAGAATCAGCAGGTATCTTTTGTTCAGTTGACCAAAAGTTAAGTTCTTATTTTCAAATAATACTTTTTGTACCAAGTTAAATGCTCTCACCGTATTCAGATTTTTCCACGACCATTCTGTACCATTAACCTGATTATGTAATTTTTCAGTCATGATATTTTCAGTATCTGAATAGTCCAAATGTGTCAAATATACTGAAATGGAACAGAAAACCACATTAATACTATGAATATTGACATAATTTCCTCAGGAGTATAATTTGAATTTGTCCTATTTTATGGCCATGTTAATCAAAGCTAATTTCAAATGAAGAAATTAAGGATTCATTAATGCACACAAATACAAATGACACTGCCGACAAGTGCTTCACGTCAAAGTAATTCTAAAAAAGAATAAATACTAAATAATAGATATTGTAGGAGAATACTGTTCATGCTAGTGACTGACTTACCTAATGTTTCTCTCATGTTTTTATAGAGATTAATGGAATCTGTATCTTTCATGAATTCTCTGACAACTTCTCCCTGATCATTTTCTACGACTAAAACTTCTTCTGGTTTGGCCATTCTAGATATCATAACTCGTCTGACCTGTAAATTGTATAAATTGAAATATCTCTTTATTGATGTACATGAAAACAAATTTAAAAGAATAAACTTCAATGATCAAAATAGGTCTATCTCAAACTTAGCAGAAAACATGCAGAAAATGAAATGTAATGAGCTTTATGCATGCTTTTCAACACCTGATTTGGCTAATGATAATGGTGCAAGAGGATGCAATTGAAAATTCCCTTCAGTTTATTGTTTCATCTGATCAACTATACACTTTAAGCATGTGGCCCATCTGACCTGCATCCCTGACTGGGAGAAAATTAACTAACCTTCGATAAAACAGGGTTATAAAGTTGGCGTCTGGCTGGCATTTCATGTTGATTATTAAGAATTAACGGAGAATTATTAGTAGAATATGGACTTTCTCTGTACAATTCGGATGTTAAGGAATTCCAGTATTCTAAACATATTTTGAAGATTTCAACCTCCTCTACTTCAGATATCAAACATAAATATTGTAATGCCTAGAATAAAAAAAATTACAAGAATAACTTTAAAATGAAATTTTTTGTATTGCATTTAGTTATAATTTCCAGCATAAATCATATCAATAAGGTGCTAACAACAATCTCATTACACATTCATCTCAAATTAACACTTCTGTTGCTACATTATCAGACAATTATATCTATATATGAAAATCTCTAACAAGTTTATGATTCAGAATTGCACAATATATCAAAACTGACAATATAAAATTGTTACAGAATTTGAACGACAATTAAAAACACAAGGAATATTTTATTGTGTAACACACATATTTTGTAATAAACATAAAGTGTGTTGAAACGTTGTGTTTTTTGCCATGACAGGGTGTTATGTAATATATTCCTTTCTGTTTTTTTTTGTCATAAAAAACATGTAAACTAAAATATGAGACATCAATACTTACATCCATTAGAAGTGGATGAAGATCAAGCTTCTTTTCCACTAACTGGGCGTGTTCACGTAAATATGTACATAGAAATAAACTTAAATTCTGGATAAAATTTTGTTCATCATCTGTTCCAGATTGATATGCTTCTCTGACATTGGTTTCAACTGGTAACATCTAGGTTTAAATAAATAATCAATAAATAGGACTGTTTCATCCAAGATTCTGATCTCAAAATTATGTCAATAACAAAAAATCTAAAATGAATATGAATTATGAAGTTCTCTCATGATAACTAACTTGCTACTGATCCTGCTATACACGGTTCAATTGGCTAAACAAAATTTGAAAATCTAGCATCAGCTTTGGCAAGAAACATTCGAAGTGATCTCAAATGATTGACTAAATAAGCCTACATAACTTGAATTTAGCAGAACAAAAGATATTTGATTTGTTTTATAAATCATAATAGGATAAAGTGTTAAAGGAAGAAGGAAAACCTACTTGTTTTAATTGATTCATGGTTAATGTGAATAACTGAATAAATTGTTCATCATATAGTTGTGATACTTGTACACCAGCTACAATAATATTATATGATTTATCAAATTCAGTTTATACTGTACATTTATTAGGAATAATGCAGAAAAACTAATAATAATAACAATAATAAAATCATTAGTTGGGTGAAAATTAACAATATCAAAAGTTGCATTAGTGTAAAATAATAGAGAAAAGTCAGCTTTAAGCTTCCTCCTGTTAAAATGAGCTACCGGTATTCCTATCTGAATGTACAAAACTGATTGTCAGAACTCTCCATAATATATAGATACTTCATGGCATAAATAAATTCGAGTTATTTATACAAAATCTAGAAATTATCTGATATATACGGAGCCCCTAAGGCGCAATTGTAAACATATTTATTTATTATTTCGTTTAAACGAATTAAATATTTCGTTTAAACGAATTAAATATTTCGTTTAAACGAATTAAATATTTCGTTAAAACGAATTAATCATTTCGTTAAAACGAAATGTTATTTCGTTTAAACGAATTAAATTATTATTTCGTTTAAACGAAATAATTATTTCGTTTCAACGAAATACCCTATGTTTATTTCGTTTAAACGAAACAAAAAGATGGGTTAATTATTTCGTTTAAACGAAATAGACGAAAAAATTGATTCGTTTAAACGAAATAATAAATAAATATGTTTACAATTGCGCCTTAGGGACTCCGTAGATATATGTCTCTAGACTGAAATAGACAATTTAAAGACAATAAATACAATTCAAAAAAAGACTGACCTATTTCAGTGAGACATTTCATAGTTACATTTCGGAATAGTGGAACATTTAAAAACTGAAAAAAAATTTTTATATGTCAACTCTTTTATGATATTCTTAAACAACCAAATAATCTTCAAAATATGGCACCATTGGAATGTGTACAAGGATAAAATTGACGTACATATGTATGCAATCAAAAAAGGTGAATATATACAGACAAAACCATTTAGAATCATTTTAAGCAATGTGCATCACCTGTGAGATTCTTTTACTATTGTTCAAAGTTTAACAATCAATTCCTTACCTTGTATATTAAAGTGCTGATTAATTTGGTTTCAAAGATATATCCCAATGGAATCCAATTAAGAAATCTCAGTAGGGTTTCTAATGTTGAACCAACTAATGGTGCATTCTGTGAATTATCCTGAAAACACAACACAAATAACTTATTGGAAAGGTCATTCATATTTTTTAAACAGCTTCATATCCTGATGACTGATTCTATGATCAAAAACCTGTGTAGTAATCTTTAGTACCCCTGTAGCAAATATAGTCAAACCTATTTGCAGCAGGGCTTTGGCAGAAATACAGAACTATTGAAAATTCTTCCATAACATAAGCTTATCTCTAAAATGGCTTACCATAACAAACTGACACAAATGAAAAATTTGAGAAAATTCACTGCACATTGTGTCTTTTAAATGTTTAGCTTTTGCTTGTGTCATTTGACCACTTGAGAAATCAAACACCTCTTCACTGCAAGATAATTGAAGAATATTAGTCAATTTAATTTTGCTCAAATGAAAAGTGAAATGAATGCAGGACTGTGAACTGAGTCAGGTGACAAATTTGGGTTTCAGTTCCCAATCAGGGTTAGGGTAAGAACAGAATTTTCATCAGTAAAATTAAATTAAATAGGCAGTGTTATCAACAGTAACACATCACATATGCAATGAGATGGCCTCTGTATATAAAAATCAAATTCAAAAGTTGGAAGATAAGAACAAACCTTAGTAATTTGAGAATTGCCATATTATTTTGGCACAGAGATTCATTTGTTTTACTGGCTCCAACTATATCTCCAATGAATGACGGCCAATTTCTTGGCCACTCATACTTCAATATCTTAAATTAAAAATTCAGTTTGTAACCAGCAAAAGACATTCCTTAAATTCACATAAACCTTAAACGGTCAGCAATTTGTTTAGATAAAGCAAACTTTGAAATAGCTGTTAATTTACTGATAGGGTCTAAACAAATGATATCTTACCACCAGCAATATAGTAGGACACTACCTCTTAATAGTACACTTCAATCTTGTATCACTCTTGTAAGAAAGAGTTTCATATTTCTTCGAACATAAATATCATTTACCTGTACTAAGATCATGTTCAATTTTGCTAAATAAACTTTTTCTTTTTCTAATACTGCTGCATCTGATGAAGTCTTAATAATCAAACCAACAATATATTTCTTGATTCCTACAGATAAAAAATAAATTTGATGCAAATGTTATACATGTGTGTGTTGTTTATGTTGAGCAGCTATGACTAATTATTGATATACTTCCTCATGTGAAAAGTTTATGCTACCAATAATTTGTCAATATGTTGTTACGGATTTCAGGTTTCATTTTGCTGTTCGGACCATTAGTACTTGATTTATTTATACAAAATATACAATTTATTATATAAGGCTCCAAGGCTAAAATCTGTTCGCCAATGATATGATTTGCAAAATCATCTGACCATAGGTCTCTTGATTCAATAAAACTTTCTGGAGATGGACGATTGCAAAATCTTTGTACCTTCACATTGTGGTCTGGGTAAAACTTTCCAGCGAGTTTTAATAACTGTTTCAAGAATCTGTAGAGCATAGTATTTGGTCTGTTGATTTGATGAAAACTCAAGAATTGTGTCAACTCTAGTCCAGGCATCTGGATGTTCTTTTAATGTGGTCAATACTTCTTGAGCTGTCCGTTGCTGAAAATAAAGATGAATTAATTAACAGAGAAGATAAGATATCATTTTCATTATAGATCATTTTAAATTTTATTGAAAATTTAACATCAATTGACAATTACACATAAAATTGTAAGCAAACTATACATAACAACAAGTGCATTAGTGAAATGTGACAAACGAATAAATAATTTAATATCCTGTCGAAATAACTTTCAATTCTTACCTGAGCCCCTACATCTGTGTACATACATGTCACAATTTCATCTAGAAGAGTAATATCAAGTTTCTGATTGAAATCAAGCAACTTAGCTGCTTGGTCTGCAAGCGTCATTTTCGTCATCTGCAGGATTTCTTTTTACATTGAAAATTTACACAAAATTGGTCACTGACTTTCCTGGATTAAAGAAAAATATAACATAACTTCATTTTATGGAAAAATTATATTCACACACGATAAGCCACTAAATGAAATCACATTTTACAGGCCAATTACTATCAACTTTTAAAACTCAAATTACATATTTGATTTCACAGAGTAGTTCAATACAAAATAACAGCCTCATTAAGAATTTTTCTCAAGCTGTATAATGTCTGAAAATAATACAGATCAACAACTCCACAGTCACAGCTAATTCTGGAACGTAAACTTTCACTTTCAGTGTTCCTTGCTTTCATTCAATGCATATTCATGATGTAGAAGATGTTGTGATGAGTAAGATCAAGTCTAAATTTAATATATTTCCTCAATTATTGCTATGATATTTTCAGCTAGCATTCTAATCTATCAAAAGTCTTCTTTTATTTTCATCTCAACACATGACATGTCTAAAATAGTAATGACTAGCCTAAATGAGCCGGCTTCTCAGTATAAAAGATATAATCATACAGAACTAAGAGTTAGGGAACAAAGAATAGACATTAATCAGCAAAGCTTGATTCAGAATGTTTTATCATAAACCCAATTTGAAAACAAACACTCTCTCTTTTCTTGTTCTTCATATTAATCTTTTTAGCCAGTTCGTTTTTTTTTAAAATCAAAGTGAAAGTTGAAAATGAGAAACAGCCTGGATCGGTGAAGAAAAAGTAATTTAATTGATTTAAAATTGAATATTTTAAATAACGTGACAGGTTAAAATTCAAGTTTACTTGTCGTTTTAAACATACACACTGGAAGTGTAAACTATTCACTCGCGCCAAGCAAATCGTGGTTGATCACATGACCTCATGAATGAAATGTTGCCCACGACTTTGAAAATTTACTTCCGTTGTTTACATGATTTCAACATGGCGGCGCCCATGAAAACATGGTAAATATCATCAAATAAGCATTTTATTGTCTTCTCATAAATAAATTAGGTTTCAATTTCTTGCAAAAAGGAGTTCATAGACCAGTACTACCTGTTGTCCTTCCAGTTCGATTTCTTGTCCGATTTGTGATGAAAACTCCCAAACATACAAACCGGTTGAAACTGGTACATGATCGCCATATCCGAAGAAATTCGGTAATTTCCGTAAAGCCACCAAAATATGCAAAAATCGACTTATCTGTGAAGCTTAAGTATATTTTATGCAGAGATTCCCCGCATTATCATTGATTTGGTATCTGTTATGATACTTTATGACTAAAAACCTTAAATATTTACTGAAATCTCAATTTCTGTCCACCCTCGGCAAATTCCGTAATTGTCTCAATTAAAAGAAAGGGAAGCTCTGATTGGTTAGTTGTTTTCCATAATAAATTTTGGTTTTTGTATATTTTGGCAATTTTAGTGAACATGTTGAATGATCTGAAATTTTCATTCGACATTAAATATTTTTTTATACTCTTTCCATTCAATTTGGATGTTGGACAATTGTTATATATGTCAAGAAACAATTTTTAGGTATAGGAAAATTTTTATAAAACAACCAATCACAGCCATGTTCTGAAAATGACCACTTAGAGAGGGGCAAACAAAAACAAAATGTTAATCAAGAGTTGGTATTTTGGTACGAAGAACTAGTTGACTGGCTGTAACTGACATAAACAAGTACCGTTCATCATAACATATTGTTTGACCATGGCATGAATAAGCATTTTGCCACCTAGTGCCAAATTCTTATAACTTTTCATTTAGCTTTTGACACAAAAATCACTTGACATAATTTGTGTGGAAATTTACTGTTATTGGGTCATATGTCAAAGATATTATTTTCATTTACCCCAAAGCACATGAATTCATGGCGTTAAGACTGAACTCGCAATTGCATTGAAATGGAATCAAAACATAACTAATGTCATTACCAGACTGATTGTCTCATTGAAAATTCTCAGGAATTGTTTTCTATAAATAAACCGCATGGAATGAATGTATGGAAATTTTCTAGCATAAAATTAGCCTTGGAGACCTTGACTTTTCTTTCTATAGTAATTATAGAGATAGAATGGTCTGCAGACTGGCTGTGGCCAGATTATAGTGATCTAGAATAAACAGACTTAACTAATAGACCTTTAATATTTAGGTTATATAGTAATAAATAGGCCGCTCCATTTATATTCTGATAGAGATATGAGTAATAGGTTATGAATTTGCAATTTTTATATTTTCAATATCATATGGTCACAGGATTATTTTTCACAATCATTCACCGAAAAAAAAAGGTAGTAGAATGTCAAATTTAGATAAAAAATTGTCATGGAAAAATTTGCGGCCTGAGATATTGAATATGCATGTGGCAAGGCCCATTGATATCACTATTGTAAAAGAGTTAATGCAGATATTGAATTTGTAAAATTGTGTTAAGTATATAGTTGAAGTAAATTTAAAGAGTGCAAAGATAATACCAGTGTAGGAAAGTCATGGTAGCCTACAATGAATTAAAAAAAATATCTACGAAATGAATTATATAGTAAACAGTTAATACAAGTGTAGATGTCATGACTGTGATGCATTTTGAATATAATATATTGCGTTGCCAACGATATAGAATTCAAGGTCAATATAAAATTTTACATTTGATCTGTTATTTGTCATATTTTGGGTCACATGAAAATAAAATATCATGTTTTTATCATGTAAAAATTTCGTCTGTATGTGTGTCTGAATTAAATTTTTGATGAAAATCGTCTTATATTATTATGCAGCTACTAACATAATTGAGGGGAATTTCACAGAGAAATAACATAATACAGCAATTTTGATGAAAATTAAAGCGTAAGAAAAAATTTGGACATCCTGATATTTTTGTGGTCATTTAAGTCCTCATGTCCATGGTAAAAAATGGCTGAAAGATATCCGACATGCTTTAGATGCAAAATTTATTTTTCAGCTTAGAGTCCTTAAAGTAGAACTGTCTGCAATCATATCATCATAAATTCACTCAATTTTGTAAATTGTAAATACCCAATATTTATATCTGCTTGAATCAATATGAACATAAAATTTATTTTATTAAAAGGACAGGTGCACAATTTTTTTGACTAGTCATATAGCACATCTGTCCCTCTAATATTTTCTTTGATTATATATGCTGCTTATATATAAGAATACAATATTTTTCTTATTGAAAGATTAAGGTATTCAAATTTCTAGAAAATTGTCCTCTTTTATTTGCTATATTTACAGTGTTAGTTTTTTTTTTCAATTGAAAACCAAGAATATATTGTGAGAATTGGCTCTAAGTAGATGATGCAAGTAGATTTGCCTTTCAGAGAGGTCACAACTAATGAAAATACTCAAACGATTATAATAATATAAAACCAGATGAATGCTTAGTTCAGATAGACACTGTCTACATAGCATCTATAGTTTGTGGTAGGTGGGCCTGTTTAGATTGATTCCATAGCATCTTGGTTATTCAAAGAAGTAATTTACTTCGTTTTAATTTCAGAAAAAAATCTATGATAGAAGAATGAGCATGAATGTGAAAAGAAGACGAATCAAGAAATGAATGGTGTACCATTTTATGGTGCCTGTTATATCAACTGATTGTACTAACCGTGGGAGATGAGAGATATCAGTTGGATGGAATCATCAGAGACATTTACAAATTTGCCAACATCAGAAGCGAACATGGAGAATCCTGTCACTGCCTCGGGCCCAAATTTAGTTTTTATTTCAAATGAAATAGACATGAAGACTGCTATCAGTAAACATCTAGAACGTAATACTATTACACCCATGTTATTCCTGTCAAATACAGATAAAGGTACCATGGAAGCCAATGTTCTATTAGATAATGTTAATCCAACATATTTCAAAGTTGATCTAGAAGCCATTGCCCATGCTAACCTGATTGCTCAAACACAAGAAATGTTAGCGCAACAGTTAAGTCAAGATTCTCTGGAGGTGAAAAAAAACACATGGAGGAAGAGTAAGTATTGTTAATTGGACTATTTGATTACTGGTTATAGGTTTTATAGAAGATACTCTCCTATAGAAGCAACTAGTATAAGCATCTTGACATTAGACATCTACGTACATGTTGTGACGATGTTTCTATGAAATTTTATTCCTTCTATACGAACTCTTCAGTATGTATGTGCCATCACATTACCTTGATCTTACACATAATTTAAGCAGTCATTGTTTAGAGCTGAATGAATTTTTACTCAAAATATTTTTTAATGGATTTTATTGGAAATATTCATTTCATATGATTTGGCATCCGAACAGAAAATGATTGTGGCCACCAAACTTTACTCTTAAAATACACTTATGACATAATCTCATTGTAATTTTTAATCTTTTGCAGAAAATAAAGTGTATCATTGTAAAGCCAAAGGATGTGGAAAAGTTTTTTCATCATCAAATTACCTCAATCTTCATACAGCGTCTCATACTGCCAGTAAATCTTTAAGTTGTGATTTTGATGGATGTGGTAGAAAATTTCTATGGCCGGCCCATCTTAGTTATCACAAACTTACTCACACGTAAGTATCCAAATTCACACATGTCATATTTGAAAAAAAAACTTCTTTTTTGTTTTTGCATCAGCCACATTCAAACTTATAGCAAGTAAAGAGAAATGGATACATGCTATTAGATTTTTGCTTAAACTATTTTTGAAAAGATGTAAGATTATCTGTCTGATATTTTGTTTCTCTTTTTTTTTTTCAGGAATAATCGTCAGCATTTCTGTAGTTTTGAGGGCTGTGGTAAAAAGTTCCTTACAAGCCAAAGACTTCGCACACATTCCCTTATACATACTGGTGAGAGACCATATAAATGTACAGAATCAGGGTGTAATAAATCATTCACTACTGCTGGTAATTTACGAAATCATATTAGAATACATACAGGTTTGTTTTATTTTGATATCTTGATATGAATGTATATAAGCCCCACTTATTATAATTATTTACCGTGACAACAATTTCTTGAAAGGCAGGGCTAATTCATAATTTCTGTACATATGATGCCAGTCTGAGAGTGATAAACTACACTTATGTGAATAACGTCACTAAGAGTTGCTAAAAAGGCAGGGCATGCTCATAATTTCAGTAAAATGTATGCCAGTCAGAGAGTGATAAGCTATGCTTATGTGAAGGTTTAGGTTCGACTCAAAATAGAAGACATCTAACCTCTTTCTACGACCATTTTGTCTGCCAAAAAAAAGGCTGAGGCTAGGTTAGTCAAACCTCAGCAGGAAAATACAACCATTTTAATTTTTAATTAATCTTCTTTTCAGGAGAAAGGCCATTTGCGTGTGATTTTGAAGGCTGTACTAAACGATTTACTGAATGTTCCAGTCTAAAGAAACATAAACTAGTGCATTCAGGTATTGAGATTATATGATAAATTTTGTCTTTATAAAGTCTGTTATTTTTTTCTTCGTTTGACAACATACTCCATTTGCAGTGTGGGACATAGATTTGATTTTTCAAGCTGCAAGACAAAAATTACAGAAGACAAGCAGGGAAACTCATAATTAATTTGTGTATTTCAGGAAAGAAACCTTATAAATGTGATGTGTGTGGTAAATCATTCAGTCAAACTGGTACAAGGACAGTACATATGAAATCTCATCATGCTCCTCCCCAGTCTAATCTCGTGAAAATAGTTGAGATCAAAACCATTCCTTCAGCCAGTGAATCAGATTCACCAGAAGTTTTAGTTTTACAGCAATCCACTGAGGATGTTGCCCAATTTCCAGGTATGTAAACTGTAAAACCTTTTAACAGCTTAATAATAGGTGTTTGTGTGAGATGAGAATGATATTCACTGGCCTGGCTACAGAGTCAGCACAACATTGGGAAATTACATCTTTTATCTGGATATGGATTATATATTTTTTAAATCTTCAGTCAGTGAGAATTGAATATAGTTCAGCACTAAGCTGTTTATCTCTGATATTGCTATATTGTATGTGTACAAAAGAGACCAAAAGTATGCTTACTGTTTTCTAGGGTTAACAGAGCATGTAGTAACCATAACAACACATCATCCTGAATCAACAGAACAAAATCAAAATGATGTTCCGCATCATGTCTTAGGAGCTGAAGGTAAAATATTTCATTTTTGTTTTAAACAATTTTGGTCTAATAAGGCCTATAAATTCAGGAACAAATACGGTGCCAGTAAATCTCACCATCAACTTGAACTGATTTAGGATTACAGTGATCTTGAACTGAATCATGCTTTCTATAACTTTATTGATTTGTAATTTCAATGTCACAGATATTACAGGTATGAAGGGATGAAAGGTAACATTATGTTTTGTATTGTAGAGGTATTAAGTGGAGGTGATATTAATACTCAACAATTACACGATAAAACATCCAGCGTAGTTGTATTAACTCAGCCACAGGAAGTTGTTAGTTTATCAGCATCCTACCCAGTCACTGAAGCTATCCATGAAGAGGTTGTGTATGATAATGATTTATTACACTCTCATTTAGACCACGAAGAGATTCATGTCTCTAATACTAGTCTGTGTTTAGAACAATCAGGGGAGTTAACTGTTGGGGAAAGTATCATAACGTCACAATCAGTTAATGTAATGACTAGTCAAGATACACTGTCAGGCTCGACTGAAACTGGTAAAGAAATGGCTATGGATCCTATGATGGAATGTGATGAAGAGGCTGACACTATGATAGAATCTAGAAATTGGAGAGGAGTGATATGAATATTAAAAGTGTATTTTAGTCTTTATCCAGGCTTGCTTTCAATAAGCAAACTGTCCAAAGTGTTTCCGTAGTTTTATCTACTGCTAAAGTTGTAATGTTCCATAGAAGTTTGCTGAAAAATAATTTTATAACTAGACTACTGTATGTATGACAAATTATCTGTGTTTGATCCTTCCCCGTAAATATAGTGTCAAAGGTACAAGTTCTGGGTCTTTAAAACCTAACTAAAGGGGCTATTTTAAAGATAAAAATTAAAGAAAAAACTGAAAGAAAGTTTGGTCTGATTTTAATTAGACTGTTATCTAGTCTTTATAAATTTGTTTTGTATTAATAGTAAATGGCAAAAATAATCAGTATGATGTGGTTGGAATGTGAATTCTCCAAAAGAGAGGCACTTAGTCTAATAATATTAAGGACATATCTGAAGACACTTGATGCCTTCACTGAAACAAATGCCCACAGTTGCGCGACTGCTGAAAAATTGTTTCTATATCAATAAGCAAATTGGTATAAATTTAAGTTTAAGTTATTATATATATGCATGCATGTTATTATTGATTATGTAGATAAACCATGTGAAAACATATGATTACTTTTATTGTAAATATTGTTGTTGATGAAATTGAAATTGTGATATAATTTTTCTTCTATATTTATCATTGTAACAAAATAAATTGTACAATAAACCTGCAATATTGTTTTTATGTAGTTTTGTGTATTGAATGAAATTTCAAGAGTTAAAATATCATTCATGTTTGCATTTAACCCACTGAATAATATAAAAATATTAAGATCATTGCCAAAAGACATAAAAATTACATTATATTTAAAGGCCATTTTTGAGACTAAGATATGATTTGTCAAACAGATGGAAAACGGTTCCTTTAACTGTGGTTCTTAAAAGTGGCCAATTTGTTATCATCTGTGAACAAACTAGCTAGTTATTTGTGACGTGATAGCTCATTGTGTGTTGAGGCTGTTAAAACTTGCTTATAATTAATGGAGTAAGATTAAATATAGTAAGAGATTTATTTCTACAATATGATAGATAAATAATGACTATAAACAAGACAAAAAATGTACAATTTACCAAATCTAAAATACATAGACCTAAAATGATGACCAACCAATACCATGCCTGTAGAAGTTTCTCCAAAAAAACTAGGACAACATGGCAATGATTATAAACTGAATTTCACAACTCATTAGACTTTAATTCTGAATAACATTCAGAATTCTCAAAAATGTGCAAGATGCATCTGAAGTATTTTTGAATTTCTCTTGTCACCATTTAGGTCTATAGTTTTAAAACAGAACATATAACAATTAAAAATAAATAAAATAACAATCTATCACAGACAATATATTGAAACAAGACTTCAGTATTTGGTGCCCTAGAGTTTGGTAAATACTAAGGAAATAATGGACGGAAGAGAAGATATATACAAATGGAATGTTATCTTAGAGGATAAATACAGTAAATACATCACTAATACATACATTATATGATTAAGAAAGGTGAAATTATCAAGTATATTGAGTAAGGTCTCCGTCACACGAAAAACAATTGATCATATTGATTAACTGAAATCAGCATGTTTGCATTTGTAAAAAATAACATACATAATATCTATTCTGAAAATTGGTATTGAAAAAAAGGAGGAAGGCAATGAAGTCATTGATATAAGGATGTAACACATGATACACTAAATCAACTGTAAGAGCAGGGTTTTTTCTACCATTTGTTCCACTCAAACTAAGCATTCAGTTTATTTTTAGCTTATTATGACTTAACCAATCCTTGTATAGAATTAAAAAATATATAACATTTGATCTGACTGGCCATACATAGTATAATATGAAACGGAATAAAATACATGTAACTATATAAAAAATAGTCAACATCCTACCACACTACTACATTGTGCAATATACTTATTGAAAATAAAACTACTTTGGTTGAATATTTTGATTATAAAAATTGTGGTAGTTATAATTACAAGTGATTTTATACAAATATCTTTCCTGGATAAAATCAATAAATCAATGCGAGAAATCTGAGATGATATGAATTAAGCTTTCAAGACTTATAAAGATCAGTTTGGATTCTTGAATGACTATTTCTTTACACAAACGATCAAAGTGTCATCAGTATAACTGGACAATGGGTAGACCAGAGAGCATAATCCTTATGAGGACTGTATGAATCCCCTTGTTTCTTTGCATTTATCATATTATCTAATCTTCAACCTCTTCAAAACTGTCTGAATACCTTTCTGAAGATCTAGAACGAGTGTACGTATTATTTTGATCATTATCATCTTCATTATCTTCATCATCATCATTATGATCATCACTGTAGTGTTTACCACTACGACCACTTCTTACACTATTTGGACCAGAACTTCTTGAATTTATAAAGTCTTCATCTAACCCTACATTTTTCAATGTTGTAGCAAATTTCTTCTCAGCCTTGCTCTTGGCACTGTTCTAAAAGTTCATATAAAATGAAAAAATAAATTAAGAAAACCCGTTTCCAATTGGAGGGCAATAAACCTCAGATTTACCAGAACAGCCTAACCAAAATAATCTTTTAGCGACATTTTTTGTTATCAAACAGACCAGACATCTTGTTTAAATCATATCAAATAAAAAGATATATCACTATATATACCTGTTTCTGTCGTTCAAACAATAAAGGTTGTTGGTTGACTCGGTCTTTCATGGCTTCCATTTCAGACTGATATTGTTCTTCACGTAATCTTTCATCTTCTCTATAATACAAATATGCTTAATTCAAGTTGCTACAGAAATAGATGGAATTGGGATGAAAAGCAACACTGGAACCATTCTCCAGATAACTGTGATATCAGAATATGTCTACCTTGGATTCGAACCTGTGGCACATAATGAACTATCAGAAGACCATCCTATTTCCTACCAAACATAGGTAGTGTTAGAGCCAAGAAGTGGTGATCATGTATTTTGAATTTAACTTTTGACTTACTTAAACTGCCTTAGTCTATCTTTAACCTTCTGTTGACCATAATTTTTACTACCAGCTTTTTCTTGAATAGATTTCCTAAGTTTCATTTCTCTGACTCTACGATGTCTTTCAGCTTCGCTTTCTTTCTTACTGTTTTCTATTTGTTTAGCAATGCTTTGCCTAAGAGATAAAGAGATCCAATGTGAACTTAAAGAACTCATATTATGTACAAATATAGACATAAAACCAACTGATGGTGTATAAAAATAACAGATGCAGATACACAGTGAAATGAAATGGGATGGAATACAATGCGAAAATTATAAATCTACATTCAACAGTGCAAAAAAACATTCAATGTTATCTACAAAATATGTAATATGATAATGGCATTATTTACCTTACTACGGAATTTCTTGTCTCAGCAGTTCTGGTCATTTGTGCAGGAAATGAATCTCTTGGATCACCAACTGAAAAATAAATCAATCATGTGGTAAACTACATGTAAAGGTTGAAAATAATTTGACTGGAAATAAAAACTTAAAATTTTGAAAAAGGAATTCATCTTATTTATTTTACACAGTGCAATACAGATATCTTCTTTCAAATAAAGTAACATGGATACATTGACCTAACACTTTTCATACTTTAAACCTTTTATATACAAAAATATTACTATATTTGAGAACTATTGTGTCTCATTGCTGTAAATGCTATTCTGTCACAATCTGCATGCTAGATGGTTATATGCTATTTCCAACTGGAACATTATCAAATCTGTAATTTACGACAAAAAACAGCATTTACCTCTGGATCGAGGAATAGCTCTAGTTGGTGTTCTAGCACGTGGGGTTTGATAAGGCCACCTATTTTCCATTAAGACTTCTTCATCTCTTGCCATGTCTAATAAAACTTTCTGTGTATCACCATACGTTCTATCAGTGTGTAATCTGAATGGCTCAACTACTGTTGGTTCTAATTCAGTTTTTCTACGATTTAATTCACTTTGAAATTTTCTGTATAGTCTGTCATAATCTGGAATCTTTTTCTGCTTTTTTGGCCTAAAATGTTTACGTGCTCTTGACTGTCTTTTTATCTCTTCAATTCTCTGTTGTTTCATTTTTTCCCTAGCTTCCATGCCAGGTGGCAATGCTGCTTCTTTCAAAAGTTCTTCTGATCTCATACTAATTCTCAATTTTCTGTACTCTTCATCTTCCATTTGTTTCCTGGTTATACTATCATCATAAATGAAGGCTGGAACAGGGTTGGCTTTAAATTTCCTATCCTTGCGTTTCTCTTTAGCTAATGCCATGGCTGCAGGTTCAGAATTTCTTCGTTGATTTCCTTTATATTCCTCTCTTTTCATAAACTTAAAAGGTTTTTCTTGGGATTTCAGCATTTCTTGACAATACTGGCGTACATACCTTCTCTTGGCTTCAGCTTGCTCATTGATTTCATCATACAGAGGTAAATAAACATGAGCAGGAACAGGTTTAGCTTGAAATTTTTTCTGACATTCCAATTCCTCTTCTTGTTCTTTTCTTCTTCGTTCAGCTTCAACTTCAATCTGAGTGATAGTTTTTCTTTTTTCTTTGCCTTCTTCTCGTAATGTCATATTAAATGGTTCAGGTATTGTCAGCCTATGTCTCCATTCTGAAGCCTTCTTGCTTTTCTCAGATCTTCTTGTAGCTGGAGCTGATGAGGGTCTTTGACGTGGTGCGTAGTCATTGATGGAAAAGTCATCCCACATACTTTCAATTCTTTGTAATTCAAGTTTGCTTGGAGTCATCACCTCTTCTCTTCTCAGAATTACATCATCACTCAAATAGTTGTCATCACTCATATATCCAGCAGGAGCCTTCATATATCCACTGATTTCTTCGTCACTAAGTTCATTTTCAAAATCAGACATATTTTTACCACCATCACCATTAAGACTTCTAGATCTGACAGCTCTCCACTGTATTGGTGGTGATCTATTGTCAGCTTGGGTGTGTGATATACCTTTGGTCAAAGAGTGGCCAGAAGAATGTCCTGGTCTTTGACCCTGACGTGATGGAGGTCTGTTTAGTGGGCTTGGAGCAACAGGTGGTTTCGATGTCAAGTCTCTTACGTCACAAACATTATCATACGTTTTTATTGGGCTATAGGTGTAGTCGCTACTGTATTCAAGACGATTATCACAATCATGTCCTCTAAATCTTCCATTGACAAACATAGTCCCAGTATCGATGTCAACATCTTCATTGTCAAATATTCTGTTATGAGGACTGGCTGCATATTTTTCTTCAAGAGCTCGCTTCTCCATGTAAAGCCTCTCACACTTTTCTAAAGTCATCTTTTGGTTCTCCTTCATCTTGGAAAGTCTGTCATAAAATTCTTCGTCCGTTAAGTTCTGGAGTTGTGGACTTAAATGGGTCGCATCTCCATTCGTCTGTGAAAAAACGGGCTCAGACGTGTATTCCCCAATCCCATTTGCACTGATTTTAACGTGTAAACCGTTCTCGCTTCGACTGTAAATGCCGCTGTTGTGTGGCTTTTGGGGTGAAGACAAAGTAGCTATCTTTCCTGTTCTCGAATCTACCGGATTTCTTAGAGAATTATTTGCTAAAACTGATAGAGCGTGCCCCGTTGCCATTGTTGCCATGTTTTGTAAACTATTTTTTTCTGCGGAGATCAAATAGGCCTAATTAATATGATATTCTAGAGCATAAAAAATCAAAATAGCATGCACGCCTTTGCAATATCACATATCCAGAAACTGTGAAAAAAAAATCCAAAACTTTTGCGTTGTTTATTTATGGTAATATAAATAATCAATCAGGATTAAGGTCAAACTTTTCTCTGAAAAATATGGGGAGACAACTCTCAATAAAATTTCCAAAATGGCCGTCTTTGGAAACATTTCTAAAGTTAAAAATAAATTATTTCAATATATGTCAATAAAGTCCATTGAACATGTATTTAAAGTACATTTTTCGTCAACAGCGATACTTTCGGAAAAAGTAGATGTTGTTATATCAGGTGGAGGGATGGTCGGTGCCTCAATGGCTTGTGCTTTAGGTTAATAATAAAGTGTCTTTAATTCGCCAACTCTAAACTGTCAGATTTCACTCTTTCCCTATTTCGTCCAATTGAAAACTTGAATTTACAAATTACAACTTCTACAAATTTATGCATAGAAAATATTGAATTCGAATGACTATTAAACTAAAAATGTTTGTCAGAAATAAAAACAAAATATATCTTGTTGCTATGGATATCTAACAATTTTATAAACTAAACTATCTTTGCAGCCCAAAATGAGATGTATCGAAATAAAAAGGTTGTTTTACTTGAAGCTGCATCAGATAAAGGGGAATTTATTTTACCAGAAGCATACAGTAACAGAACCTGTTCTTTGAGTCCAGCCACTGTCAAGTTATTTGAAAGTATGGTTCAAAGTATAACTTAATCAAATCTATATGCTAAAGTCAGAATTTTAAAAATTAGATAGATTGGAATACAATCCATTATTATTTTATCGGAATTCAATTTTAAAGATGATTATATATGTGACATATGAGGATTTTAAGATGTCTTAAAAGAGCATAACTATCAAAATAAGTAGAAAAATGAATTATACATGTTCCAATAGTTGATATTTTGTTCAAGGTTTAGGAGCATGGGATGAGATAAAGAATATGAGGTATCAGCCTGTGAAAAGAATGCAGGTAAAGTCATCTCTGTTCTTATGCTAAGATAAAAATTGACTCCGACAAACAGAAATATGATCATTTATTTTTGGAAAATACCAGTCTAATGCCAAAACTATGCATGTCTTATAAAAAAAAGTAAATATCAGTTATTATTCCATTTAGGTGTGGGAGTCATGTTCTGATGCCTTAATAACCTTCAATAATGAAGATTTATGTGATAATTTAGCATATATAGTGGAAAATGATGTTATATTAGGTGCTATTATGAAACGATTAAAAGCAACTGGTGACAATGTAGATATAAAGTTCAACACAAAAGCTACAAATTACAGATTTCCTGGTGAAAAAGATGAGAATGATCATAAAGAATCATTAGTTTCATTAGAATTATCAAATGGTCAAACTTTACAGACAAATTTATTAGTGAGTTTCTATAATAGTAGTTTTGTAGTATTTGGAAAATGAAATGCTCATATTTTGAAGAAGTGCTCCTTGTTCCTTGGTTCCAATGAACGTTAATGTATAAAATCAAATGTCTTGAAAAGTCTTGTGGTAAAATAAAGTTTATTTCACAAATGAAAGGGCATCTTTAAGAGAGAGAGAGCTCAATTTTAGCCTAAGCAATGTTCCAACTTGCTAAATAGTTACCTTTTAATTACTGCAGATTGGAGCTGATGGATTTCAGTCATCTATTCGAAAAAAGGCAAATTTTCATACTATTCATACTGATTATAAACAATGTGCTGTTGTGGCAACATTACAGTTAGCCGAGGTAAGCTATATTGATACATTAGAATTTCAAAGATATTGGCAACATAGATGAAATTGTAGTAACATTTCTATTGAATTTAGTGACTCAACTTTCAAAATGAAAATGAGCAAAAATTCTTTTGTATTTCTATTGCTGTTAAATACTTTTTTGTTCTTCAGACATTTGATAACACAGTAGCTTGGCAGAGATTTTTAAAGACAGGACCTATAGCATTACTTCCGGTATGTATGTGATTTTAATTTGATTTGATTATGTCAAAGAATTTGTTCAGTTTGTTTATCTTCTCAACTTTTATTTGCTCACAAACGTGCTTTCACATTTTTGAAAGATTATTTTTTTCAGTTAGGTCCAAATCTAAGTTCCATGGTATGGTCTACAACGGCAGAAAATGCTAGAAATTTAAAACAGATACCTGAAGATAGTTTTGTTGATGCTGTCAATGATGCTTTGGTAAGAAATTATTCTATCTCTTCAAGAATAATTTGCATGTATTATTGTCAAAGACAAAGACTTTTTAATAGAATTATTTGCTTAGACTGATAGAGCAAGTCTGGTTGTGATTGGAGGCATATTTTGTAAACATTTTCTGCATAAATTAGAACCATACAGTGATGTTTTGTATAAATTTTTAAATGGCTGATTTGTAACTTTCTTTCAGTGGCATGATAGAGATAAAAATCCTGTGGTGTCGTCAGTTTTCAACTCCTTTACTGACGCCTTAAACAATATTTTACCAGGTAATCACCACTTATAATAATTCTATTCAACAATATCTTTATTGTACCTACTTCTCATAAGTAGGTGTTCCTCTTTTTGGCATGTAAATCAATAAATGTCAAACATACAGTTAAGAATGGAAGAATAGATGTATGACAAAAATACCCATATCCATAGCAGAGGTGAGATGGTCCAAATCTCCTGACCTTAATCATTTGTAAAATACTGTTATATATTGTATATTTATGATGTTGATGTAGGCTTTTATACAGCTTACCTCTGTCATGAATCTTTTTGGTGTAAATCTCTTGATATTATAAATAACTCAGATTGTTTCTTTTAATTATTTTAGGTAGTCTTTTATCGAAACAGTTACCACCAACAGTCATAGGAGTGCAAGAAAAAAGTAGAGCTTCTTTTCCACTGTCTTTAACACATTCATCAAATTATGTCAAGTCTAGAGTTGCTTTAATAGGGTGAGTAATGCTACTTCACTTCTGCAATTCCACTGAAACTATGTGTTTAATGATGTCATTATTTGCTAAATTATCACATAAGACTCTTTGTGATTAGTGACATCATATATCATTTAGTTTTAGTGAAAATACAGCATCTGTTTGAAAATTGGAATGGTGCAAATTTATGCTATCAGTGTCCTCGATACACATTTAGAATGCAATCCCTTTATTCGAACACAAAATCATTATGCATGATTTTTAAAATCTTTGATTCGTGAACATGATTTATCTTCAGTGATGCTGCCCACCGAATACATCCACTTGCTGGCCAAGGTGTAAACCTAGGGTTTGGTGATGTTGCTTGTTTAAATGAATTGTTGACAAATTGTGCAAAGCATGGAGGTGATCCAGGTAAATCTATTTTTTTTATACACTGGAAATATGCAGAGTATTTATACTCACTCTTGTCTTATTCATTCTAGTGAAATAGCGACTTACTGCTCTATTGGCTTTTTTCATCAAGATTCTCCTGCAAGAGGGTCTAACATGGAATCAAGGTCCCATCATTACAGAAATACACTTGCAAATATGTTGTAAAACTCTTTTTTGAGATTTTATTTCAACTTTGTGGTCTACATTCTGTTTTGGGTTTTTCATTTTAATATTTAATATTGTCATTTTAGGATCTCTTACCCATTTGTTGGATTATGAAACAGAGAGACAAAGACAGATCATACCTGTTATGGTTACAATAGATGGTTTACAATGTTTATATTCTACAACCTTAACACCCATAGTATTATTACGAAGTTTAGGATTACATACAGTTCATTCTTTAGATATCATCAAAGTAAGATTTCAATTCATTATTTCCAGTGAGTCACATACAGTTGGGACATGGTTACCCTGCTGCGTCTATTGTGTTTCAAAGTATGGTTGCCATCCTCAGGCCTCTATTGATGCTACAAAATCAGCTAATCTTATTTTCTGTTTCTTTCCAAAAATATACTTTAACCATTGCACATAGTGGTTGTATGGTATTTCTAATTTTCTAGGTTGATTTTGTCAGTGAAAGTAAAATAAATTTTTCACTTTTTCTGTCCTCTCCTGCCCTAACTACACCACTGGAACCAACATACTATTTTGAATATCAGCATTATCATTATCATAAGCAGAGTTTGTATATTAGTTGCTTCTCCAGGATTTAAAAGAATGATTTATATTGAATGTAACTTATTCATTTGTTTCAGAATCAGATCATAAAACAAGCCTCTTCTTGAGACAGCAGTGCATAACAAATGTATGAATTTAATTACTAGAATAGTTGAGAAAGAAAGAAATTCTTGTGATAGTTGTATTAAGAACCTAAGTAGGGTTTTGTATAAATGTATATATTATGGAGCAAAAGAATTTATCAAATTTAATCAGTTTGTGTTATTCCTTTCCTGAGAATAGCTTCCAATTCAGAAATTTACCAATGAATATATTCGCAAAAGACATGTTTTTTTGTGCCTCTGGGACCATATGTCGATAGTTTCATAGCTAGACAGATCCTTTGATGTACTCTTGTTTGAATCAATGTATCTCCTAAATGTGAATATGTATGGTTAAGGTGTGGGCTAACAAGCAGTCTTGGTCAGAGACTTTTGTCACCGATAAGAGTCTTGTCTTGAGTTTCAAGGACTGGTACAGGCATACAAGGAAAACAATATTTTCTTCGATAATCACGTGTGGAGTCAGGAGACGCTAAAACTGTCGGAGACGATTATTAAACTTGTTTGGTATTATAAATCATAGTGATATTGTGGATTTTCCTCAAGGTTCAATTCCGGGACCTTTACTGATCAGAAGAATGTGGAAAAAGTTAAGAGGATACCGGATCCATAGCATAGTATTTAAGGCACTAACCTTATGTTTGGTAGTAATTCTTGCCATATAGCTAAGAAAAGCTTCTAGTGAGCAATGGTGTATATTGGACAAATTCAAAACTAAGGAGTGAACTCGCACTTTGTAGAATGCAACTGATTCATGCAGATAAGAAAATGAAATGCTGTGTCAAGAACTTGCAAAGACGCATTTGAACTATCCTCAATCCTTCCTGTCATATTTCAGTTATCAACCTTGGCTAAATTCTCAAAAACTCAACTAAAGGCTAATCTGATGGTTAATCACTAACCATTAAAATTTAGTCTCATAAAATAAAATCATATTTCAAGAAATTTCTGGATTAGATCTTGTCAAGTTTTCAGGAATATGGACCCTGGTTAGTTATCCAAAGGCTACTATAGTTCCATAGGTCTGCACTTGCTTGCAAATTGCCATGATTAGTCTGATCAAAATGCATAAAGGAATATGTATCATTTCTCAAGGACTTCCAACAAAGCATACAATGGGGTAAATGGGCAAATAAAAGGGAAAACAAAATAATTCTTTCTAAACTTTAATTATATTATACTTCTACATCGTAATTAGTAAAAATTTAAGTTAATTTTGAATATTTAAAGCCAAATTGTCAGTAATTGCTGCGAGCCGGCTACCCAACCCTACTCCATTTCATCATATCAATTTTTATATTTATTTTCTTATGGAGGGGGAGGTAGGATTTATCCACTGCTCTTGTCCAGCTGAAAGATGTTTTCTCATCCCCTGACAAATTTCAAATTTTGAAAAAGCCCAATGATTAATCCAATTTTCATTACACCTATTTATACTAGCTTGCATATCATATCTTTAACTGTAATCTTTCCCTCCATACTAAACAGACCAAAAGCTTCAATAAACCGGAACAGACCATTCATACAGCAACTTCCAACTACCATTCAACTGAAACTGGATGATTGGTTATGCCCCCCTAATCTTCCCTCATTTCAACAATTTACTTTTCAATTCTTAAAAGCAATAATCAAAAGTGGTTTAATTGTTTGTATATAAATATATTTTTGTTTACTTTTTAAGTCTGTTTCTACAATCATATGACAAAACTTGCCTGCTTTTAAGTTCATTCAAATATTACACATTTTTCTATTACTTATACACAACATTTCATTCTCTTCAAATAAATTCTTCAAAAACACCATCATACACGTGTGCAAGAGCTACAAATAGAACTTCATTAGTATATCCCCACCCAAAACCTTCGCCCCATGGCTTTGATTTTAAAAATTTAAATGAAAATTTACTGTTTAATTAACAATTTCAAACTAAATTTAATTAAAAACTAATTCAAGAATCAAAACATAATTTGAAAACCTTTTTACTTATGAATTCTTGGAAACTGGGAAATATATTCTAGTCATAATTTTTTCCACATTTGATTTTTAACTGAAAGTAGAAACTAGTTAGTATATCCCCCCTTACATTTACCCCTTGATCATTTGATGTAATAGTAGTTACTTCAATACCATGATTAAATTTATACAATAGGAACATACAACTAGCTTACTTTATACATTCACCACATTAAATTAACATATTAAATATTTTTATCTCCAATCAGGAACCTTTCTGTGAACTTTATCCAATACATCGCCAACTCTTGATATGAGTGTAGCTACAAATAGAACTTGTTAGATAATCCCCACCCATGCCCTCTTTCATTTGGATTTACTTTTATAAAATTAAGTGAAAATTTACTGTTAAATATTCAATTATAAATTACTCAACTGAAGTTAATTAACTTGATTTGACTAGTTTGATAAAACGTTTTTACTTATGATTACTTGGGAACCTGGCACCACAGCCATTCTATTGATAATTTTTTTCGATTTTCAACTGAAAGTAGAAACTACATCCCCCCTTGCATTTACCCCTTATGTACATGTAAATCAATAACCAAATATGCATGAAATGAGTGCATTCAAATAAAACAGTTTCTTCATGAATAGTATCAATACCATCATCATTTTTAAAAAAAACTTTAGGAAGATACAACTGGCTTACTTTATACATTCAACCCATATTTTATAATCATGATAAATACTAATGTCTCCGATCAGGAACATTTTTTCCGAACTTTTCTTTATCCAATATATCGTCAACTCTTGATGTGAGATTAGCTACAAAGAGAACCTTATTAGAAAATATTCCCCCCGTAATCCTCAACTTTACATAAATTGCTTTTCAAAAAATTACTAGTAACTCATATTTCATATTCTTTTAATGCTTCCAACATCATTTTTGCTTAATTTATTATTCTATTCCAGTATATGAAAATTGAAAATACTAATTTTATTACTTAGATATTTGATAAGATTTACAGATTCATTCTCCACAATTTTTCCAGTTCTTTTTCACTGATTCATCTTTAAATATTAACTCAAATTTCATTCTCAGATGCTAAAATTAAAACTGGGTTAGTCTTTTTCCACCCACCCTTAAAATACATTTGTTTCAAATATTGAGGTCTAATTACATTGTACATAAAAGCATGCATTATTAGCTGTATTTCTGCCTATAATAAATAGCAATTATTACCACTCAAGCAATTTGCATAACTTGCCAATATAAATTTTGTATTCTGTCTTAATTATTAAAATATGGCTTTACCCTTTCTTCAATATTTCATTTAAAAACTATTTCATTAACTCAAGCAGAAAATTTGTTGAATGATGTCCTCTGTGGAAATTGTTGATTTTACTTCATTATTACATCCATTTAACAATATGGCTCATTGTAAAGATAATATTTCGCTACAAATAAAAAACTAGTTAAATCCATTTCCCTCCCATAGCCCATTATACAGTCTTTTCTCAATAGCTTTGTTTAAACTTTTAACAATGTTATATTCAAATTTTTTCCATTTTATAAACTTTACTCATAGAAGCATACTACAAACGACAAATAACATCAAAAGAAAATATTCAAATGAAGTTTTCCAAACTTATCTGATATTTTTAATCATTTTCCACTACTTATATAATCTGTTAGTTCTAACATCCAACTTCCTCTTCTACATAACTCATGGCAAGAGTATCCACATCTCTCAAAAGATTGAAGTCACTACAGCATATTCCACAACTTTACATCACCCACAGTCAAGCTAGAAAATCAAATTAGTTAAAATCCCACCCTTCCCAATTCAGATTTTTAAAAAATTGGGATAATACCCTATAAATTGTCTCTGTAAATTAAGTTAATCTTAAAATTAAAGATATAATTTATATATGGATACAAGGTTTATCTAAGGTTACAATAAGCATATTACCAAAAAAAAACTGCATTATTGAACAGCATGAAATAAGCTTCGTTATTTTAAGATATTGATAAAAACTTCAATTCCCACACCTCCGTTCCTTTCAATCTCTCTGGATGTCTGCAAAATAACTGATTACATTTTATCACCCATCCCCCCCTTTTTTTAACAGCATAGGAAAAAGAATTCAAATTCCTTCATGTATTATTTAAATTGATCATTATCTATAATTTTTTCTTCATCCTTTAAATCCATTTCTCAACATCTCTAGGCATCAACATGCTATTTAAACTTCTAGACTAGTTCTACCGAAATAAAACTACAGTTCCTTACCGAAGAAAAAGATCACAGTCGGGTATCAGTTGACTCAGACATTTCTTACGATCAGGCAATTTGATTATTCAGTTATCCTGGCATCAGGGCAAACATCATTTCAAGAGACCATTAGAAAAAGTAATCTTCACTTCAGACTTGGCTGTCAGACTTATAAATTTCTTTACCATGGGAGGATGTGTAGATAAATTTCAAAATCATGAACCACAAGCTGCAATCTGAGTGAAATGCATGTGTATGATTAAATACCCCCCCACATGACCCTATTAGAAGTGAATAAAGATGTGTGATTTGAGTCTTGCTTGACATTAGTTGAGCTTAGATCATTTAATTTCATTAATGTCCAAGATAGCTGCAACACAGAGCTTCAAAACAGGACCCCATTTCTCTACCATGTGCTTCAATACTTCAAGGTTGACATGTAGAATTCTATCAGAAAATTTTCAAACTCCAACGGCATCAACAAGTGGTACAGTTACATTAAGTAGAGTTTTCAAAGTCGATTGATGAAACCTGTTGACTAAAAGTAATTAAGAAACTTTCCTCCTCCCATTTCCCCAATTCCATATAAAAATTATATTCTTTGTTAACCATTTACTCTTTTAATATTTTAAATGTTGATTATATTTTGTAAACTTATAGAAATGTAGAAACTATAGTTTCTTACCAACCCAAATTCAGTGGTCCAGTATTTGTTGCTTTACTAGTAGAATATTCAATTCATCATATAACATAGATTCTTTTGGCATCAGAGCATTTCCAGAATATGTCAAAAATAGTACCTCTTCACAACACTAAAACTGGCCGTCAAAACATTTTTTTCATCTCAAATTTGAAAAAGATCACCAAGGATTACAGTTGCTTTTGTTTAGTAGATGGGTCTTGCATTTCCTTTCAAAG